ATGGCTCGTAACTGCATGGGAAAGCCTCTTGACAAGGGCAAAGGACCAGCTGTCTGCACCATCAAAGGAGAAGAAGTTCCAGCTGTGAAAGCACTCACACTGGAAGATATTAACCGCATCATCAACGAGAGGATCTGCCTCTCCAGCATGTACAACCCAGTGAAGAAAGAGGAACAAAAGGGTTTTTAGGGAGATCGAAGTTGACTGCAAACTTAGATCAGAAGAATCATTTTTCCATTCTCGGTGACTCAGCAATTATGTTTGCAGAAGTATCAGAAGTTTGTTCTGGGAATAAATGAGACCATTTCTACTTGCCAGTTACGTTGGAGGGAAAACATAAGAAAGCAGCCATCAATGCTCTAGTAGACTGCGAAGCAACAAACCTTTTCATCAGTGAAAAGTTTGTCAAAAAGAATCAAGTCCAAACCAAGCAATTGTTGTGAGCGATGTCGATCCGTAATATTGATGAAACAGACAATTCCGCCGGACCAATTACAAGTTACACAGATTTAAAACTCACAATTGGGGATCATGAGGAAGAAGTGGCCTTTCTGATCACAGATCTAGGAACCGATGATGTCATCATTGGAATAGATTGGCTACAATACCACAACCCCAGTATCAATTGGAATGTGGGAAAAGTGGCATTAGACCGTTGCCCGGTTAAATGCCAAGAAGCCAAGGTCAAGGACAAAAAGACCAAGGCGAAGAAGTGAAGAGCCATGAACTCTTCAATCCTTTCAGTGTTGCCCGATTTGATACCGACAGAAGATGACGAAGATGAGGATATCAAGGAAACCTCTATCCATCATCAGAGGCAATTGACAGGCTTCAACTCATCACCTTTGTCACATGAATTGCGAGGATATGTCAGGCTTGAGGATAAAGAACAATCGGACCTTGCTACTACTGTTGGACACAGAGCTACCAAGAATGTGCCTGAGATGGAGGAAGTTGAGGATGAAGATTCATCACGAAATGTGTGGATCAGGTACAAAAGCTCTGTCACGTCAGAGTTAGCGCAACAGGAGGAAAAGAAGAAGGAAAAGAAGCCCGTAGAAGAAATGGTGCCAGACTGGCTCCATGACTACCTTAAGGTCTTCTCTGAAGAAGAATCTACTCGATTCCCTGAGTCTAAGAAGTGGGATCATAAAGTAGATCTCAAGGACCCTAATGATCTTCCTCCCAATGTGAAGGCATATCCCCTGTCACCCGTTGAAAACAAAGCATGTGAGAAGTGGTTGAAGCAGGAATATGATTTAGGACGACTGAGAGATTCCAAATCTCCAGTAGCAGCTCCTTTTTTCTCTGTTGCTAAGAAGGACGGGAAGCTCAGACCAGTCATGGACTATTGGAGGTTGAATGAGAAAACCATCCGAAATGCATACCCTCTCCCTCGTTCTCAAGATCTCATTGATCGTCTCTCTGGTGCAAAACTCTTTTTGAAAATGGATGTTCAATGGGGTTACAATAATATCAGAATGAAAGAAGGAGATCAGTGGAAGGCTGCCTTCAAAACTCCTTTCAGACATCATAGACCAGTCATAATGTACTTCAGCATGATGAACTCTCCAGCTACCTTCCAAACTATGATGGACCAAATCTTCCAAGATCTAAAGAAAGGCAAGGTCATTGTAGTCTACATTGACGACATCTTGGTCTTCACCAACGATGATGTAGAGAAACATTGGAAGGTGGTGCGTGAGGTACTACAGAGACTACAGGACAATGATCTCTATCTCAAACCGGAGAAGTGTTCCTTTGAAAAGAAAGAAGTGGAGTTTCTCGGTTTGATCATCAAGGATGGACACATCTCTATGGATCCAGTCAAGGTTAAAGGAGTTCAGGAATGGCCGACTTCTACCTGTGTCAAGGATATCCAAAGATTCATGGGATTTGCGAACTTTTATCATCAATTCATTCTCGGTTTCTCAAAAATTGCCAGACCCATGAATGAGCTTATCAGGAAGAATGTACCATGGGAATGGACAGACAAGCAAGAGAAGGCTTTTAGAACCCTCAAAGACAATTTCATGTCTGCACCCATACTAGTCATGCCAGATGCAAATAAGAAACAGAAGATAGAGAGCGATGCATCTGACTATGCCACTGGTGGTGTACTTTCTCAATTGGAAGAAGACAGACTATGGCACCCAGTGGCCTTTTTCAGTAAATCAATGCAGGATGCAGAACATAATTACGACATTCATGACAAAGAACTTTTAGCCATTATACGTGCATTGGAGGAGTGGAGGCATTATGTGCAGGGCACACCTCACCCAGTAGAGATTTGGATGGATCACAAGAACCTCAAATACTTCATGACAAGTCAGAAGTTAACTTGTAGACAAGCGAGATGGTCCTTGTTCCTTGCAGAGTACAATTTTACACTGCAACACAAACCGGGGAAGGTTAACGACACTGCTGATGCTCTGTCCGGGAGGCTAGACCACAGAGGGGGGGGTAGAAAACGACAATTCAGATCGTGTGCTTTTAAAACCTGAGTTTTTCCACATTAAAGCCGCAAAAAGAGGTCAGATTCTGATAGAAGGAGAACATTCGCTGTTAAAGTGTATCAGAAACTGTACCAATTTAGATCCGGAAGTCTAAAATGCTATCAAAACTCTGAAGAAGGCCCCTGTGCAGTTGAGAAGAGGATTGGAAGAGTGGAATACTGGAGGATGGACTCATTCTGTTCAGAGGATTAGTTTACATTCCCAACAACAAGGAAATATGTCACTCAGTGCTAGAGATCTTCCACGACTCGCCTGCAGCAGGACACATGGGACGTGCCAAAACTCTTGAACTTGTCTCACGGAACTACTGGTGGCCCCAGATGCAGAAATGGGTCAATGACTACATAGATGGATGTGATCGAATGTAAGCAATCAAAGGTGCTACCATCCAAGCCCCATGGACTCTTGAAGCCAAACGAAATTCCAGAAGGACCATGGCAAACTATTAGCTGTGACCTTATTGTCGATCTACCCATCTCCCAAGGAAAAGACAGTATTCTAGTAGTTGTTGACCGCTTCACCAAGCAAATGCATCTTGCTCCGACTACCAAGGATGTTGATTCTAAGGGAATCGCAGACTTATTTCTCAATCATGTATGGAAGTTACATGGGACACCGAAGAAGGTGATCTCGGATCGGGGAACACAATTTGTGTCCAAATTCATGCAGGAAGTCTCGAAAAGACTAGGGACCAAGTGGTCCATGTCAACAGCATATCACCCACAGACTGATGGACAAACAGAACGACTCAATCAAGAGGTTGAACAGTACCTATGACTTTTCACATCCTACCATCAGAATGATTGGGTTTCTTGGCTTCCAATTGCTGAATTCACTGCATAACAATTCTGTAAAAATCACTGGATATTCCCCATTCAAATGTGTCTACAGGCTACAACCCCAAATTCACAATTTCCCCTAACTCTTCCAACATGATTCCCCAAGCCGATCAAAGACTAGCCGAGATGAAGGAAGCACAAGAAGAGACAAAGGCGATGCTAGAAATAGCGAACAATTGAATGAAGCACTTTTATGATCATAAGGTAAAAGACGCACCAGAGTTCAAACCAGGCGACAAGGTATGGTTAGACGTGACGAACATCAAACAATGCCGTCCGAGCCAAAAGTTGTCCAACCGCCGTCTTAGACCATTCGAAATCGAAAGAGAAGACTGGCGAGCTAAACTACAAGTTGAAACTCCCCGTTAAATATCACAGTCCACCCAGTTTTTCATGTATCGCTACTCACCCCACATCAAACCTCTCAACTAGTCGACTGCCCACCTCTAACATGTCTGCCTCCAGAGATCGTTGACCAAGTCCCAGAATATGAAGCAGAGCAAATATTGCAAAGCCGCCTATACAGACGCAAGTTGCAGTATTTAGTAAAATGGAAAGGATATTCAGTAGAAGAAGCAACATGGCAGTCAGAAGAAGATGTGAAGAACGCGCCGCTCATTGTAGCCGACTTTTATGCAGAAAACCCCAATGTGGTAAAATCGGCGCGGATCTCTGCTTCAATTTTGACAACCCCTGATTTCCTCGAATGGCAAAAAAGAAATATTCGACCATCTTACACTCGTGAGGACACTCATCTTAGAAAGGGGGTAATGTCACGAATTCCAAATACGAACCATTTTTCATTTCTCAGTTTCCCTACAGGCTACTTCTAATTACTGAACAGGTCACGTGACTTCACTTCCTGTCACACCTTCACCGCTTCACATATCACCCGTGGTTTCTCCTGATTGGCTCCCCTACTCCACGGGCTAGAACAATCTCACTTCCCAAAGAAGAATTGGTCAGAGCCTGGGTTTCTGTTTAGTTGCTGTCTTACTCATTCGCTTATATATCATGATGTCATACTTAGTCATCTGCAGCATTGTATGACTTTATTCTCATTGGCTGATTTCTTTTAGACTCAGATATCTCCTATTCAATGTTATGTATATAAGTAGGTTAGTTAGCGTAAGTACTCCTTAGACTTGACCTCTTCGTTTCTACACTTGTAGTAGACTTAGACGTTCACACTCAATCCTATCTTGTCTCATCATCATCTGACCGAGTCCTAGTGGTTGTGATCTGATCTTTACCATTTGGTGAACGTTAGTCATAACAGTACGCAGGGTTGGGGGAGTGTGGAAAATAAAAGTTTTGTACAAGTCTGAATTTGCCCGGTTTATCAGGTTTTAGTATTATAGAGAGGGGAGAGGATTGGAAAGGGCCTATGATGTGTTTGAGGTCTGTAGGATGAAAAGGGCCTATGTATCTTTCTTTTCTGAGTTCTTTCTGAATGATGGTATTAAATTCGGTGTGGTACTCATTAACGGAAACCTTATTCAGAGGGCTTTGTACATGGGTAATTAAAGGGAAGTCTAGAATGAAACCTGATCGAAGACCTTCTGGGACTTTAGTGAAACAATTAATCATGTTGGCGCTCCACAGTGCTTTCTCCCACGCAATCGTGTTGTAGGGAGTGAGGGGTTTAAGCCTTCTGCGCTCTAGCACATTGCTGGGCTCCATGCTCGGTAGAGCCGCAGCCCGAGCAGATATGTACGTTGTTATGCTGGGTGATCGAGCAGCTGTCATCGCGTTGCCATGCGGTGCAGAGCTGGCGGCCATCTTTGGCCCATAGTCCTTTCTGGATGCATTGTGAGAAAGTGTCAAAGAGGTTATCCCAAGTACGAGAGGCGTTGCATTCGACGATGTAGTGGGATGCGCGACTGAGGCATACTGTGCAGCAGGGTAGGGTGAGTGATTGATTGGTTGGGTCCCGAAAGGAGCGCGGTTTCTTCCTCTGGTCATTACTGTTGGCCATCAGAGAGAGTGATCTCTTTTGGCCGCTGAAGGAGCGTGTGGGATTGTTCTGCGGTATATGAGTGTTGTTGTTTGTTGTAGCCGCCGCCTATGTGCAGTAATGTGATGTGATATGTAGTGGGCATGCAGTACGCAGCATGTTGTCATGTGTGACAGGCACATGATGTGCGATAGGACCATGTGTGATCAAGAAGTTATGGAGGCGCATGATGGCACATAATGAGTATGGGTGATGGGCGTTGGTCGCCATTTTGACACGTGATGGTCGTGGTGTGAGGTTTTTGGTCGTCGTCTGAGTATGATGTCAAACGGTAGTGGAGAATGGTCAGACGTGTGGTACGTGCAGACATTGTAAAAAGGAGGGAGGTTCCCAATGAGCATTGTCGGATACCACTTTATAGGGGGGGAGAGAACTCGCACCTTGTTGAGTGCTGTGATAGTCTGGGCACGTTGTTGGTTGAAGATCTCTTCTCTTGCCTCAAGGATCAACTCATGGTTGAGTTCGGCTATGCTCCAGCCATGTGGGCCTCCTGCTGTGAGGTGCCACAGTCAGCACTGCTGACTTTGGTAGAGCAGAAGCCCTCACTGTTTCAATTTGTCGAAGGCGTGCCTCCAATGATGGTTTTGGAGGGCCATCCAGAATTGTATGTGCATGTTGATGCAGTCTTCTGGCCATTTGTGTTGTTTCATGGCGGTGATCATGTGCAGTGCTGCTTCGTTGAACTCCTCCCACAAGAGGTTCTTGTCTTTGGTAATAGCTGATTTGGGGTCGCGGATTGCACCTGCATTAACCCACAATTGCTGGCCATCTATGGCTGGCATCATGATCATACCATCTTGTTCTGTGGAGGTGAGGTTCGTCTTCGCTTCGTGCAGCCCTTTATTGGTGAAATAATGTAGTTCACAGTAGTCACCTGACTTTAGTTTTTGTACAGCGTAGTGGGAGGGAATGATGACTGGGAGATAAGGAATATTCTCTGCGCTTATGGGCATGAACTTTGCCTTGTTCTTTTTCTGTTCCTCTTTGCGGGCTGCTTCTTGCTCTTCTCCTAAGATCCGTTGATGGTCTTCTTCTTCCTCAGCTGCTTGACGCCGGGCTAGGTTCGTTGCTCTGGTCATGATTTCAATCTGTTCTGCCCATACTTCTCTCGCTGTGTTATTGTTCATTGTCCATAATGTGGCAAGAATTTCGGCTGCTTGAGTGTCATCTGCTACACTTTTGGCTGTGAGGCGGGTCCTCGCTGCTTCATGTTCTGCTGTTCTAAAATCCGGTAGGATAGCATTATTTGGATTATCTAGTAATAGAGCCATTGCTAGATGAAAAATGAGCAGAAATGAAAGATAGCTGAGGGCTGGCGACTGTCAGCAATGTTCGGTTGACGTGGGTGAGAACCAAGAGTCCTGCGCCACATTGCTTACTCACTCGTAGACTATATTCTCTGTTAGCCTCGTGCCTCGGCTAACTGAGAATTGCACCTCCCGCCTTAGAGGTTTGGCCTTGGATTTCCCCTTGCAGTCCGTGCCTGTTACAGTGTGATCCACCCTGCTCTCGGTAATGCCATATCTGATCCCTGCCATTAATTTAACCCATCTGCATTGTTTCATAGTGCTGGCGCCAGGCGCCACATCATTGATCCTCACCTTGAAAAGGTTTTTGGTCATGATGGCACTGTCACAGGGTGCCCATATTTTGGAGCCGAGCAGTCTTTCAAATCTGCATCATTTCATAGTGCTGGTGTCTCGTAATCCATCATCATATAAATTGAATGTGGTCGAGTCCCAAAATCCTCAGAGACAATCGACTCCTTGCAGTGAGTAATCCTGAGACCTAAAGACTTGCGCAACTTGACTGTTACATCCATTTCGAATTTAGCTCTTCCTGGACGTGCCATAACACCATCACATACACCACACAATCACAAAATTTGATCGTGGGTAGTAGTTTCCTGGCATCGAGGGTCATCACTGACACACATACTAGATACCATGAAGATTCAGTTCACCTACCTCGCTATCCTTGCCGCTGCCGCCGGGGTGAAGGCTAGTAGTGAATCCTGCATGGATTTTTGCTACTCCGATGACCTTCAATGCAATCCAACCTACTATCCCCTCTATCAAGATATCTCAGGCTGCTGGATCTGCTGCAATGACACCTGAGGGGTAGCCATCGAGTTTGTGCAAATGATGTATTTTGTCTGATTACCTAATATCATAGGTTCTGAAGTCGCTGCGGATGCCACTGAATAGATCGCGATTCCCATGAAAATCATTGGAAAATATGTTGATGTTGAGAGGCACAGTGACCGAACTGCGTTCAAATTGTTCACCTGGTAGTCAGACTTAGAGTATCAAGTAAGTATTAGAATAGACACGCCACCCCACCATCGGTACTATTATGTAAACGGCTGTTAACATGTCGTGCTAAAGAGCTGGCCTAGAAACGGAAGACTTCCTCGACGTCCTGTTGATCAAATTATTCAAGCAAAAATCACCAGTCAACAAAGCAAACTCACGTCCCCCAAGGGATCTCCTCCCCACTCCCAGACACACTGTCATTACAACTTTCCTGCACGTTATCAATGAGCCTCCACCACCTCTGCATCTCCTGGTCATCCCCAAAAGCCTTCATGTCTTTCTCAAAGTACTTTGCACTTGAAGTTTGTGATGAGAAATCAGCGGCGGTTAATGGTTGATCGAGTAGTCCACGACGTGGTATTGTCTGAGAACGTGCAGAGTCCCAGGCCAGAAATCCTGCGGACACTATCGCTTGCACTTTCTGTCGCTAGCACAGGTAGGCAGCCTCCGCGATTTCGAACAAAAAAATAATAGATCATAGATTTAACAAGCGCTCCTTACACCTTCGGACGTTTTCCACCGTCAATCACAATAAGTGATGTCTGTACACTACGTTTGCCGTTGTCTTTTCCTCTTTCTCCCTTCCAAATAGCGATCAAATGTCTCGTCGACATCGCACTCTCGATAGTGCGGTGTATAGCTGTCCGTGTGCGAACGAATCTGTGCGCAAGTCAAGCACGGCTTTCTCTAGCGTCAGCCCTTGACATCCGTTGAATGTCGTCGCATAGGCAGGTCGCAGAGGAAACTGTTTGCGATTTACAGTCCAGCTTGAACGTGCTGGATTGAAAGTGAACGTGATCCGAGGCAAGCAATGTATATCTCCGGTATGAGGAATCTGAACCTCGACAAATCTGCGATGAAGAGCGGTGATGCGGACTCGTGCATTTCGCGCCAATCCGTTTTCGACGGACATGTTATGTTGTATTGCGCACACAGCATTCACTTTGAGATCTAATCGATGAGGCCTGGGCGTGTTCGGATGAGTCAACATCGCGAGATAGTCTGGAGTCTGCTCGAGACAGGAAGATCTCCAACGCCGTCTTCTGGATCATAAGACACGGGTACAAAGCCATCCATCTTCCAAAATGTTTTTTTTCGGCTCCAAAGCACAACGAGTAGCATTTTGAATACCAACAACGCCGTGAAATGAGCATGCAGAGGCCATGGCGGTAAAAGCAGAGGCATACAGTTAGGAGAGAAACGTGCGATCGCATGTAGAGCTCGGTGGCGCGCAATTGTAAAAGGAGGAGTAGAGAGACGGAGATAAGCGAATCGCCCACGCAAATAGGAAACTGCCGAGCGCACAGCAGTAGCGAGCGCTCAAGTAAATCGGACAGCATGTCGAGCTCAGGTGGGGCACAGACAGGAGACTCACGCGAGTTGGTTCCGCGGGATCAAACGTTTCGTCCTTACATATGTTAGATGTGTGGGTGGCGTTCGCCTATTAGTAAGTAATGCTACGTACTGAACGATCGCATTAGTTAAAAAATCCTTTCTTGCGCTGCCACCTCCTTGCCAACCCATCGTATCCACAACGATATCAACCCTGACACGGTCTTCCCCGGCTTCCTCATGGCATCTACGGCACTCCGCGTATTCCGATACTCATGCGCATCGTCACAGCCTGAGCCTTTGAGGTGGCACCGCCATCGAAGAAGACTCGCCGTTGATTCTCATTGTTTCGGTTTTGTCACGGTTGTCCCTGCCATGTTTTGGTGCGATATCAATCCTCCTTTACAATGCTTACGATTCCTGCTCTATGTTGTCGTTGTGTTTTTGCTACGCTCTCGCGTCTCGTATGTATACGGCGGGTTCCAACTTTCTGGGTCCCTTGCAATGGTTTCCAAAGGCTTCGAACCATCGATCGGTGATCGCGTTTTGTACTGACACATCACAGTCACTACTGTCCAAAAATCACACGTGTCTTTTCATTGCCTCTTGGATTGGTATGTATATATAATATTAGATTCGTCGCTGGCCCCTATGTACATGGTATGTAAATATCACCGAAGTGGGAACAAATTTGACCCGCGTCAATCATGACAATGAGTGCTCGACCGTTGACATAACAAAAGCCTTTCATGCACTGTCCATCTCGTACTCATCTGCCGTGGTCAAGCATTCACAATCTGCGAATGTCCTACTGACACGTGTGCAGCTGCTGTTGGCATGCGTATCCCAGATGCTAATGAAGAGACGGGGCGCGATAATAAATGGTGCGGTATCATTGAAGAGAAATAGCAGACTCGATGCCGCTATCTGTGCGTCCGCTTTAGATTTGATCTCTCTAGAATCATGTGAGATCATACCGGAAGGTTGGCCCATACTATCACCAGGAATATTTGAGTTGCCAAATTTCTAGCGGGATTCAATGAATACTTCCATAGAACTCAATAGACGAAGGGGAACTCACAGGACAAAGTATAGGATATGATATCGCACGATCATCAACACGTAGGTGTTAGGCTTCATTCTCATTTCCCTCCGTCCTTTTATGTGTTTCACGAGGATGGCAGCTGCGAGAATAACTAGGAAGATATCGAAGCATATGACGGGGATGGAAGCATATGTTGCAGGCATAGGTCCCATGTTGAAGGAAATCGCGCAGTACGTGAAGTTCTCAGTTACTAATTCTTTCACTGCAATGAGACGTCAGCTCGAAAAAAAATCGATGCAAGAAGAAATTTACCTGAGAACGCTGAAGGTCGACTGTATAAAAAAATATCCATCCCTACATAGAGCGCGATGATAGGTAGGAACACCCCCAGTAGGCCATAGAGTAGGAGCTTGGATTTGTTGGATAGGACGTAAAGACGCCAGATAAGAATGACTGGTGATGCAAAATTTGTATGCATGATGTGATGACCAGAGTAAATGACTTACCTTCCATCAAGCAAAAATATGCAGAAAAACTCCATTCGATTAAAACCATAAGAGGGTAGCCTGTTTTCATTGCACATATAATGAGTAAACAATTCCAATTGGAGACGATATACTCGCAGCTGAATAAGAGGTCAGCGACTGTTGAGACTTAAATGTAAATGGAACTAGTAACGTACGACTAGAACATGTCAGCCGAGAACTCTCTGAAGATAGCAAGCGTCGAAAAACTCACTGACTCAGGCATGTACATCAGTCCTCCCCCTGATGCTAGTCAGCTAATGATGGCTCAGTTGGCATCGCATCACATACACAAGGCGCAAATCCTAGAGTCAGTGTCAATATACAATGTATCATCTGAAGGACGCAACCACAGCGACGCACATTGCAAGGAAGATACCAAAATATCGAACCTGCCAGAGCAACGAGGTGAAAAACTATGAAGCACGCGGGCAGCCTGAGCGGAGCTCACAGCGAAGTAAAGATATGTCATCAGCGACCACTGTCTTTCCTGGATATTCACTCAGTCTCCGGGGCTTGGGGGGTTGACAACTCCAACACTAACCCAGACATACTTGACCTGTGATAATATGATCATGAGGACTCGACCAACAGAAAATAACCTTTTCGTTACCTCTTTGTTGAACTGCAGCACTAGATAATCCTATACTCAGCTGTAGTACAAGGTTGATGAAAGCTCCTGACCGTAGTCATAAGATACCAGGGTAATGATTACTACTGTAAAACGATGAAGTTCAGCACGGCGGTCCGTTCTACAACCAGGTTAATCGGAGCTGACGAACCACACGTATTGTTATTCCAGCGGAGAGCAGAGGCATCTCCTTGTTCAGACATGAATGTGAGCAGATCAAATGGATAATTCAAAGGGTGAGTGGTGGGCTGCTGATCATCGACGTACAGTACTTATAGAGCACATAATTTCGTCATCTTGTAAGGGTTTGAGGGGTTGGGTGGACGAGTGACAATTGTACGACATAAGTAGTACCGAGTTTACGACACGCACTCCCGTTGGTGTTTGAATCGCTGGCCTCAATAGTTAGCACCCAACGGAAAGGTTACAAGAATCACACGACTGACAGGGTCACCCCAGGTCAACGGTGGCCCCATTACATTTCTACCTGTCCAACCCTCTTGTTCAGCTAGTAAGGGATTCATCTAGCCCTAGACATGGAATGACGTCCCAGTGCTGATCCCTTTATTAGAAGGAACGAATATCTTCCTTCTATATATTGGGTCTGGCTGGGGGAGACTAGCTGATCCGAAACCCTGACAAGCAAAACCTGTTAAAATCCTGACTCATCCGTACGGCAGACTGATCTCTTGGATTGACGTGGCTAGGGAGGAAGACAGCGGCAATTAATCAGGCACTCTTTCATTTATGGGAATACAACCACCTTCACTGTAGTGAACAAGACAGCCTAGCGCTCAGCCCCTAGGGCGGGAGTGGGGAGGGAGGTACAGTCATGAGCCACGAGTGAAATTGAGTCTTCTAGAAAAATTTATGCTGTGCTGCACTTCTACGCTATCAGATAGTGAATAGATATCAACCCTGAACTACTTACGCCCTTGACGTATTAGGGAACACTGCCAGGACTAGAGGCTGATTGAAACGCGCCAGCACAGCCCGATCTTTTCTTGGCTGATTTGGAAACAGCATGCTGAAAATCATACGAAAGACATCTCGTGCTGTGGTGACGAAGTCCAACACATACAATCCGCGAATGTCGCACTGACATAGTCGTTGGCGTGCGTATCCCAAATGCACAAGACACGAAAATGAATGGCGCGGTATCGTCGAAGAGCTCTGAGAGAACACTCTGTGCGTGTATGCATCAGCTAACTCTGAGTACATACGAGTTATGCCTCATCTTGATTTCCCTCCGTTTTTTCACGTGTTTCACGAGGATGGCAGCTGCGAGAACAACTAAGAAATTGTCATAGCATACGACGGGGATGGAGGCATAGATCGAAGGTATAGCAGCGATGGACTGTGCTGCTGCGAATGCGAATGAGTTCGAAGGGGAATCGAGAGATTCAATCTCGGAAGGAAGTTGTGAGAGAGACAGTAGCAAGAAGACTAGAGATCAGACGGTGATGCAAAATAGAGACTTTGGCTTTGACGGAACGGTCGGTCGGCTGCGATAGTGCGGATCACTGAAAGGGAATCAATTGACTGCAGAAACGGAAGATACATGCAATCTTATATACGACGGAGGAAGAGTCAAAGCGCTAGTGGTATTGGTGAAGGGCTAAAGCATATGTATAAGCACGAATGTGAAACGGCGGTAGTGGGCAAAGTGAAGAAACAAGAGACAAAGCATAGTGGTCGCAGCGTGAAACATGTGCGATCTGAACAAAGGTGAATAGTGAATGTAAAATGATACGAGTGTGAAACGTAAGAAGTAGATACAGAAAAGGAAATGAACGAGAAGGCAGTGCGTACGACAAAGTGGTTGAAGTCCTGTTCTTGGTGGCCTTCCAGCGTCAAAGCTATAGGCTTCCTTACATAGGTCCCATGTTGAAGGAACTTAAAGGCCCGCCGCGGTACTTGACGTTTGGAGTTATTAATTCTTTCACTACGCGACGAGACGAGGTGCGGAATGACACACATTTTGGCATCTGAGATAATATATGGTGCCAACTCTCCGTCAGACTCGGGACTGCGAGCCAAAACTACAAGATGGGTCAGATGCTGGCGAGGCGCGGAGTCATGGGGTATCTTGTGGGCCTCAACAATTCAAGTCCGCTGAGCGCTCCATTGCACTGAAAATTTGTTGATTGTATGCGTGTGCGGCCTGTGTATTAGTGTCGAGCAAACACAATCCTCGAAGCAGTGATCCGCATCTGCCTTGCCGCACATTGGGCACACGGAAATACTACAGTGGCGTAGGCGGATACGTTGGATACTGAGTCGTGAAACCATCGCGGTTCTTGTTGCTATTGTATGATACATCCAGAGCCCAAGGTGATCAGCTCCTGACGTGTGGGTAAACTTGAGGTTCAAATTTACATCATTGGTTTCAATGCAGATATGGTGAGAGACCAGTGGAAGATACACATACTATCTGTTCCCGTACACTCGGCACCCCCGGAAGTCGGCAGTCACGCTTTTTCGCAGGGTTTTGTGTGACTGCATGTGACCAATTGAAACAAAAGTGTCACATTTTCCCGCTAAAATATGTGACCTGCCGACTTCTGGGGGTGCCGAGTGTACGGGAACAGATAGTAGAATTATCCGAGTCGGTAGAATGAACATCGGTGTGCTGACTAATACCATGACGCACATTATGTAATACAATCGGAACCATCCAACAGGCTCCTTTCAAAATCCTTTAAACACTTGCGATATACCACATACTACCACCCACATACCGCCACGTCTACATCAACCTTAGTTTATCCCAGTAAATCACCCTCAGTACATCCAAAGGTTTACGTCCAGAACGAGAAGCTTCAGTTGAGTACAAATGAGTAATGACTACTTAATGTACTACCCCTTTATATTCACCGCGCAGACCGCCAACGTTTCTATAGTGCCCCAAGGGTCACAGATATGGTGCGACAAGGACGCCAGTGTGACTAGATAGACGTCTACGCAAAGAACACTGCCGGTCGAGTCAAATGTGACACCTCCAGCAAAGTCACCTCCCGCAGCAGAGTTACCTCCTTCAACATTACCTCCCATACCAACGGGGCGGCGGCGGCGGGTGCCATTTGTGGCGTATTTCATACCGTCTGTGGTGTGCACCATGCTGTTGTGCTTGAACAACAGACGACGACCACAATGAAGGTGAAACCAGGACTCAAGAATGGATCAATCACTCGTTCTGTACCATCGACGTGAACATCAGACCACGACCAAACATATTGAGTACGAGGCTATTTGGAAAGCTTAATCCACCCAGCGACTGTGGATTTCGTGTCTTGCTTTCGACACATTGTTGCTTGAGGGTTTTAGTACCTGAACAATGGACACAATACTGAAGGTCCTTCACTACAGGCACTAGGGCGTTCAGCAATGTCTTCATCCACCTTGTCATTACCGCTTCACGATCGGCAAATAACCCCAGCGAGTGCAGCAAGCGGTACTCGAGATGCAAGGTCGCCTTCAGCAATTCCGTGCGCCATGCCTGTTCCATGCATTTCCCAGTATTTTTCTCCGCACCAGACGCCTTCGCCCGCAAATGCCGGTAAATTGTAACGCAATCTCTTCTTACGGCATCACTCCCCAATGACAGCAGTACATCTATATCATGGGCGGTAGACAGGGTCTCTGACTCGGCAAAGTGCGCTCGACGACGCGCCCAAAGAGTTAGAGGTGTCAAGATCAAACCATTCTCTCATTCTGAATTTCAAATACGTTTAGGCTATTCGCCAAAGCCCAGAGCAGGTTTTTCATTCTCCCTCGACAGCGAGGAGGAGTCTGCTGCTACTCTTTGGGATGCCAGTGGGGCACATGGTGGACGTGTCCCAGACGCCGTCTTTGCGTACGCTGGTGCTGCAAAATTGATATACCTTCTTGATATGCAAGCAAAAGACCTGACACGGGGAATGACCAATGAGTAATGGGTCCAAGCATGGACTGCATTCGTGAGTCGATTTTTTTTGCCTTATTTGAGGTCACGAACAAGAACATCGCGGCGGACAGGCTGCTGCTTAACAAATTGTCCGCGAGATTAAGAAGGGGAAGATCATCTTGGTGTCATTGACACTTGGCTATATTTCTTTGATCAGATACTCGTCTTATAGTTTATCTCCCTGCAAAACACGCTCTGCGCTGTAATGACTCTCCACTCCTCTGGCAGGGCTTTTTTGGTAATGTTGATGATACTGCCTCGTAGAACTTGTCGATTCTTTGCACTCAGAGCTAATGATCTATAGCATCGATACTCGCATGTTCTTCCCTCCTACGATGTACACCCCCGGCTTTGGCGACGAGAACAAGACGAAGCCAGGTATCACGAGAACGATACAGTTGACGGGCGAAGGTTTGACAGCGGAACAGGCCGCCGCCGGGCAGGTACGTCATCGATTACAAGTTAGAAACCGCGCGACCTCCACCGTCGGCCTGACTACATAGGTGTTGAGAATGGTCATGTGCGTATCACTGCTGATCTCATCCACAAGCTTGTTCCGAGCTTCTATGCGTGGTTCTGCTCCTCGTAGCAACGTTGAAGTTACTAGTGCTATGGATTCTCATTCTTTCGCAGTTGTTTCTGCTATGTTTTGGGGCGATATCAGTCTTCCCTTACAATTATTACGACTCATGCTCTATATTTTAGCTACGTTCTCGTCCATACACTCTTGGGTGTTGTATGTATACAACGTTTTTCTGGGTCCCTTGGGTTCGAAACGGTGGCTTCGATTGGCGATCTCGTGTTGTATTCACACATCACGGTCACTGTACTAGGTAGTACTGTTGAAAAATTAGGATTGTTATGAATCTGTTCATGGCCCGCCTCTTGGATTTGTGTGTACATATACTTTTTATTAGATTCGTCGCTGGCCTCTACATGGTATGCAAGTGTCACCGAAGTGGCAAGAAATTTGACCCGCGTTAATCATGATAATGAGTGCTTGACCATTAACAGAAGAAAAGCTTTTTAGTACCATCATGCACTGTCCATCTCGTGCTCGTCGAATCTCAGTGACGGGGTCCAACATATACAATCTGCGAACGTCGTACTGACATGTACGCAGCTGTCGTTGGCATGCGTATCCCAGATGCTGATGATTAAACGGGGCGCGATAATAAATGGCGCGGTATCATTGAAGAGAAACAGCAGATTCGACACCGCTATCTGCGCGTGTCCGCTTTAAAGCTGATCGCTCTAGAATCATGGGAGATCATACCGGAAGGTTGGCCCATACTATCGCCATGAATATCTGAGATACCGAATTTCTAGCGGGATTCAATGAATATTTTCAGAGGACTCAATAGACAGAGGGGAACTTACAGGACAAAATATAGGATATGATATCGCACTATCATCAACACGTAGGTGTTAGGCTTCATTCTCATTTCCCTCCGTTCTTTCATGTGTTTCACGACGATGGCAACTGCAAGAACAGCTAGGAAGATATCAAAGCATATGACGGGGATGGAAGCATATATTGCAGGCATAGGCCCCATGTTGAAGGAAATCGCGCAGTACTTGAAGTTCCCAGCTATTATCTCTTTCGCTATGCAACGAGACGTCAGCATGAAAAAGCTTCGATGCAAGAAGAAATTTACCTGAGAACGCTGAAGGACGACTATATAAATATATATCCATCCCTATATAGAGCGCGACGATAGGTAGGAATAACCCCAGTAGAACATAAAGTAGGAGCTTGGATTGGTTGTACAAGACGTAAAGGCGCCATATGAGAATGGCTAGCGATGCAGAATTTATATGCATAATGATGACGAGAATGTATGACATACCTTCTGCCAAGCAAAAATATGTAGAAAAACTCCATTCGATTAAAACCATAAGAGGGTAGCCTATTTCGATTTCATGATGAGCAAACAGTCTCAGTTGAAGACGATATACTCGCAGCTATATAAGAGGTCGACGACCGTTGAGACTTAAATGTAAAGGGAATTCGTAACGTACGACTAGAACATGTCAGTCAAAAACTCTCTAAAAATAACAAGCATCGAAAAACTCACTGACTCAGGCGTGTTTATCAGTCCTCCCCCTAATGCTAGTCAGCTAATGATGGCTCAGTTGGCACCACATCACATACACGAGGCACAAAGCCTAGGGTCAGTGTCAATATACAATGTATCATCTGAAGGAAACAGCAATAGCGACGTACATTGCAAGGAAAATACCAAAATATCGAACCTGGCAGAGCAACGATGTGAAAACCATGGAGCACGTTGGTAGGGCGGAGCTCACAGCGAGGTAAAGGTATGTCATCAGTGACCACTGTCTTCCCTGGATATCCAGTCAGTCTCCGGAGCTCGATTTTGCAGATATGGAATTGAAAACTAACCCAGACAAACTGGACCTGCGACAATATGGTCATGAAGACTCGACCAAGAGAAAACAAGTTTTTCATTACCTCTTTATCGAACTGCAGCACTAGATAATCCAATACTCAGCTGCAGTGCAAAGTTCATGAAAGCTACTGACTGTAGTCATAAGATACCAGGGCAATTATTACGACTGGACAAATAATGAAGAGTCAACACGATCATTGTTCGTTCAGGAATCAGAACCAGGTTAAACGGAGCGGACGAACCAGCCATATTGTTGTTCCAGCGGAGGCCATATACATCTTCTTCAAGTTCCGACATGAAAATTTTCAGATCAAATGGTGAATTCAAAGGACGGTAAGCTGCTGATCACTGATCACTGACACAGTACTTATAAAGTGTACGGGTTGTGGCGGTGGGATGACAATTGTACGACACGGTGCCGAGTTTAAGGCACCGTACTTCCCCTTTGCGTTACGAATCGCTGTCTTCGATGTGACTTATCAACAGAAAGGTCGTTAGGATTTGGTTAGGATATCAAGGATCAGAACCACTTGCAAGAGTTACCCTGAGCCACCGGTGGCTGTTGCTGGATTCTGATTGTTCGACCTTCCTGTTCAGGGCCTAAGTTATCTAGCGCTCCCTAGTACTAGTAGACGTTCGTGTATTAGCACCGCAATTCTATACGGAATCCTCCAGTATGTTACATGTGGGTTTCCCCTACCATACTTATTACACATGACCGTTTTTTTCGTGCCGTGGTTGAGTTTTCAGTGTCCGAGGCTAGTTTTGCCAGTCATACTCATAGTCTCGCTCCTACAGTCACATCGCCACAGAAAATTCTGAAGTGCTAAATAAGTATCCGACGGTCAAGGAATTACTTTTTTTTTTGGTGGAAACGTTGAAGAGCTATAAAAAAAACGCGAACTCTGGTGGATGATCTAGGACATATACTGGGGAACATGAAATAAAATCGCATCGCTGACGCGAAACTTTCATAAGTATGCCCTCGACAAGTAAGCAAAACCTCAGCTGAGCTGTTAAAATGCTGATTGATCGGTATGCCAGACTCATCTCTTGGATTGACATGGCCGAGGGGGAGACAGCGGCAATCAGCCAAGCACTTTTCCTTACACCTATGGTAATATAACCATATTGACTGTACTGAACAGAATGACAGCCCAGCCCCCAGGGCGGGAGTGGAGAGCAGAGACGGCGGGCGCAATACTCGGGAGGAAGGGGTACTATATTGCACTTCCACGCTATCAGATGGTGAACGAAACATCGACCCTGAACTACTCACTCCCTAGAAATATCAGGAACACTGCCAGGACTAGACGCTGTTTGAAGCGCGCCTGCACACCCCGATCTTTTCTTCACTGATTTGGTAGTAGCATGCTAAAATTATATGCAAGACATCTTGTGCTACGTTAGCGAAGTGCAACACGTACAATGCGCGAATTGTCGTACTAACATGCATGCACTCGTTGTTGGCGTGCGTATCCCAAATGCTGATGATCAGACGGGACGCGGAAATGAATGGACGCTGTACTGTTGAAGAGCTCTGAGAGACTCATCGCTGGCGTTTGTGCGTGCATGCATTAACTAACTCTGTAGAATCATGGCGGTATAGTACCGGAATGTTGGCCCATTCACCAAGAAGATTTGGTTTGTTGAATTCCTGGCGGGGTTCAATGAATACTTGCAGAGAACCACTAAGTAAAGGGGAACTTACAGGATGATGATACAATCATGAATACATAGGAGTTAGGTCTCATCTTGATTTCCCTTCGTTCTTTCAAAATGCAGGTGTTTCACGAGGATGGTAGCTGCAAGAACAGCTAAGAGAATGTTATAGCATACGACGGGGATGGAGGCGTCAATCGCAGACATAGGTCCCATGTTGGAGGAACTAGGAGGCCCGCCGCGGTATTTGACATAGCTTGAGTTGTTACTTCTTTCACTACGCGACGAGACAGGGTGCGGAATGACACACCTTCAGGTTGTGGCATCTGAGGTAGTGCCTGGTGCCATATCTCTGCCAGTCTCTAGGGACTGCGAGCGAAGACTATAAGATGGGTCAGATGTTGGCGAGGCGCGGAGTTATGGGGTGTCTTGTGGGCCCTAAGTACCGCTTCCGAGTCAAGTTCGCTCCATTGTACTGAAATTTTGTTGACTGCAAGTGTGTGCGGTCTGTGTATTAGTGTCGAGCAAACACACATACCTATAACAAACAATAGCCAACAACGGGATTGATGGTAGGAATGAGTATTAAGCAAAAACTTTTGAGGGTGCCGCAGTCTCATCTAAGTTTGTTGAAATAAAGTTGTTGATACATATGCATAAGCGCCTGAAGCAGTAAGCTAAAATTCTCGCATTCATACATCCATGTTCGACTGGCTATCTTCGACTTTACTACTCCTTGCTGTTATTTACTCATCCTCCTTCATGTTCTCGTCGAAAAAATGGTCTCCAAAGGGACTGGTGAGAAGTGTTTCCTCAACGATTTCGTGGCTGACATGCATGGCTCTCCCAGCACGTCTATATCACAGGCGGCAGCCAGGGTCTTGGACTTGCACTCGCGAAGCTCGTTGCAGGGAAGGGAGGTCATGTTTCTATAGTAGCAAGGACGCAAAGTAAGCTCGACGACGCGCTCAAAGAGCTAGAGGTTCGTGTCATAATCAAACGCTCTCATTCATTCTGAATTTCAAATACGTTTAGGCTACTCGCCAAAACCCAGAGCAGGTGTTTAAAGCATTTTCATTCTCCCTCGACACTGCAGAGGAGTCTGCTGCTGCTCTGCGGGCTGCTAGTGATGCCCACGGTGGACATGTTCCAGACGCTGTCTTTGCCTGCGCTGGCGCCGCAAAACCGATGTACCTTCTTGATATGCAAGCAGAAGATCTGACGCGGGGAATGGCGAATGGGTACTGGGTACAGGCTTGGACCGCATTCGTGAGTCGACTTTCTTGCCTTATTTAGGGTCACGGAAAAGAACCTTGCGGTACACAGGCTGCTGCTAAACAAATGGTTCGCGAGAATAAGAAGGGGAAGATCATCCTGGTGTCATCGACGCTTGGCTATATGTCTTTGATTGGATATTCCTCTTATTCCCCTGCAAAACATGCTCTGCGCGGTAACTACTGTCCACTCCAGGGCTTTCTTGGTGATTCTCTGATACTGCTTCGTAGGACTCGCCGATTCTTTGCACTCAGAGCTAATGCTCTATGGCATCGACACTCACATCTTCTTTCCTCCTACGATGTATACCCCCGGCTTTGACGAAGAAAACAAAACGAAGCCAGCTATCACGAGAACAATAGAGTCGACGGACGAAGGTCTGACAGCGGAACAGGCTGCTGCCGGGCTCCTCGCAGGTATGTCATCGATCATGAGTTAGCAACTTTGACCTCAACCGTCGGCCTGACTACATAGGTGTTGAGAATGGCCATGCGCACATCACCGCTGATCTCATCACGAGCTTGTTCCGAGCTTCTACGCGTGGTTGTGCTCCTCGTAGCAACGCTGCTCTGGATTTCGCGTTCGACTTGATTGCTATGGTAGGTCTGTATCCCCACATCCTTGTGCTCGTCATTAACGCCTTTTTGTAGATCGGGATACCGTTGTGGAGGCGCTCGGTGGATAAGCAGGTGCTTTCACATCGCGAGGAACACCGGGAGTATCTGAGAAATAAAGGATTTTTCAACTAACGCTACAGTGCCAAACTCACTAGTATCTCCACGTATGCCCCATCCAATATTTTCGTAAGTAGGTTCAAACAAGTATGATCTTGTGACCGAGTTCGTGTGTCCAAAGGCTGAGTCATGCCTCAAGTTCCTATTCCATGTTGTATACCTCGAAGACCTACTTCCTTTCGCCGCAATTGCGCCCCCATAATAGCTACAAACTTCGTCGATAACGCACCTCCTTCGTACGACTCAATTTCTGCGTCTGCATCATCAGCGGCTTCTATTCAATCTAAACAACCATCTGCATTTCCTTTTTCAATCAGATGCGTTGCAGATCGGTCAGTGATGCGCCTGGGAAATCCATCAGGAACGCGCCTGCCTTGGACGACAAGAGTTACACGGTTGTGTTACCAGACCTATCTCGCATCCGTGATCTTGTTTCCGGTCCCGATTTCACTCCGTCCTTGGTCGACGGAATTGTCAATGTCTGCGCTGCTGCTCTCCCAGCTGCACAATTCTCTGACCTCTTGCAAACACCCAACATCGAGGGTCGCTCCGCGCTGTATTGGGCAATCGTGAACAACCGGAGAGAGGCCTTGTCGGTTTTTGCTACACTCATTCCCGAACTTTCGTCTGATTGCTCTTCTGACTTTCGTCTCGCGTGCATGGCAACTGGCGACCACGCATCGTTTACGCAGCTGGAGTTGGGAAATCGTGATGGCAAGTGCATGGTAATGTCCATATGAGACTGCATTGATTTACTAATTGTACACTCATCAGCCAAGGAGGAAGGGTCGAGACGCTTCTTAGGTTGTCCACCGGATAAGATTGACACATCGGGGGTTTCAACATTTTCCCTTTTGCAATATTTCAATCAAAAGCAGATCTAGACCTGGCTAGAGCATTCCAGACCTAGCCTAGAGCGTTCCAGAGCACTCTAGATTACCTTTCGAATGTAATTTCACTGGCGGCAAAAGGTGGTAAAATGTCAGTTTCCCCGCTGTGTGAGGTGCATGAACTTGGTGAACTGGGCGACCACCACTGGTGTGCTATTTCTTTCCGCATCGGGGTGTTCCAGAAACGCCTGCGCATTATAGGGGACTTAATATGGGAATTTATTGTGCGAGGTGTGTGGTCCATGTCTCTCGGTTTATGGTCCTCACGTTGATATGATGACGCAGGACGTATATGATGGATCAGCTTCTATATGGATCGTTCAATGTCTGAGTGGTGCGTTGCGATTGGCCTTTCTCCGCCTAGCTTTCGAGCGCGGAGTCCAGAAGGTAAGCTTTCGATCGAAGCGCACAGTGGGAAACCTGGCTGGCAGTGTAAAACCCCACCTCAAGCATTGCTATACACACTGAAGTCCCAGGAATGCGATCAAACACTTGTACCAGACGGGTAGGGCCTAAAACCCATTCGAAGCCAAGGGTGTACTGATGGATTCACGATTCCTATGGGACTATTCTTTGCTCCCCTGTTGGCTACGCAGATCTGATTGTTATACATCATACAAAGGAACTGGAGAGTCTGTCACCAACATTTTGTGGACGTTGGGCGACTGGATAATGAACGAGTAGGTCTTTCGCTTCCTTGGCGTGTCTTCACCGAATGCCGCTGATTGTGTTGTTGTAGCAATGTCATGTATGTAGATTGCGATGGCACCCTACACACAAAGCTGCTGATGAAACTCAATTAGTAGTAATGTTTGGCTGACTGAGAATAGGAAGAAGGTGGCGATTGATCAGGATACATAGCGCGCTTCTTACTATCCTCGTTGGCTCTTTCTCGCAGCCTTGGTTAGTCTCTTATTCCTTTCCTCACCCTTGAGTATTATGATGAGCGAAGAGCGTACCAAAGAGAATAAGTGAGAGTTGTGTACACTTGCGACTGAAGGCAAGAAGTGGTCCCTATTTTCCTCTCGAAGTTCTATCTTCTTCAAATTCGCAATTAATGGCTCCCAAGCAGTTTGGTGAGCGAGTCTGTTGGTAACGCACCTCCATCATACGGCACAATTTCGTCTGCATTCGCTGATATTAAATAACCCATCTATATTTTGCTTCATATCAACAAGGCGGAAAGGATCACTATTCTATCATCCATTCGTGACATTGTTCTCGCTCTGCCGTCCCAACTATCCACGCCTGTGCTGCTGCTCTCAGCCGCAACCTTGTATTTTTTCCTAAGTATTCAGATTCTTCGATGCGAGTATCAGGTACCAAACACGAAGGATGTGGGCGTACTTACTCGTGCTTGTATAGGTACTTGTGTGTCGACTATCACCGCTCGATTGGCAATTATGATCAGCCTGAAACTATTCAGTATGGTGATTAGCGCTAATGATGAGAAGATGGGCCTGACGCAGTTTGATTCTTCAGCGGATTTGCAGTGAGGAGCGGCTCTGCCATTGAATGGAGACGCATTGACGTTGTTGTTGCCCGTAGTGAAAATATATCATCTCCACGATCAGGAAATGACATTGGCAAAGATGTCGTAGTGAATATATCTGTTAGGTCTCATGCGATAGAAGTTATACTTCCAATACATACTTCTACGCCATGGGACCTGACGGATATATGAGCTTTCCTCGTCCGACGAGTCAATGAAAGTGGTTTCGGGGCCGAGGATCTCGTGTGGGGGATGGAGACGAGGGGTCGTTTGATCTGTGAGAAGGACTCATTTCATGAGTATACGTGGACACCCCGGTATCAGATAGAAGGGGTTCAAACCTAGCGGGAGTCCTTGGTATAACCAGACCGAGCATCCCCAGCGAAGACTTGATGGCTATGGGAGAGACACGTCATTTAAACGAAGTGAAACATACAATCAAAAGACGTCTGCCGAATGACGGCACGGCGCCGTTCGTTCGTCGGTTGCCCTTGGGAACCTTATCATTTTCCGTAGGTTGAATAATACGTACCAAGACTTGTAGCACAGCTGGAACAACCATTTAGCAGCGCGGCTAAACGTCTGGCTAGGGTTTTCAACAACGATGAAAACATGTGGGATCCCTAGATGAATGATGACGCGCGCTTATTTAGATATTCTAGGGTGCGCACGGACCAACTGTAAAAGCCTGGTGGCGGCCTCGAGGGAGTTTGATTAAAGTCACGCGTTTAAATTCATCCGCGGCAAATTCCGTGAGAAGTGTACCTGAACCGATTGAATCTGCACGTGTATTAGATCACGATCGGGGTGATTCATTTCTATCGCTTCACCTTTCAAAGTTGCTTTCTTTTTGCTCCCACTACCACTCTGAAATCTATCGAGCTCAACGTACGACACAACGACAAAGACGACAAAGACAACGAAGAATAAGAAGAAGACGACGACGACTAATCTTTAGGTGTCTTTGGTCGAGAATGAACGTGTCTGATCTCCTACAGGATTCGCCTAGCCAACATCGAAAACGACCTTCTGCGCATGACGGCACAAGTATGCCGACGACCACGAGCTCTTCTTCTCCTCCTCAGAATGTACCAACTACATCGAATTCAGTTTCACCAAATACTCGACCTACTCTAGTTACTACCAATGCCCAGTACCCTACCGTCAATGCTCCTACTGCACCGCCATCCAGTTCTTACTATTCACCTTCCCCATTCGTACCACAGCGCATCACACCGAGGCAAACACCCGAACAACCAATGGCTAGTCTCCAACACCCTCACCCTCACCCTCCCTGGGGTCCTCGTACAACTTCGGGGTCCTCACCATTGGTAACTGGGAGTGCTAGAGCGCCATTATCCGGAGGTACTGTCTTCTTTTTCTGTTCGTCATTATCAACTTTTTAATCATGAATTTTCGATTTCCAGAGAGGAGTCCACGTCCAAACTTACCTACTACTCCTGCTATACGTCCGTTTTCATCTTTAACCTACAAATTTAATACTAACCCCTCCTACAGCTTCCCCTCAAATCCAATCTCAACCCCCCAAACCACCCTCTCTCGAAAAACGCCCTCCTCCAACTCCAAACTTGAACCCAAATCTCAACAATCCAAGTCCTAATCTAAACCCAAATCTCAACTTTCGCGATAGAGAGCCGACTATGCGCGACCCCCATCGCGAACGTGACCTTGGTCGCGAACCACTCCACCCCCGTGACTTGCGTGACCCTATATTGTTGCCGAGGGACCCTGCCCTCTTGCCCAGAGAGCGCGATCCTGCTTTGCTATCTATACCGCGTGAGAGAGACCCTGGTTTACTCCCCAGAGAACGTGATCCCAGAGAGAGAGATACGTTGCTCACAAGAGATCCTCATTTCCAACGCGAGCCTCTTGCGCTTGGCCGTGGCGAGCCCCTCCCGAGGGAAAGAGACCCTCTTAGCCTTGTTCGTGGCGAAACCCTATCGAGGGAAAGGGAGAGAGAGCCCCTGCTCCCACGCTATCGAGATGAGCGGGAGAGGGATATGGATGTGATTCGTGCTGCTGCGGCTGCGAGGGAGAGGGAGCATGAGATGGGCATGGAGAGGAGAGAACCGTTGGGTATGGATAGGCGTGACCCAGCTTTGGATAGGCGCGACCCGGTTATGGATAGGCGCGACCCTGCTATGGAAAGGCGTGACATTCCCATGGATAGACGTGACCCACCCATGGACAGACGCGACCCGGCCCTTGACAGACGTGACCCACCCATGGACAGACGTGACCCAGCCCTTGACAGACGTGACCCACCCATGGACAGACGTGACCCGGCCCTTGACAGACGTGACCCACCCCTCGACAGAAGGGAGAAGGATAGACGAGACCACGCACACCCAATGGACCGCTTCGAACCTGGAGCCCGTCGTCCCCCATCCGAACGTGGTCCCGTCCCTGCAGGCCCCGGCGTACTCCAACTCCACCCTGGCCCTATTCATCCCCATCCCCACACCCATGCACAGCTAGATCGGGACAGGGAGCGAGAAAGAGAACGTGAAAGAGAACGTGAACGCGAAAGGGAACGCGAAAGGGAAAGGGAACGCGAAAGAGAACGCCCTCATGCTATGGTGCCCCCGCTAGACCGTGAACGCGAGATGGCGATCCATAGGGAACGAGAAGCGTTGCGTGAGAGAGGGGAGAGGGAGCTTTTGCCACAACAGCAGCAGCAACAACAACGGGAAAGAGACAGGGAAAGGGACAGGGACAGGGAACGCCCCGGAGACATGCAACGAGATAAACCCAACACTGCTGAACGAGAAAGGGTAGGACCAGGCCCTGGCCCCATCCCCGGCTCCGGCCCCGGACCCAGCCATCGCGCATCTCCACTCTCCAGACCCCCATACGTACCAACAAATACCCACACCCACCCATCCCCACACGCACATACGCACGGACACACACCAAACCATCCGCATGCCCATATTCCGGCGCACACTGGACATAGTCATCCCCCGCCTACGCAGGGTCGTGGACGGATGTTACCAGGACAGGGACAGTTCCAGGCGTTGCCTCTCCCGCATGCGCATGAGTGGGATAGGGAGCATCCGCAGGGGCAGAGGGTGGAGAGGGAGCGTGTGGATCTGAGGCTTCCTGGGCCTGAGAGAGATAGGGAGCGGGAGAGGGAGAGGGAGAGAGAAAGAGAACGGGAGAGGGAGAGGGAGCAGAGAGAACGCTTACCTTCTGATCAACGCCTGAGCGAGCGTCCTGGTCCAGGGGAGATCTTACAGTTGAGGGACCCAGCGCTTTTGGTGAGAGATCGAGAAGTTGTGGTGAGGGAGCGGGGTGACTTTATGAGAGAACGGGAGCCCAGAGAACGGGAGAGAGTTGGGGAGAGAGAACGCGAGCCAAAGGTGCTTTCAGACCGAGATCGGGAGCAGAGAGAGAGGGAGCATAGGGGTCTCGAACCGGCTGATCGACGCATTGGACGCCGTACGCATTCACATCCGCAACCTCAGGCTCAGGCGCACTCGCGGATACCGTCTCCCATGATAGAAGAGAGGGAGAGAGCGATGATGGAACGTGAGCGCGAGCACTTTGAGCGTGAGAGAATGGAGAGGGAGAGGATGGACAGAGGACACCTTGAGCGCGAGTACATGGAACGAGAACGGGAGCGTGGGATGGGTATGAGCATCACTGAGCGGGAAAGGATAGAACGCGAACATCTCGAGCGAATGGAACAACAGCAGCACATGGACGCCCTCGAACGTGAGCGCTTCGACGCTCTCTCTCGCGAGCGCGAACGTGAACACCTTGATCTCATCTCCCGCGAACATGCCGAAGCCCGTGAGCGTGCGGAGCGTTTGACACTTGAGGCGATGGAGCGTGAACGCGCTGAACGTGAGGCCCTCGAGCGCCTTCCCACCCCACAGGAACTTGCGCTGCTCCTCCAATCCCGCATGGAGCGCTCGCATGTTAGCCTCGGGACTTGGGTCTACCCCGCATTACCGTTCCCATGGTTTTTCGGAGAGCATATGCCCTGGATGAAAGAAGGAGAGGCACAGGAGATCGGAAAAGATGGCTTGGTCATCCCTCCGGAAGTCCGTCTCACAGTTCTCATCCCATCCTCCTTCCTCCCTGCATTACGACCACACAAGCTACGATTATGGGGTGGAGGATTGTTACCCCCTCCGCCGATACAATTTTGGCCTGTACATGCGAACTTGGGTGGCAATGCAGCTGGAAACGGAAATGGGTCTGGCCCTTCCGGATCAAGCACCACGCCTAACACCTCAGGAGCTGGTACAAGAACGACGCCAAACCCTGCACAACCTACTTACCATCCAATGCACGCCCCCCGCCGACGCGTCTACACGGACGACTCAAACGTTCTCGCATGCGCCGTGCACGCTGGTCTTCTAACATGGAGCGCCGTCTCCCGCGCAAAGGAAGAAGGCAAAGACATCAAAATCGTGCTTGGAGTCGTGCCCACCGTGTCTAGTTTTGGAGGCAACGTTCCGAGCGATGCAAGCAGTCCGAGATCCTCCTCCTGTCGTGAGCACAGGGATCGCGCTAGCGAATGGAAATGGAACGCCTTCGAACGGCGTCACGCCCTCCGCACCGAACGGGATCACGCCTAGCACCTCTCAGTCTTCTACTTCGCAGCCGTCTCATGTTTCTAGCAACAACGGTACCAGTGGTATTGCAGGAGCTACAGCGCTTGATGGGATGGGTTACGCTGGTGGTGTTTGGGCGAGCCGGTTCGTGGGTGGATGGGGGGAGGCGTTTTATGGGCATCTGAGTGCCGGGTATCGTGTTGGTGCTGCGAGTGCGAATGATGCTGCGGGTGCGAGACAGGGACAGAGGAGCTTTGAAGAGGAAGCGGAGGATGATGGGAGAGGTGTTGTTAGTGCTGGTTGGGGGTGGGGACATGATGGGAGTGCGGTTGAGGTTGTGGATGTTGAGGTTGTTGAGGTGGGTCTTTTCTTTTGTTTTTCGTTTTTCGCTGCTCTTTATTTCTATTCGTATTTTGGTGGTTCACGTACTGATGCAAGATCATATTACAGAAGGGCACCGCACGAGGTCCTGGGCTCGGGCGACGCAACAGGTCGCAGAGGCTACAAGAATATGCGACGCGTCGTACGGCTTTGGCACTTTCTCCCTCATCATCTGCATCACCACCACCACCTCACACACATTTATTCGCTGACGTAACTAATGGCCGCAAGCGACGCCGGATTACCTTTGACGATATCAGCGTGAATGGGAAAACAAACGCAGACCCCGAGAACGTGGAGGAGCTGCAGAAGATGCATGCGCGGACGCTGGTGTTTGGTGGCCCGGGGGTGGGAGCTGGGTGAGTTTTCATTGCTTGTTTTCAAGGATAGTGCTGGTTGCTGACTGGATATTTTTATGCGTGGTGTAGATTCAAATACAGCCCGACACTCCTTGCATGTGCGCTCTTCCCGCACCTCGCAGACCCTGCAATACGTGTATCCTTACCTCGAAAGCGGCGGAAGATCGTGCACACGCAGGACCCATCTGCAGGGACAGGGGACGCGAAGATGGACGCAGACGGTGCTGGTGATGAGAGTGGGGACGAGCGACAGGCAGTGGTTCTGGAGAGCGACGGCGAGACGTATCTTATTGCTCCTGGGCCTAGCCCGAGTGAAGGGTACATATTGTCTGTCCTCCTGCCTACACCTTCTATGGACGGGAAGGGACCCGGAATGGACGCCGTTGATGAGCCTGTGGACGATAAGAACACGGTGACAACTACACCTGCACCTGCGCCCAAGACGCCTCCACCCCCTTCGAGTGCTGGCGAAAACGCAACAGATGCTTCCGATGCGCCAAAAGACGATCAAAAAACGCCAGTTCCAGATCCACCTCCAGCGCAGCCCATATCCGCTTCCCCGCCTTCGGAAAAGACAGTGCCCCAGAGCAGTCATACAAAGGTCATCAGAAGCAACCTCCAGGATACGGATTTCAAGTTTGAGCAGGATGGTATTGTTGTGTGTGGGGAGGGTGACGAGATGAGGGTGAGAGTGATGCGATGGAGGTGGTATCTATAATACTTACGGGGCTTTGTTGCGCTTACTATGCTTAGAATTAATATTGCTTTGGTCATGCATAAGTTCTGTCATTTCTAAGTGGCATGCATCTTTGCAGAGTCTCAGATACTTATCTATCGCTCAATTTTTCGGACGGGTTGCTGACTCGTAATGGGTGTCCGCTAATTGCTCCATCTGCCTTGAATCACGTGTTGATCAAATCAACATCTTGACATGTGTTACTATCAACAAAAGAGCCCGAACCGTATATGTGAATATATGTCGCAATGTAAGACCTTGTGCACAACTTGTGTATGTCTTAAAAGCTGGATCACAGCATGCATGCTCATGTAAGCTTCACAAGGCCTTGCATGCTTTGGGCTCTTTTGTTGGTGACGCAAATACGCCCGTCACGACTGCACCAAAATTGTATACATGTTTACCCAAAGCATACCTCATAGACTACTTGACATTGATAATTAGTGTCCATGGAGTGCACATGCCACCAAAATTCAGGTCTTTCAGGGTCCTGTGAGTATTTATTTATTCAGATTGTCTTCCTGGCTGACCTGGCTGCTGTGGCGAGTCAAGAAGAATGAGCGTTTAGCTGCGGGTAGTCAGTTGAACTCCAGAGCGTACGACCAGGAAAGTATGTCATCATCTTTTTCCGAGGCTCTTCTGACTCTTCTGGAAGTCCCACTAATGGCAACAAGTTTCTGTGGGGTGTTTCATAGGACAGTTGCCGTCATGAGTAACCGAGACCTAAGACCACTGGCCGAACTAGCGCGATAGCATCAAATACTCTCATTTCCCTTGTCTTCGTGCCGAGCCAAAGCCTTATCCCTACAAGTCCTAAAGGAGCACGATAGGATAGGTATTAAATAAATTTTCAGCATCTGCCGCCCTATCCTATCACTTCCTGTTTTCGCTGGGCAACGTTGAACTGACCTGGGTTCTGATCAGTGGCAGTGAAGTCATGATTCACCCGGTCATCACAAACAAGTTGAGCTATATGACTATTGGTGGTATTCTGCGGCGCGTTGCTTATCTCGATCTCTGCTCAAGATCTAGAGGTGACGGTGCGCACCCCACCAAGATTCAAGTCTCTCTGAGTCACGTGAGTATTTATTTATTGTAAGCTCATTAGTATCTTCCGTGAGGCATGCTCGATGTGAATGTGTCAGCGAACACGAAGCTTAGGTGTGTACGATTTGTCCCATTCCAAAATTGTTGGTATATTGTAACTTTTACAGAGGCGTATTGCACAGATGAACAGAACCTTACAAGACCAGCAAATCAAAGTTGCAACGTCTACCGTCACTTCATCCCGCTAGACGGGATTGACTTGGGATGCAAGAGCGGTTTGTTTAACTGATAAAAACGATAGTAAAGCCGTATTCGTCCAAATAAGCTAAATTAAAATTTAACGACCTACCAGCTCCAGTGCAACCTGGCGATCCTACGTTTATCATGACGCACTCGCCAAACGAGTTGCCGCTCAAAACTATACTTTCGCGACCGTGTTCCAATGGCGCTATCTGCTTCACCAATGGAAGCTCCAAGGGTGTGGGTTCTGTAGTTGGGACTACGCGCTCTAACTTGGTCACGGCTTATTTCCAAGGTGAGTCGTCTTCGGGTACGTCAATAATGTGAAGGACTCACTGGAACCGATGCAGTGACTTGAAAATATGTTGATGGTTCCCCCTTCCGCAATGTGGTTGTTCTGCATGATTATGACGGAGTTGTTTGGGTTCATGGTTGACTGTTCGAGATTCGGCAGGGGAGTACCATTGGTCACGGAAGCATGACCAGGCAATGGTCTCGGCATTGCATTAGCATCTAGGAGTGGGGCGACGGCGAGGGGAAAACAGGACTCATTTGAGGCACAGGATGAACACGCTCCAGTGGAAGCATCCATTGAAGAGGTATGAGGATGATGGAAAAACAAGAGCGCACCTCTCTTAAAAAGTTTCTTGTGCAGGGCCGTTAAGATTAATACATCCGAGACACGGTTTCAAGTGGGGTGCGTGGTGTTTTTCGGGGAGCAGCGGTCAACGGTCAAAAATGGGCGCCCACAAGATAAGCACGCATAGTAAGCTTCGATAATAAGTGCACGCTCCCATCAATATCTCACAACTTCAATGAACCGCCAGTTCCTATTTTTCCATCTTACGCCTTCCAAACCCATTGAAATCCATCAACGGAAAGTCCAAATGTGTGTCTACTGTGAGGTACAGATTCCAAAGAAGCAGTTCACTTAGTCTCAGCTAGCTGGGGTAACTAAAGTTGCGGCGATCACCATGGTCCTGCGATTCGTGGCGGAATTGCAGACCTTCGCTTTTTGCGGATGATAACTCAGTACTCAGGTACTAGTACCTGTCCAATGCTATTTGCGTAGCGGTATACAATTAGCTTCCTACTCTCGCTCAGGCCAAGCTCATGAGGCCTTGCGAAAAAATGACCCTGTAGTGCAAACAGTAGTAGCATCAAGCTTTTACCTTGCTGACCAACGAAAGGTAACGGCATACAAATCAAACGGCATATCCTTAACGCCTAGTTGTAACACAATAGAGCGCATTCGCTTCGGGCGAGCTCCATCGGTCATGAAAATGTGGACGCAGTGTTTGTGGTATCCCTCTCGGACTCGCGCTTCGCCTTGAAAGCAGAATGTCATCGTTGCAAGCGATCATACCATAGGACGATGAGTATGTTGAAGAATACTATGATAAAAAAGAATTAGCCTAACCTTCAGGGCCAAGTAATAACCATAGTCCGGGGAGCACTTAGTCCTGGCCCTCCATTAAAGCACGTTAGTGTTCCGCGGACATTACCGAACAACAATAAAATGATATCACACACCCGAAGCCAATGGCCACGGTAATAAATGATGTGAGTCGTATCTAGCAAAAAAATTAAGAGTGATGTGTTCCCTGTTACGATTCCCCCGTTCGGGAGCCGATCTATCTCGGAATCGTAACATACAAGCCATGGAACCTAAATGTGGCAATTACCCTAACTATATTCGGCATGAACGCCACCTTGCATTTTGCGATGTCCGTGTAGTACGAGAGCATCCTCATCCTCATCCTTGTCTTCATCTTCCTCATCATAGGTCACCCGTTTTTGACTGCGTGAGACCGTTATGGCCAATAGTCCCTGTAGTGATTTCAAATTCACGACTGCTGCGGTGGGGATGCCCAGGCAGGGAGTAGCGGAGCCAGGAGGAGATCACAGAGTCAGGAGAAGGTCACGGGGTAAGTAGGCAGGGGTTCTAGAGGTTGAGCAGTGAGGAGTCATAGTGCTTGCGTTATAAAACACGCCGTTCTGTCGTTCTGTCCATTCCATGTGTCGTTGCATCTGGCGGGTCACCGCGTCCCCAGGTCGGTTGCTGCGCTCAGCGTCAATATCATTCGTGACTGGTTATGTATAAATTGCTACCGACATCCGGAAGCCAGTACTTGTGTAGGCTATGGATAATGGTGATAACAAAAAAATACCTGTCATACGGATAATAGTACTGGGCCTAGCCGAAATGCGCGGTCAATAAGAAGGCTGCAGATCATCCGTGAGCGCTAGTGAGCATTAGCTACGGGGACTCAATTGAGCTCTGAAGAATCACGTCCAGTCACTGGTCAACCGTGACGTGTTTCCGCCGAAACTCAGAATTTTCTTAGTCTCCCCTAGGCAGACCAAAGCATAGTATTAAACGGTAACTCGTTCGGCGAGTGCGTCACGATCGCCAAATTGCACTGGAGCTGGTAGGTCGTTTAGTTCATCCAAACGAAAATCGGCTGTATGATTATTTGTATCGGTGGGACAAACCGCTCTTGCACCCAAAATTGGCCACAAAATCTAGCGGGAGGAAGGGTTCGCTGATCTTGTAGTGCAATCACCTGTACGCCTATGTAGAAATGCAGTCCACTTGTTTTTTAAAAATGGGACGAACTGTATATGCCTAAGCTTCGACGTACCTGCCTCAAAGGTAATAATAAGCTCGCAAAAAATATCAATACCCATGGGAGGAGCGCTAATTGCATGATGGTGGTCCCTCAGAATGTTCCGTGTTTCCTTTGGAACAATTCTACATTTTGGTGGATACTCGAAGAGCACATGGTTGCACATAGCATAGTGTAGTCATACTACCTGCAAATAGCATACAGAACCCGTAACGGGCAGTTCAGCGGTACTGTTCAACAAAAGGCGCAGGAGTGACACTAATGATTATTTCTACTAGATGACAATATCAACACAACCACAAGTTGCAGAAGGATTGGACTCACTAATATAATACCACTGCTTGAACAAACCCATACTCTTCGCTCGGTGCGGAACCCAATATGTCGCAGTCTCTCCTCCCTCCTCGACACAGGCACCCCTAGTGTTGTCGAGATGAGTCTGAAGAACCATGGGAATTTAGCATCGCTGCGGGTCACGAGCTTCTCACCGAGCAGTGAGTACTGTACATGTAGTCTATAGATTGTTCGAGTCACATGATTTAAAGCTAATAGCCATAAGCCGCCACAGCCTGTCCCTTGCGCACAGATGGTGGTCATCTCGTTTCTTCGTTACTAACGCCAGTCGGGGCTATGTAGAACTTCATCTGGCACTTGAATTTTCACGTCAATTGAACCTTGGAGCTCTTTCGGACCGATCTCAGCCTCCCCCGTCTATCACACCCCCGCCGGTCTCTGGGGTGCCACGCTTCTCACATATCTCTTCTTGCCAATCCAAACCCCGAACTTTTCATCAGCAGTACCATCACGTCACAACATCAAGAATAGTAAATAATAATTCAGCTGTTGCTCTATCCCATTTTTCACTGGGCAACATCCAACTGCCACTTGGGCTTCTGTGGCCAGTGGCAGCGAAGTCACGATTCACAACAAATTCGTCCCGACAGGAGCATACCTGCGCATCTCACACAAGCTACAAGCCGAGCTTTAATTCAGTTTCTGTTCAACAGGCAACTACACGATGTGGTGCGCGCATGCAACCAAGATTCAGGTCTCCCTGGCTCTTGGGAGTATTTATTTATTCATTAATATCTTCCGTAAGGCAGGCTCGATGTGTACTGATTGTGCCATTCCAAAATTGTTAGTACACCACAACTTTTACCCGTATTGTACAGATGAACGACAAGACCAGTAAATCAATGTATGCTGTCACTTCATCCTACTAGATGCAGATGTTCGAGTGGTTTGTTTAACTGGCTCAAACAATATTACAACTTCTGTCTGTCCAGATAAACTAAACGACCTACCAGCTCCAGTGCAATTTGGCGATCCCACATTTATCATGACGCACTCGCCAAACGAGTTGCCGCTCAATACTATGCTTTCGCGACTGTGCTCCACTGGCTCTACCTGCCTCACCAATGGAGGCTCAAAGGGCGTGGACTCTGCAGTTGGAGCTACGTGCTCCAACTTCACCACGGCTTGTTTACGAGGTGAGTCTTCTGCTATGTCAGACATGTGAAGAACTCACTGGAACCGGTGCAGTGACTTGAAAATATGTTGATGGTTCCCCCCTCCGCAATGTAGTTATTCTGTATGATTACGATGCAGTTGTCTGGGTTCATGGTCGGCTGTTTGACAGTCGGCAGGGGAGTACCATCGGTCAAGAAAGCATGCCCGGACGATGGTGCTGGTGTTGCACTAGCATCTCGGAGTGCAGCGATGGTGAGGGGCGAACGGGACTCGCTTGAAGTGGAAGTTTCCATTGCAGAGATATGAGAACTGCTGGTAAAAGCAGGAGCATGCCTCCTTTTTTAAAGGTATCTTATTGGCGCCTCGTTTGCAGGGCGGCGGTCAAGGGTGACGGGATCAATATCTCGGTACGGATTAATATCTCGGTACGCCATCCCCGGTGAAACTTTGAAAGTAAGCATGACAAATAAAGATATCTTTCTAGTGCCTCGTGTGCAGGGTGGCTGTCAAGGATGACGGTATTATTTCGGTACACATTCCCCGGTTGAAACTTTGAAAGCAAGGTAAACAATGTTCTAGAATCAGGGTAGCGGACAACCAAAACAGCCGCCCGCATGATAAGCTATATGCTTAGAAGCTTAGCCAGTAAGCAAATGATTCATGATGTTGCACGTCACCATAATAGGACACCACATTGAACCCTCCACACCACACAAATTCGCGCCCGTGATCATCCCCATCATGACTTCAATGACATATATCTGTTATGTCCCTAGTATTCCATCAACTTCTGAAAGTACAAATGTGTGACTTAGTCGCTAGGTATTGATTCGAGGCAGAAGTTCACTTGACCGTGATCACCTGGGAGTACGGTGTTCGCCATTCACTGGCATGGAAATTATTGATGTCATGGGCCTTTGCTTCAAGATTGGACTTTTGGCTGATAGAATTGGCAAATATCGTTCGCAATCAGTTCTGAGTACAAACAATTATTCATCGCACACACAGGTCTCGAGGAGGAAAACCCCTGAGTGGAAGAATGGGCTGGCCAGCATCCCTAGATCAATTGCTGCCAGGCTGTGAGAGATGCGGCAAGTGTAAGAAATACTAACAGCACATTCCCCATGGACGGTATGCGGCACTCGCGGCCCTTGAGTATGTAGGGTCCCATACTACGGTGCTCTATCTCCGACTCTGGTATTGTTATTTGTTAACTTAGGCTCCTTTCGTCTATCATGAGATTCCCACGAAATGAGTGTACAGCAGCTAAGCTGGGCGGTTCAAAGCATTACAGTGCTCTATCTCCAACCCTGGCATCCAATTCAACGACTCCTGTCGTCCGATATCACGAGACTCCCACAGAATGCGTGAATACGCAGCAGCCTAGCTCGGCGGTTCAAAGGATGGACATTTCTACGAAATCGCAAACATTAAAATTGTCCAATCATATGTCCACTATCTTTCCGTCCACAGGTGCTGGCCTTGTGTGGGAAATGAGCAGGCAGTGAATTTCCATCAAGTAAACCTGCGGAGCATGCATATGTCTTTATCAGCTGCCAGGTAGCAAGCCCCGATGAAGAAGCCCGGCGATTGAGAGCGGAGGGGAGTGTGTCTTTTATGTAAAGGTACCATTGAACATTCTTCTCTGTTCATTACCGTTAGGTATCCGCTCAGCACTTTGCACCATAGCCATCATATCAAATGCTGTTAGAAAGTATATTCTCAGGGAACTCCCGATTTTGCGAAGCGCTCATAATCTCATTCCAACCGAACATTCAAGGCAGATCTGATTATTGTTTCAATCCAGTTAATCACACGATTGAATGATTCTACCATTAGTACTGGTCTGGCATCTATTGCCGAGCCTGCGTGGGCGCCATGGTCCATCAACACCTCGATTTCCAGTTGCATCTTACAGTACGATGGCGGTACAGGGTGGGTGTGCTCCAGTGAAAATATTCACTACAAAGATGAGGGGGCTTGTAAACACAGCGGAAGTACATCTTCAAGGTATTACTTAACCTGTTCTAACAGAGTTCCGTTTCCAGTTAAATTGCTTTCTATAGGAAGAACCTCCACTCATAGCCGCCTATATCTGTGGGTCCTGACGTACGTGTGATGTGAGCAGGAACGGGGTAAGAGCTGATAAGAGAATGTATTATCTCAGTATCTGTTAGAAATTCGTAGCACAGCTATAGTACCTGATAAGAGAATGTATTCTACGTCTCGTTAGCGCTTTGTATAATAAGGGAAAATATAATGGCTTACATCTCAGTATCTGTTAGAAACTGAGATGCTCGAATGCCAGACTCGTAGCTTTATACGTAGTTAGTATGGATACGCTAAATAACGAATGTCATAGAAATAAAGTAGTCCAATAATGACGAGCCTCGGCCGACGTCATTGCGTCGCCTCGTCGTACAGCTTGGTTGCGCTCGATATGTCTCACTCTGACATCACTAACTGCTCGTCTTCCGATCCTCCCGATTCGTCAGAGCTCAACAGTACGCTGAGGCTTGTTCCGTCCTCATGTCATACACAAAGATCATAGATCATAAATGCCATACGGTACTTATCCCCTGTCTCGTAATATTTTGATGAGGAACGAATTTCGTTGATCTAATGTAACTAACCCTAACTAACCTACCTATTGGCTGACTGCCCTACATCATTCGACAGAATGGTTTACAAAATTGGGTCCGCGTTTTCAGAGCCCAGATGTGGCGTTCTTAGAACGTGCACACGGGAATTGAGTCGACTTGAGAGAACTTAGGGTTTGAGCAGAGGTAAACTGGCCGAACTAAGCTTTATTTTGAGGGAAGGATCAACTCCCGATCCTGCACTAAGTACGCTAGTTTATATACGATAAGGAGGATCGGGGAAAGTAGGAATAAGAAACTAAGGAGGGAAGAAACAGGGTGAACTAATAAGAAATATATCAAAGCTGATTGATATCCTAATTGGTAACCATCTAGGTCTTTTAACGAACGTCACACCAGAGGTCGTGCTTCGAATCGGTTAGTACTCACCCAACTTGACCTGATTAATGATCGGGAGCACACCTTCTATGCATGGAAATACCCGAAAACCAGTGGCAGTAATAAATGGGCATGAACGCCGCCCCCCAGTCGAGCATCCTCGTCCAGGTCATCCCCCCTCAATGATGATTGGCCATGTTCAAATTGCTACGGAAAGCCAGCGTATAGTACTACCTACAAACGACGGTAAGAACTTAGTCAGATTAGTATCGGTTTTGAGAAATAAATTCTACCAGTCATACAGATAGTCGTCCTGTCTGAAATTTGGTCAAGAAGAAGGCTGATGTGGGCATTAGTAGCTGGGGGCAGTCAGTCGAACTCTGGAGCATTCCGTTCAGTCAAGGAAAGTAGTACAGTACTCCATGTCCCCGACGAGGTTCGAACTCTTTAGAATGGCTGGTTCGACAGTCTCAGGTGACCGAGTTTCTGCAGCGGAAAAAAATCGACGTCCGTGGCTTCACTGCTCCTCAACCTGTGAGATTGTGGTTGTATTAACCTTGTCACCCAGAAATAATCATTGCCATCCCTCACTGCGCCTTTATGGGTTCTGCGCGCTACATGCGCTATGGTACATGGTGTGCAGCCGCGTGTTTCTCGAATATCCACCAAAATGCTAGTCTCCCCTAGTCAGCCCATACAGAAGAAAGACATTGTTCCTTCTATGATCCAAAATGCATACTTTTCCCAGAGGAAACACGGATCCGTCCCAGGGACTTTCCGTGGGTATTTATGTCTCTATTACTTGGTACGTCGAGATGGCCGGCACCAAGCTTACAATTCATTCCGTGTTAAAAAATGCCGGTGAACTGTATCTCTACATAGGCACACAGGTGAATACATTACAAGACCAGCCTTAAACCCTTCCTCCCGCTAGATGTTTGCGGGATGCAAGAGCGGTTTGTTTTACTGAAGCAAACAATTATAAAATCATTTTTTATTTAGATGAACTAACGACCTACCAGCCTTAGTGCAATTTGGCGATCCTACATTTATCATGACGCACTCGCCAAACGAGTTGCCGCTCAATACTACCCTTTCACGGCGTGGCTCCACAGGCTCTGACTGCCTCACCAACGGAGGCTCAAAGAGTGCGGACTCTGCAGTTGGAGCTACATGCTCCAGCTTTGTCACAGCTTATTTACAAGATGAGTCTTCTGTTAAGTCAGACATGTAAAGAACTCACTGGAACCGGTGCAGTGACTTGAAAATATGTTGATGGTTCCCCCCTCCGCAATGTAGTTGTTCTGTATGAGTATGACGGAGTTGTTTGGGTTCATGGTTGGCTGTTCGAGATTCGGCAGCGGAGTACCATCTGTCACGGTAGTATAGCAGGGCGATGGTCTCGGCGTTGCACTAGCATGTGGGCCGAGGACGAGGGACGAACGGGACTCATCTGAAGCACAGGTTGGGCATGCTCCAGTGGAAGTATCCATTGCAAAGATGAGGGTACTGGTAAACGCGGGAGGAAGTGCATGAAAGTGCGATTGGTATGCTTATGCATGGTCCAGCTATTCTTAGGTTCAAATAAGTAAAGGATTAAGATTTAGAAGAAGGACAGCACCACGGCTTACGAATAAATTTTATTTACGGACCCGCTAGTTCTAGGACCAACTTGAAGGGGCACGACGAGCCTGAGGTTTCCGCTCAAGACGGCACTACCCAACGGATCTCCTTGGGTCGATGTTATCACAAGATACATTTGCTCTAAAAACTCTGCAAACACTGAAGCTGTCCAATGTTCTTATCCTCTGATCCCGGCGGTGGTCGCGTCGCGACAGGTAAGGAGGTGCAGTCGCGTCAGTCTGATTCAGCCATGTAATTACCCGCCTGCCTTTTGAGGAAAACGAGTACTGACAGTTGCTGCAATCGGAAGTGGTTCCTGGATAACTTGCGCTCTCGTTCCATTCTGTGTCAAGTTTCAACACAAAGATGTTGATTTATCCTGTGTACAATGTTATCCTCTGTCTCAATTTGGTAGCTCGGCGGTGATAATACATCATTTAGTAGAACGGTTTAATTGGGTCCACAGTCCAGAGGTCACGTTTTGAATTGGTTAGTACTCACCCAACTTGACTGGCGACTTTACTTATGCTTGGCACAGACGCCACCTTGCGTTGGACTGCGACGCCCTACCCCCAGTCCGTGTATGAGATCCTCATCCTCGTCTACTAGGCACCATCACTGACAGCGTGAGATCGCCACACCCAACGGTCCGACTGCATCCCCAGGCCGGGTTGCTGCGCTCAGTATCAACGTCTTGTATGTTTGCTCATGTTCAAATCGCTACATTAGCCTGCAAAAGACGGTAGGGACTGGTCTTGATTTTGGTAGATAAAATTTACCAGTCATACAGATAGTCCTCCTGACTGAAATGTGGTCAAGAAGAAAACTGATGTGAAAATTAGTCAAAGAAAAGTCAAGGATGCCATGTTCCCGGCGAAGTTCGAATTCTTCACATCAATGGCTGATTCGACAGACCTAGAGTTTCTGCAGCAAAAAAAAATCACATCAGTGGATTAACTGCTCCTCAACGGACACAGGCGTACTACAAGACTCACCATACATATTGCGATCATGAGCAACCGAGACACACCGACCGGACTGGCGCTCGCAATAACCTCGAGTATCAGAAGTCTCTGTGAGAATTTGGAGATTATCTAACAACCGTCACAAGTTACAACCCGGGCCGCTTGTTCATGTTCTGCAAAGAGTACCAGTACCCAAGTCATGGTTTTCGTTCATGATGTGAATATGTGTGGTGGAAGTGGATGTCTTTGATTCTTACTGTGGATTAAATCATGTACATGTACTACAGTGGTAATTGATACATAGCTATAGGTAACCGATTAGTGTCGCCACAGGTTTCAAGTTCTGTCAGCATCACATGTACAGCATGTTCACGCAATTTGTTGTCGCAAACGCTTACCCTCGTTCCTTCCTCCCGCTTCTTGCTTCACTTTCTCAAAGGCACCAGTTCATCGCGTATATGGTTCTAAGAATATAGAACTAGCTCGTTAAAATGGACCGGACCGTCCTCCTTTATGCGTTCACTGCTCTGGCTATCTCGATACCCTGTGTGAGTGGTAATTCAACGTTCGGTCTTTCGCTTTGTATGATGAGCGCCCATTTCATCCTTGTTCTTCGAGCCATGGGCCGTCTCTCCAGACGTTGCGCCGCGGCGAGGACGACAAACCCTGGGTCTGGGAATTATTTCCCTCTTGCCTGACTTTCTTTTCCATACCAATTCAAGCTTTAGCAGGTTTTCTGATCATGACTAGCTCTATCTAGCTCTCATCTTGCTTTCGCCTCCCCCAATAATAACTCGCCCTTCAGAAAGGACATACCGCTCACGAAAATCCCTCAAAGCCCCCCTCAGCCTTCCATCACTCCGCGATGCAGCATCTATCGATCTCAGCGTCATAATTCCTGCATACAACGAGACATCCCGTCTCCCATCCATGCTCGAAACAACGCTTAATCACCTCAACTCCGCCCACATCCATCAGACACGCACCTACGAGCTCGTTATCGTCGACGACGGTTCAAAAGATGACACGTCAGCACTCGCGCTAAAATTGGCACAGCAGCACCTCAAAAGTGATATTCGCGTCGTCACGCTTGAGAAGAACCTTGGCAAGGGCGGTGCGGTGCGCCATGGGATGCTACATGCACGGGGACACAGGTTGTTGATGGTGGATGCGGACGGTGCAAGCCGCTTTGAGGATTTGGAGCTGCTGTGGAAGAAGATGGATGAGCTTGCACCGAAGAACGAGGCGGCGGTGGTTATCGGCAGTCGAGCGCATCTCGTCAAAACTGAAGCTGTGGTCAAGGTGCGCATTGTTTCTGGTGTGACATGACCAGCCTCTTACACCGTCCCCGTTAGCGGTCCGTGCTTCGCAACATCCTTATGTATGGCTTGCACACTATCCTACGGATAGTCGGTGTTGGGCACATCCGTGACACACAGTGCGGATTCAAACTCTTCTCGCGCCGCGCCGCACAACGAATTTTCCCTGCTCAACATCTCGCCACCTGGATATTCGACGTTGAGCTCCTCCTGCTTGCTAAGCAGCTGGGTATACCTGTTGCAGAAGTCCCTGTAGAATGGCATGAGGTGGCGGGGAGCAAACTGAATGTTGTCAAAGACTCGCTACAGATGCTCAGGGACCTGCTCGTTCTCCGCGCCAACCAGCTCACCGGACGATGGAAGGTTTCCCCGTCATAATATACCATGGCCCAGCCAGTCGCGGAAAATTAGATTTTATCTATACGCACCGTGAATGTGTTCTCACTGGCGATGCAAAGACAAGGAATATGTTGTGTTCGAAAGGTAGCAAGACGTGACTGCCGTGAGCAGTAATGTAAGCGTACTCTGGAGGACAAGCTGGAATATTAGAAGAGGCAGGAGATGATTAGAATGGCTAATACTTAGGGGTCGGGGCGCCAGTCAAGTGGAGAGGGTGGTTACCCCTAATCAAACTCGCAGATCTATTCCCAACCATGCACCGAAACGAGAGTGAAATTTACATAAGGCCTCGGCTACCCTTTGTGGTGTCCAGAATTGAACGTCAATCTCTAGAAAGTTTCGGTCCTGGAATATCCGGCCCTCCGAGCCTATCCAGCATCCGCGCCTAGTATGACTCAGCGTGTCAGCCACCATAACTACAAACAAACAAACAAACAAACAAACCTGCCGCCAAACAAACACCGTTTTACAAAACCCTGGCACTTCAACTGTACGTCACTCTTTCCCCACCCCCACCCTTGCCCCCGCCCCTCGTGTCTCGTTTAAGTCATTACAGGTACGCTGTCCATTTATACAGGTAAGTTCTTCTCCCCACTTCTTCCTGTCACTGTATCACCGACATTGACTACACTGTGGTACAACCAGTTGCACAATGCAACTACTAATTGCCTTGTTATGGCCACCACACTACTCAGGTTCACGCTGTCTATTCATCATGTCTGACATACCCCCGAATACCCTGTTCATGAAGCCAGACTACACGCCATTCTGTGAACATGGCCATGGCGAACTCCAGTGGAGAGTTACACAGTCTGATAAGAATGGCAACCGTGGCTGCTGGATGGTTGCGGTATGTCCCTCCATGTGAATGTCATTGACTATCGCTTATTTGTCTCCTCAGTGTCCATTCATAGGGCCCGAAGGGAAGTGCAGATACTTTTGATGGGGCTTGAAGAGTCCTACATCATCTCCCAACCCGTCACCACCACCATCGGGGCCTCCGCCACAAATGATGCTCACTCCCGTAGTGCCTGGTGTCTGTGCTGATCCTGAGTGCACATCAAAGCACGTGCACCCCCAGTGCAGTCATCTTATGTGCAGGAAGCACTGTTGGGCATCTGGCGGCTGCAATGCGAAGGGTCACGGTATTGCTGGACCTGTTGGTGAGGTACCGCATGACCCCACCATGCTTTGTATATCCAGCGGTGCCGCACCTCCACCGCCCATCATTGACCCTGCCTTACTTCTTATATCCGGCATTGCATCCTCGTCTTCTTCCTCTCAGGCTCCCACTGCTGGTCTGTCTACACTACCTACGCCAAGCCAGGTTACCTTGACACGCAAGGGCAAGGGCTGCGCTACAGCAGTACCTGCACCTGATGTAGACTTCTATTCCAATCCATGCCTCCCATCACAGCTACTGCCTGTCTTCACAGATGCATATGCCAAGCAAGAGGCAGAGCGTCTGCAAAAGCAAGAAGTGGAGTCTCTCAAATGTGAACTTGCCCTCACAGTGCAGAACACTGTTACTGTATTTGGCTGGGCGGCGGTATGTTTTTTTTTTACCACAGCAACGAGTTTAATAATACTGACATTTTATTTCATGATTAGGATGGCGACACGCCTGCTGTCTGTGAGTTTCAAAGTGGATTTGTTCTGCCGCGTGTCAGGGTGACTGCGGAGTGGCTTCACAATCTTGGACTATCTGTCGATGACAGTTGTCACTACTTCAATGTGACGCAGCAGTGCTGGAACAGGATATTTGTTGGCCATGTCCTCACCCTTCCAGGCAATCATGTCTACCTCAAGAACCTCAATGTCAAAGTTGCGCTTGACTTCGACAAGTATTACATTGATCAACAGCCACCAACCATACCTCACATTCGTAACAACCTCAAAGGTGAGAGAGCCCACATCCGTGATACTACCTGCCATCTTCAGATCAGTGAAGCGAGCACCACTAGCTCTGATAGCGACCAGCCAGCTGTGTCGCAAAAGCGGAGGCCACAATTCTCTTCCAATTGTTCCCATCGTTGACGCTGCATCTCATCGCATGCACTGCCTGCACCTCACCCGCACCTCCCGCATGCACTGCCCACACATCACCCGCACCTCCCTACCACTATCAAGCATGAGCGGTCCCTCAATGTGATAAGCATTTCCTCTAACGACACAACAGCTGATGAGGCACAACAACCAGCCCGAAAGCCCCTTCACATCAAGCAGGAGCCATCCTCTGACCTTTCCTCTGACTGACTCACTTCCGATGATGATATGCCCTCTCCTGGTCTGTCGTACGAGCATCTGATTGATGTTGAAACTACTGTTGTGTTACCACCCTGGCCACGACGGTACTATGCAGTCGATGTCAATGTGGGTTTTATTGCCATGGAGAATGCAAGGAGGTCTGGTCACAGTGTCAGGCAGGCATTTGCTAGTGTCTTTGGAGAAGTTCCCTATTGTGCCCAGACTGTCAGTGACCATCGTATCCGCTGGCAGCAGGCAGGGCCTACAGCAAGGGCTGCATTCATCAAGGCAGGGCGCACTCCCACTGGCTTATGGTCTGTGTTCATGGCAGCCTATCCTGCCAAGGGCGCTGCAGAGAAGGCAGTGAAGAAGCGTCTTGCTCGTGTGTCGTGACCTGTAGTTCTCTCTCTGCATACTATTCCTTATTCTTCCTCTATACCGCATCATTTCTGTTATACCTCCCAACAGTGACCCCATCAGTAACAACAACAGAAAATTTGCTGGCGATTGCTCCCACACTATCCCTAAAGAAGTGGGTGCATTTGTTGCAGTAGTGTCAAAGCTCTTCTTGGCCGTAAGTTTGGATGCAATTGTGGCGTTCAATGCATCAGGAAAAACTATATCTCTATATAGAGGACCATCCTCTATATAGCCCCGATAGCACACCACAGCTCTATACAGTCTATGGCAAGCTATCACAGCACTATAGACCAGTATAGACATCATGAAAGTCTATATATTACCATAAAGTTTGGTAAGTGTATTTAGAAGTAAAACATTTCAACAACTATAGACCCCAGTAGACCGTGGGAACTTTTTTCGATGAAAACCAAAGTTGTAGTCCTTGTCTAGGGAAGTCTATCCATAGTCTAATGACTTCAATAGGTCAAGATCTTAGTGAGTTATAAGGAAAATACTTGGAATTGAAGGGTTCAAAAGTGTTAAGGTACACCTTATTTATGTAAGCAAAAATGCGAAAATTCACCTTATGTGTATTCAAAATCCTAATGCTAACAGTCAATTTCATTGTCTTTTTCTTACTGTCATAATCCTAGTCCTATTAACCAAAAACTCGAAAATTCACCAAGTCTTGTGTTGTGGCTTTGTTTGGCACTGCTTATGTAAGCAAAAATGCGGTCAACCAACAAGTCTTTTCCCATTCTTTCCTTCCCCCCCCACTGCCCCCTCATTAGATTATCTTCCATATTTTTCTTACAATTTTCGAGTTTTTGCCTCTCTTCTCTTCTTCTTGCTTCTCTATCCTTCTCTTGGTGTTGATGTTGTTGGTGCTGGTACTGGTGCTGGTGCTTTGAACTCTGGTAAGTCTCCCTCCATAATTTTCGCATTTTTGACTATTTGACTAATCTTTCTTCTAACCCTCTCCTTCTAGCTCTCTTCCCTCCTGCTCCTCCTCCCCCCAACTATTTTCGCATTTTTGACCATTTGGCAAGTCTTTTCTCTGACTCTCACTTCCTCCTGTCTGATCCTCTCCTTCTAGCTCCCTTCCCTCCTCTTCCCTCAAGAATTTTCGCAATTTTCACTATTTGGTAAGTCTTTCTTTTTTTTGTATTCATCTTTCCTCTCTGATTCTTCCTTCTAGTTCTCTTGCCTCTTCCTCCTGTAATTTTCGCATTTTTGCCTGTTTTGTAGTTATTAGTTTACATGTATTGTAGTAGTTGAAATATAATTTGGAATTTTCGCTTTTTTTTAATTTTGAGAACACTATCATGGCAACAAACAGCTATTAAGAGAAATTTTTGCTTTGTGTTTTGAGCTATAATAGCTACAATAGTTGTGGTATGTTCCACCCAGCTATAACAACTTTAATAGAGCTATATAGCACTATACACTGGTGTAGTAAGCCTGCACAATTGGGCACTTGGCTATACGAGCTATAGGGCTATGGAGTCTGTATAGCAGTCTATAGCGCTATGGGTGGCTATTAGGGTTCGACAGGGGTAAACCCGCGGGTGCGACAACCTCAACCCACACCCGCACCTGTCAACTACCTATACCCACCTACCCAAGGGTCCTTAGGGGTGCGGGTCAATACAAGGGTCATCCGCGGGTAATGGGTACCGTGGGTATACACATACCCATCAAGTATATAGCTTGCTGTAATAACAATGTAGTAGTAAAAAACTAACGAAGAGTAATGCTATCCCATCCTGTCGTCGAGTTCCTCATCTTCCCCATCCACTGTCTGGGAGGCTCGCCACAGAATTGATGTCCGTGTCCTTGACTAATCCTAGTTGGCTCCATAATCCTACGCAAAGGAGAGCTCGGGTGGTCTGTGCAGAAAGACTGGTTTTGAACGTGAGATAGAAGCAAGCGGCCTCGGCTGAAAATCCGTTCAACATCAACGGATGTTGCTGTGGAGGCATGTTAAAGCAAAAATAAAACAAAAAACATGAAAACGTACCCAGAATAGTTAAATAATCCAGCGCCATCCGAGATAAGCGGGGGTAAGTCTTGCAGTGTCTGTACCACCAGGCAATCGCATCTCCAACGTCCTCAACATCAGCGTTGAGGTACGTTTCGAGTTCGTCAGCACTGGCAAGCGTCTTGACACGGGCAAGCGTTGGTAGGCGATCGAAGATGTTGCTTGCCTCGTCATCCTGAGAACAACAAATGTAAGTACACGAGGTACACAAGGTACACAAGGTACACGAGGTGCGGAGAACGACAAACGTAAGTACGCACCTCATTGATGTCTTCAGTTGAAGAATTAGTAGGGGACTCCTCAGCTGTTGAACCAGAAGCATAGGAGTGCTTGAATTCAGAACGTACAAGTTCTTCAGCGGTGTCAATCCATTCTTGTTGCCATCCTGCAGCCCGGAAATAGGCTAGCTTGTGAGAGGGATGGAGAACTACAACATAATTAGTGAAAAGGAAAAAGAAAACAGTAGTACTCACCCATCGCAATACGGTAAGCCTTCGATGCATCAGTCAGTGAGTAGTATCGATTGAGCGTCCGTTTTGCCAGTCCAAGGCCCGCGCGAATTGCAGGGTTGAACTGGTGTGTCTTGAGCATGCTGCTTGTGAAAACGCTGTCAATGTGATCCATGGCTGGGATCACCATCAGCAGGTTTGGTGTTGAACGGGAAAAGTATAATGTGGCATCCTTGAGGATCTGATTACTAAGTTAGTATTGAGTGTGATGTATGTGACATGTCACTCACCTTGAGCACATCGCGCAACTGCTTAACAAGCAGTCCACTCATGTGGTGTCAACTCATACTCACCAAGTCCCAGTCTCCGTTGGTCCGTCATCATGTCAAGACCTTTCCGGTACTCCAAGGCAAAAGTCAACATATCGTAAGTGGAATTCCAGCGCGTGGATACATCACGCGGCATGATCCTGACCGCCAGTTTTAGATCTCCAATGATGGCCTTCCATGCAGGCAAGAGTATAGTGGTGGAGTGAAGGATTTTGAAAGCGAGTTTGCGGAGCTGTTGGGGGGTGTCAGTAGGGGATGTAAGGTGAGTAACTATCTTATCACCTTGATCAATGCAATTCTGATTGGGCGAATACTGCGCGCTAGCTTTTTGCGCTCCTTTGGACTCAGCAGCACAACCTCATCCACCCATCCCTCGACATCATCATCATCCTCAACACTTTTGTTGGAGTCATCGACTCGTGTCTGCGATTCCTCAAGATCCATGGTATCCTCGGTGAGTCCTCCCTCCTCTTCATCTTCGTTATCGTAGCAACAATCAATATTGTCCGCAGCAACAATCAATATCTTGATGGACCTGGTGAGTTTTTTCCTTGCGATATTGAGTTCCTCGCACCTTGTCTGATATACCAAATTCCTCTAGAATATTTGTGAATGCCTGCGCTAAATTGGCGCCTGTATGTGACTACCAATAGTCAGCAATATGGTGCGTGCCCTTGTTCATTCTATTTACCTTTGCCACCTCAACTATGTCGAGTATCATTGACAGTGCTTTACCTTCGTGTTCGAGATGCACGGAAACAGCGACAAACGCCCTATGATTCGGCAACAGTCCATGCGTCGGTCGCAAAGTTCAATTCTCCGGGGTAGTCCTGTAGCATTCGTGCAATGCGTGCACGCGTTCGAACGAACACCTGTCTGACATCACGCGCAACGGTTTTCGGTGATGGTAAGTAATATTCTGGACGCCCTGTTTTCATAAGTGTGCTGAAACCTCGGTCCTTTACTATTTCGAAGGAGCGCAGACTCTCCGAGACCCATTGGACGATTTCGGCACTACCATCAATTTAGTGGCGTCTCAGAGATTTAACTGGGTGCACGTACTGAGTCTCTGTGTGTGTGTGTTGATGATGTGAGTAAGTCACTTTCCCTTTACCTTTGTGATCAAATGATGTCTTGATTGACCCTGTTTCAAGTAGACTTTTGATGGGTCCATCTCGTGCTGCCGTGGTATTTCCACAGTCCATTGCAGCTTGTAATGCTGGCTGACCCCAGCAGCTCTTTACATGTTTGCGCATGTTCCCTGTAGACTTCACGTCTTTTTTGTCGAGATAACGACGAACACGGTGATTACAGCCATGGGCTGCGCACTTGAAAACATGACAACGACGCTGATCATGATACTCGATAGTCGGTATCGGTTGAAAGAAGGCATATATAGGTGAGGACCACTCTTTCATTAGTCTCTCTATAGCCTGTTTAGTATTTGTGTTGATTGGATAGTATAGCAATTGACCTAGCTCCGCATCAGAGGACTCTGAAGCACTCTCTACCGAACTCTGCTTCACCTCGTCATTTTCAGTATCGGAGTTGATCACGATGGCATCAGTGTATGCCGCGTCTTCTTCTTCTTCGGTCCGTACAGTGGCTCGATAGGTAGTTGGTGTTGGACTCTTGTTAGTTTGATCAATCTCTGTCACTTTGCTTCAGTTTTTGTGCTATGGTGGTATTAGGAGACTGATCCGAAGTGGCCTTTCATTTGAGTGGGCTGTTCGGTGGCCATAGCCAACACCTTTTCGGTGGGCTTCTTGATTCTTTTAGGTAACATGAGAAGTTTTGTTCAGAAGCTAGTTTCGAAAGCCGAAGTGTGAATCAGTGATATGATCTATTTAGAGATAAGGTTTAAGGTTTGCCATCCCAATGTAGTAAGGTACTGTATAGTCAGGTACCCACCAATAATCCAGGGGTCAGGGGGTCACGAGGCCCCAACCCATACCCATACCCCTCGATGCCCCTACCCACAACCCCCAGGGGTTACCCATACCCCTGTCCAACCCTAGTGGCTATATAGCCTTACCACATTTTCCTGATGTAAAGGGCACGCAGGTGTCAGAAATCAATCTTTTTCCCTCAAAAATGCCACACAGCCAGACCCACAAGCCGCAGGAGAAGCCAGCACCCTACAAACACTCGCAAAAGGTTGCAAAGACTAAAGATGCACCTGCTACCTCAGCTAAACCTGACAGGACTAACATTTGAAAAAATCTCACCTTGAATGACTGGCTCACTGTCTTTGCATACATCAATACCCATCCCAATCAGTCACAAGCTGAGATTGTCACACACTTCCAAAAAAAATCATAGGGGCTTTGGCCTTCAGTCAATCAGCCTTATCTCATTGCCCTTAAACGATGACCAGAGTTAGAAGGGCGAATCCACTCTAATCCAAATGCTTTATCATCAAAACACCCACATCTTGTGACCAGGCCAGATGTAGAGTGTGCCTTGTTCACATGGGTCAAACATATGGAATCAAAGGGAGAAACAGTGAATGGGCCAATGCTACGAGCCAAGCAAGAGAAGTTTGAGGAAGAATTTGATGTGCCAAAAGAAGAGAGGCTGTTGGGAGATGGTTGGATTGCTTCCTTCTGTCGGACATACAAGATCCAAGAGCATCGCTGGCATGGTGAAGTAGGATCAGTAGATCTTGATGTCATTGCAGCTGAACACACTCAATGCCAAATGATTTTGGCTAAATATCCTCCCAAAGACCACTGGAACTTTGACGAGATCAGTTTTTTTCCCTTGTAAGTTATCATTTTAACTTGAATCTCTCACAATTTGACACTGACTTGTATGTTATGAAAAGTGCACCTCCAGATCGTGGACTTGCAACTAAACAGATAAGCAGGAGAAAGAAGGATAAATCTCATATATCAATTGGTCTCACCTGTAATGCTGATGGCAGTGAGAAACTTGAGGCTATGTTTATTGGGAGAGCAAAGAAGCTTTGGTGCTTCAAGAAGCAAACTCCTGAGCAACGTGGATTTTACTATTGAAACAATAAAAAAGCTTGGATGACAGCTGTGCTCTTCGAGGAGTAAGTTGTATGCATGTATTCATCATGCTTTCGCTTACTGTAATCCAGATGGGTCAAAAAGCTTGATCTCTGAATGAAGCAAGAGAATTGGAAGATCTGCTTATTTGTGGACAACTTCTCCGCCCACGTGATTGCCTATGAACCTGGAAACATTGAGTTTGAATATTTTGAACCCAACATGACACTGTTTGTCCAGCCATGTGATGCTGGCATCATCCGCTGCTTCAAAGCTGCATACCATCGCAATTTTTGTGCTCATGCCATTGAACTTGATGATGCTGGTGAATGAGAAAATTATAAAATTGATCTTCTTAAAGGCATGATGACGGCGAAGGAAGCATGGGATACTGTGACTTCGACAACCATCAAACACTGTTGGGATCATAGTGGAATTCAACTGTGAGTCACATCCTTCAAGTTTGTACAGAGATCTCATCTTAGCGAGTACTAGGGACAATTCATTTATTCCAACTTCAACAAGTACATCAAATGTGGGTAATATTGGCCCCCATAATGACCCTGCAGCATGGCAAATTATTCATGAATTTGCCTCCAGCAACATGTCTCTGCTGGAAGCGGAAACTCATCTACAACAGTTCCTCACTAGCTGCTATGTTGACACTGATTGGAGACCTGCTTTGAAAGCAGTTATGGATGTGGAGGGTGACAATGATGCAGCACTCAAAGCTGTTGACACACTCACTGCTGCCGCATCTCATCAAACTGGCCTCAAGATCCAGATTCCTGCATGTCTGAAGATGCCTGCCTAGGTTGCAACCCTCGAGAATGATCTCATAGATTCAGTTAATGATTTGAAGTCCCATAACTGGTTATCTAAATTGACTGAGGCACGAGGTCAGATTAGAATTAGTCTAAGCGCAAACAAGCGATGTGGTGCAGCACTTTTTGCTCTCATCCACCATCGCAGTATTTCTCATCCTAAGGATTAAGCACTAGCTATCCGTCTTTTTGCGTTCTTTATTTCTATTATGTTTCTCGACGACCCCAACGAGGCCATAAGACCGGACTATACTAGTGACGAGCACCAACAAGCTCGAGAACAACTGGTAAATGAAGGTTTTACCGAAGAGCAAGCTATACGCTCTCTAGCATCACTATGGACCCTAACAAACAACGCCGACAAACAATGTTGGGCATTAAGGCAAGAGAGACTGGAGACCGTGCGTCAATGTGAAGCACAAGAAGAAGAGCAGCGCCAACAAGCGTGTGAAGAAGAGGATGAAGCAGCCCGCCTAGAAGAGCGGAAGAAGAACAAGAATAAGTACACACCCTTCGGTCGTGGCAAGGTGCCTTCAGAACCTACCATCCTCCCTGCACCATATGCAACGAGGAAAATGAAGACCGGAGAATACTGTGAACTCCATTACTTCACCAACTGCGGTCTAGACAACACTGAAGAAGCTCTCGCAAATCGCAGAACTGGACACTCTGGTCATGCTCCTGGCCAACGACGGGATTCATTCATGGATCCCAGCAGACGCAGTCAAAGATCCAAAAGCCACTGCAGTAACGAGAGATGAGAACCTCACCTGGGAGGAGTTCAATGAGGTGGCACCATGTATGATTAACTTTATGAAACTACACGACTGGCTGAACAAGCGCGTCACCATGCATGTGCAGTTTTGGTCGGCCCTGCAAGCGCACTGCTGGCGACACACTTCTGATCACCTCAAACAACGAGCTCTGCTGCTCTACCAGTCCCAACAGCAGAGGAGGTGGCATCTCGCCATAGGCCCAGCCCAGAGCTGGAGTTTAGAAGAGATCAATCAAGAGCTACTTACAGAGGCGAGAGAAGAGCTGTTCAACAAGCATCAAGACTGACAGACCATGATCGCAGTCCAGGTCAGTGTTTTCTGTCAAATTATATGCTAGAACAGTTCGCTCATCAGTTTCCCTTTTTCCCGTTATCTCCCCCCCCCCCCCCCCACCTCATCTCTTGAACTCCGTATAACCGCATATGTTGTCTCATCAGCCAATCACGCGCCAACAATCCCAGGGATGCGTATGAACTTCATGTTTCTTCGTCATTCTTTCACATACCCCCCCCCCCCCTTCCCCCCCCAGGCTAGCCAATTGTGCACTAAACCCAACCCCCTCCCCCATACACACAAATGGCTGGTCATCGCAAACCCCATGTGTCACCCACCACTATAACGTCAATACCACTCAACCAACAATGGTATTCGTACACAATGTCCACACCACGCTATGTGCTGCGACATTTTCATTCGCCTGCTACAGCAAGCGGCGGCGGCATACGTCGCACACAATACCGATTCCCTGCGCCAGCAGCCACCTGAGCATGCACCACAGAAGCGCCCACTGCAGTCTTCAGATGAGTACACTGGGAGTAATAAGAAGGTACGCACTTCATGTGCCCCTCTTACCTCCAGTTTACTCCCATGTTGTGCAGTCTGCCTTGGGCGCAACCCACATCGGATGATCGAATGCGCAGCCACCCAAATGTGGGACAAACAACATGAAGCCTTCTCAGAGCGTATCCGCAAGGCCCTCTGGTCCAGAGATGGAAAACAACTATGCACAGCTTGGCAAAGGGAGGAGGGATGCTCCATACCCAAGCACGACTCGAAGCATATCTGCTCCGGTTGCGGAGCCACAACGCATGGAGCCCAGAAGTGCCCTCATGCACAGAAGGCTTCATCCATTGACTCCATATAAGGCAGATGCATGGGAATGAGAGTTGTGAAGAGCGAACATCCTTGAACGCTTCATTAAGATACCAATCGGGCTCTGTGCGGGCTTCGTCTTAGATCTTCCGAATATCACCTCTGTACAGACACCACCCAATAAAGTTTCAATTGAAGAATATGCGGTTGAGTTTGATAGGATCATTCAGAGGGAACTCAAAACTGGGAGATACATTGGCCCTTTCACTGCTGAGGCTCTAGAGCAATTGATTGGACCCTTCCAATCATCCCCAAACCGGGGAAGCCAGGAAGATTTAGAGTCATTCAAAATTTTTCTTTCCCGCACGCAACAAATGCTTCCTTCCCCAATCCCTCGGTAAACACTCACATCAATTCTGATGAGTTCCCCACAACGTGGGGTAAATTTTCGATAATCTATCTATTAATATTGAAGCTTCCGCCAGGTTCGGAAGCCGCCACGAGAGACATTTCTGAAGCCTACAGAACTATTCCCCTGCATCCATCGCAATGGCCTGCAGGGGTGGTCAGAATATCAGACGCGCAATTTTGTGTGGATTCCTGTGCAGCCTTCGGAGCTACCCCATCGGCAGGTGCTTACGGGCATGTTGCTGATGCAGGTGCCGAGATTTTCTGGAACAACGGCATTGGACCCATTGAAAAATGGGTCGATGATCATATATTTTTCCAAATTTGGCGAGAGCATCTTGCTGAATTCAACCGAGAAAGACTTAACTGGTACTGGACCTTTGCCAGTGAAGGAATTCATCAGACCAGAGGTAGGTTATGGTATGGAAGCCAGTGTGATGTCAGCGGGCAGCTCGAAGAGTTTAGCGAAAACTGCGCTCATCCTCTAGCTGACTTATAGGAATCCTCCCCACGATCTGATCATGACAAGGTGTTCGCCTTCTGTATGGATGACATAGATTACCTATCAGACGAGTTGGGAATCCTGTGGGAAATTCTCAAGGACCAGCTGTTCCAACTATCAACTATCTACATTGGTTTCCTATGGAACTTAGAACTAAGATTCATCGCCCTGAGCTTGGCAAAGGTGAGTAAATACCTCAACGCCATTCATAGATGGCGTAAACGCCCGGCACACATGTTGAGCGACATACAAGAGTTGTACGGAAAACTGCTGCACACATGCGCCGCAGCACCTCGAGGACGGGCATATTTAACGAGTCTTGAGGTGATGTTGTCAGTGTGCAGTTCGAGTCCTTTCCTCCCCCACAGAGCAGAAAAGAACGTAGCGAGCGACCCAGAGTGATGGTCTGTGCTTCTGCAATCCGGAGGAGTCTTGAGGCCAATCTACCCAGTGGAGCAGCTCACTGACTTACACACATTTTACAATGCAAGTTCAGGAATCAGAATCGGTATTATCATTGGAGATAGGTGGCATGCATGGAGACTCATTCCAGGGTGGAAAATGCTCAACGGCAAACGGGACATTGGTTGGGCAGAGGCAGTGGGTTTCAAGTTCCTCGTGTATGCTGTCACTGGTTCTAGCCGCCGCCTCCTCACCCACGGCAACAACACAGGGATTGGGGAAGGCTGGTGGAAGAAGCGACACCGCAACGCAGAAGCCAACAGAGTGTTTCAACGAATTCACCAGTTTATACACAACTTACCCCACCGTTTCGAAGTCGACACCACCTACATGGCAAGCACACATAATTCCGCAGACAGACTATCCAGAGGCATCCTTGGACCAGTCGAACTTCTTCTTCCCCCATCCACATTCCAGACAACATTAGTCCCTTCGTTATCGACGCTACCCAACCTCTCTCCCCGCTGAAATTCAACACTTACAAGAAGGCAACTATTCAGCTCCAGCTGCCAAACTTGTTAACTCTGCTTTCATCCACCAACAAGCTACTGAGAGAGCCAACACTGAACGGATCGAGGAGGACAGTTTCATCAACCGCGCCCTCCGCGACAATTAGCCCCTCCAGTAGATCACATTTTGGGTCTCAATTAGTCCCAACTACCAGCAATATAGCCCCTGTTCCCCATCCATATCGCCTAGACCTTACCCCACACCCATCTAATCTTTGCCCGCATTGTCTGGCCCGGGACCGGCTATGTTTGTGGATACCAGTGGGTAGCAGCCCCAGGCAAGCAGACGTCGACCCCAATTCACACCAGCATTCAGTATCCAACACGGTGCTAGACAGAATCCTGGAAGTAATGGGTGCTTCATGGGCCCAGTCTTCAAAGGAGTGTTATGGCGCCGGTCTTTTAGTTTTCCATGTATATTGTGACATGCAGAGTATTTCTGAAGATAAATGTTGCCCCATTGCAGCAAACCTCATGCTTGAGTTTCTCTCAAGCTGTGCGGGATCGTATTCAGGCTCATCGTTATCAAACTACGTTGCAGCATTGAAAGTGTGGCACTTATTGCATGGGAGGGAGTGGAGAATTAACGCTTGCGAGCTCAGAACTATATTAGACAGTGCAGCGGCTTTTGCCCCAGCAGCATCGAAACGCCCTACAAGACCACCAATGACCACCAGCTTCCTGGTATCCATTCGCGAATTCCTCAACCTCAACGCTCTGCTTGACGCAGCAGTTTACACCTGCTTAACCACCACTTTCTACTGCATAGCCAGGCTTGGCGAATTTACCGTGAGCGCGATCAAGGATTTCAACCCGACAAGGCACATCTCTAGAGCCGGGGTATCAGAATCCCAGGATTGCAATGGCTTACCAGTCACCCGTTTCCATTTACCATATACAAAGTCAGCGAAGAGCGAAGGGGAAGAGGCCTTCTGGGCCAGTCAAGAAGGCCCCTCTGACCCCAAAGCTGCACTCATGAATCACCTCCGCATCAACCCTGCTAGCGGCAATGCACATTTATTCGCATGGAAGCACCCCAAGGGGCTGAGACCTCTCTCGAAGAAAGAATTTTCCAAGAGGATGGCGGCAGCCACTACAGCAGCGGGCTTACCAGATTTGAAAGGACACAGCCTACACATTGGAGGGACTTTAGAGTACCTGTTGAGAGGGATTCCATTTGATGTAGTCAAATCAATGGTGCAGTGGTCAAGTGAAGTGTTCACGATCTATTTGCGTGATCACACAACCATCCTGGTGCCATACATTCAAGCAACACCAATCCTGGAACCCTTCACGAGGTACATGATGCCACCCGTTCGATAGAGGAATTTTACGTGGTGAGTACACCTCCTACCAAGAAGGAATCAAGCTGCGCTGCATGCATCGCTGCACTCCTAAAATTTGGGAACACAGCTCACCTTGATTCATAGGTTCGGATCCTTGTTTCGGGCCGGAACAGCCCTGCAGGCTGTCGCCCAAACTCGCAACAAAAACATCCTTTTTTCATATCTCAAAATTCGTCACATTACTGGTCTTTGTACCCTATGGACTCTACCCGCCACATAGCCTTACTGACTACCTACTTTCTCATTGTGTGCTCCCCCCTAACGAATTTTTCACAACACTTTTGGCAAAAGCCACCTCACTGTGCAGCGCATAGATGCATCTTTGGCAAGCCGCCCACAATCGAAGAGCTGCTAGACCCTGTTGAAGAGAAGGAAGTTGGTGATGACGAGTTTCTAGGTGGAGACAAAGAGATTGCAGATGCAGTTCAAAGGCAGATAGCTATTGAGAATGGAGATATCATTGAGGTTGATTCAGATGATGAGGATGGCAAAGAAGATGAAAACACAACTCTGGACTACACCTTTGCACAAGTTTTCATGCTGGGTCAGCAACTCAAAGATGCTTGCCTTCAATTTGGAGAACTTGGGCAGTCATTTGATCTGTCAAAGTGGCTGCAGGCATTTAGGGCTTCTGTGCGCAGAGAGGAAATTTGTGGGGCAAAGCAGATGACAATAGATTCATACTTCAGTACATAACATCATGTTTTATAATGCAGATGAACCACATACTCGAGGGAGGTCACAATGTGTCACTATTTGTCACATTATGTCACACAACTTCGTTATGCATAAGTGCTGATAACGCATAGCCTCGAAGGGGTCCTGACATTATGTGTTATGAGCAAGTGTACTGTACTTGAAGTATTTATAGCAGACTTATATTGCTAATTTTTTCACATTTACTTAGTAGATCATTTGCCAAGTAGAAATCAAGTAAAATTTGCCTGCTTAGATGACTTAGAGAACTTAGCATCACATTAAGTGGAAATAAGTGATATAAGTTAATTAAGAATTTTTCTGATTTTCCTGATGTGGAATGATTTCATGTCTAGAAATCACACACTGACATTCACAGAATTTCATACCAAGGTACTGCAATATCACTTTATAAAGCACTGAATTACATTGGTCTAGTGCACTCAGTAACGACGGTAACTTTCGAGAGCACAGGCACAGAAGGAGACCGACATAGAGAGACGACAGGATGACGAGGAAACATCATGTGGCAGAGTGAAGAGGCGGTTGGGCTGGAAGCCGCGGGTCCAGAAGAGCGGAAATATATATAGGAGGTTGGGGTGTGAACTTGCGCTTGCTTATGATACGAAGTGGAGGGCATGATCGTGCATGAACACGTTCAGGACGTTCGGTTCGCGTTGGTGAAATTGAGAGAGAAACATACACTCGCATAGGGTCGTACAGGTGCAGAATATGTGTAGGGTATGAGTGTTGCGTCCATTATCATATAGGGCCAAACTACTAACGATAACATCAAGACACGTAACTAGACAGCAAGAAGGAGCTACAGACAACATCGATAGTAATATGAGCAGCGTGTATGTGAGTGAATAAAGATAGACCAAAACATGCATCATGGGGTTCAAAATAAATCAAAATAAAAGAACATGGATTGTCCACAGGTAGATGAGAGTATTTGGTGTGGGCAGAAAGGTCCATCAGCATTATGGTCGTAGAGGTCACGATTTTCGTCGCCGCTCGTCCGCTATCGTCAACATTTTCACTATACTAGATTCAAAGACAGGCTTTGTCAAGATGCTGGCAAACAGTTAGTTGGATTTAAACGTTATGAACTATAGAGTCACATACTGGTTCACTCCCGCCTCGGAATATTCTTTCTGGTCATGGATGAGTGCATTACCTGCTTCAGCGTCAGTATACGTAAGGGCACAATTCAACTGCAACACTGACCGGTAACTCCAACGACGAAATCACCCCTACCCATTTCTCGAAGTTTGGAGATCACCTCCAAACCAGACATAACCGGCATCTGATTGTCAAGAAAAACGGCATCATATACACAGCCGTTCTCTGTACCATCTTCATCCGTCCGGTCTCTTTCACTGTCAGGGCTAGGGTCGAAGACCCTGGGATTACGCTCATCTCTGGTCCTCGAAGTTTTGCCGATGATCATCTCCAACGCGATCTTACCATTCTCAGCGGTTGAGACATGGCATCCTAATCTTGTCAGCATTCGAGACATGACGGTGCGAGTGAGGCGGTCGTCGTCAACGACCAAAACAATTATGGGCGGGTCAAAACCAGCGCCAGACCCCTTGCGGCTCACGGGCAACGGTAGGGACCCTGAAAAATGGGAAGCTACCGACGACTTTCGGACTGGTGGATCTGGGCGAGTCGTCATAGATAAAGCAGCTGGCAGGGGAGTAGCATCATCAAGGGTCTTCGGCGAGTCTGCGACGACTGTAGGTGAGCTGTCAATCGAATAGTTTCCTACTCGAGAGTACATCTCCGGACTACTCAGGTTCTTCTGGCCAGAACCATCGACGGGTGGAGTGGGTAGCGGAAGACCAAGCTGGGCGCCCGACGAGAGTTCACTGATAGTCCGGCTGAATAGATGGGATTCAGAGTCATCAGCGGCATTCGGCAGATTCAACTGCACCAGGCCCCCTACAATCGGGTATTTGCTTTACATAATGAACGCAAAATATGCATAACGCTGACCTTGGTCCATCATGGTCTGCATAATGTTCGTCGAGACTGCCTGCGTTGGGGCACAGCTTGTCAGTAGATCCACTGATAGTGGCCCGGCTAGCTCAAAGGTTCTCTGTTTCTCGCGCAGAGTTGACTCCGGGTCTGGATGATCCACAACTTTGACTCCCACTCCCTAGCGCTGTTGCAAAAAGTGAACATGAACAATTGATTTCGGGCGGAACAACCCAGATAACTTACGTAACTCGACCCAGAACGTCGACCCATGACCGACTTTAGAACGGACACCCAGCCTACCGCCGCTCAGCCTCACAATCTGTCGGACGAGGGCCAGGCCAAGACCGGTGCCCTTGCCGCCTTGTTGTCTACCTTGCTCTGTTTGATTGAATGCAGCTGCCAAGAGACAATGAGTGTTTCACAACAAATCATGATGCAATAACTCACAAAACAGCTTGCCCTGTGCCATCTCCCTAGGCGGGATTCCATGTCCGGTATCACTAACTTCAATCCGCACAACGATCCGCTTCAGTGGGCCCTTCTTTGTCGATAATTCCATGCCTTGTCCCCCGCTCGTTATCGGAGTAGGTAGAGGGTCAGGATCGTCAACAGGAGCGCAGAGTACCTCCTCGATCGCGTCCTCACCTGTATCAATCTTTGGTCTTGGGTTGTCGGAAGATTCTGGCACTGTATGTGAAGGAAATATCAGGCGTGTGGAACACATTCACTCTTCCTCCTGCGGGAGTAAATTTGCAGGCGTTGCTAAAAATGAAATGTTCCAGATAGTCTTGATGGCATGTAGATAGACTGCAGACCTTGCGAGGTTATTGATGATTTGTCGCAGCCTGGTAGCATCTCCAAGAACGATACCGTCCTCCTTGTTGTCCAAATCCTTCTCTAATTTTGCCAGATTTTCGCCTGCCACCTCGTAAGCTGCTCGTCGCGCAACCTTGTCGATGGTCTCGTCGAGATACGTGACGAGTTCAAGGTTGCGGGCGTCTGTTGCCATACGCAGTGGAATGAACAACGAGCGCATGACAGCATGAAATGCATAAGGTTTAGATAAGATCTCGAACCGACCGCTATCCATGCGATTGCTAAGGAGGGTGTCAGACACGGTTCCTAGAAGGACAGGAAGTTACTTAAACAAGTCAAGCATGTCATTGAGAACTGCTGTGGAATCAGTTGGCTGCAGAAAATGGACAGCTGACGAACTTGCCTTTGGACATCATGATCAAGCTGCCGCCTAATGCCATGAACTCTATTTCTTGCGCTTTAGATACAGCGCACGATGCTTCCATATTCTGCACGGCGAGGACTGGACGCTTGATCAGCGTCAGATACATAATTGTACTTTATGACACCTACGGGCTGTGTTCAGGGGCACCCGGACCTGTAAATTTCCGATGAGCCAGGCAAGGGTATGAAGGTACTGTACTTATCATGGAAGACGTATCTAACAGCAATAGTCAGTCAGTAAGCTATGCAGGCATGCGAACATGATGCGCACGACGTAAGCCTCCTCTTAGAGTCTGCTTCCTTTCGTTCGTTGATTTGAGCCTTCTGAGTAGCCTTAAACTGGTTTTTGAGTTGCTCTCGGAGAATAAAGAGGACGCCGTTCGGACTGTGAAGGTGAGAGGAAGAAGGAATAGGAATACTTGTTTCCACTTACATTCTCGTGCATGTAATGAACAAACAAGAGGAACGTGTGGTACAAGAGAAAATTTAGTAGGTCTGAAATTTCTGGTGAGCTAGTGGCGCAAAATCAGAAATACTCAACGCACTCCTGATCCATATTGGCTTGTTTGGCAGGAAAAAAATACTTGAGCTATGAGAAGTCAGTATACAATATAACAATTCGTGAAACTCTTGCATGTCTTACATGATAAAGAATGATAGTGACCCCACCATAGCGGCCGTTCTATCCATCCTCATCCCAAACAGTGCAATAGTTTGTAATGCAGATGTGTAGCTGAAGGCAAAGATGAGTGATCATAAACTGAAATATGGATATAACGCACTAGAATGTTGCGAGATAATCTTTTGTCCCGCATGTATTGTCTGTATTATAATATCCACACACATACCTTTACCAAGTATCAGAATCTCAGTAAAGGGCAGAACACTAATGCTTACATTGACACGACCTCATACAAACACCTCGGGGGAGATCAGAACTGCTGTACTTGCGAGCTGTGAATATGTGACGCTCACCAAGACCATGTGGAGATCATCAAAAGTAACTGGTAAGGTATAGGACGGTCGCGTGGGAAATCGAATACGACCAAGAAAAGGAGAGGAATAGTATGCGCAGGCACGACCTACAAAATACGATCAACATTGCCAATGCATGCGAACTCAAACTGTACTCACACCCCATAACCATGACTTATCGAGGATGGTGATAGGTGCGGCAATTGTTGATGCTCCGATGACCCAGTTGGCAATGAAAAATATGGCTGACCAAATTGCTAAAGGCTTAGGAATGCGTAGATTAAGTTATGTAGCCGGTAAATTCACTAGGCACAATACCTTTCTAATAAACCAACGCTCCTTCTGATATCGTTCTTCCGTCTTTTTATCATAAAATCGTATGTGGAAGAATTTATGCACTGCTGGCCAAACTTCCCAGCGAAGAAGAATGAGAAATTGGCGGAAAGGGCCACCATTATCTGGGAACGTGAAACTTTCATGACCGACGCTTGTACCAGTCCCCGCACCGACTTGAGCCCCCTCGATGTGACTGTCTCCTGATTTTTCTGGAGCGTGTTCTGAGTGGTCGAGCGAGCTCTTCATATCCTCTGTCCAATCCCGGTCCACGACAATTTCGTCTACTTCGTCAGCGTCGCTACCATCCTCTGTCCTTGGCCGACTTTGACTGCTATCAAGACCACTGTCCACAATGGCAGAGGATGTGGATGGGGACTCAGTGCCCACGCGCTTCATGAAACGTACCCAATATACACGGAGAATATCTATGCGCGCTGTTTTTCTCTTCTTTTGGCGGCCTGAATCCGCTGTACTAGCCTGTGTAACAGGAAGCGGCAGGTCCAGGAACTCCCTGGGACGGGTAAATGGAGCAGTAGACGCCGTATCACCTGCCATTTCCTCAGCAGGCTGACGTTGAGAGTCGTCGTTAAACTTGGACATTGCGGTAAGGCCACCGGCCGCGCAGCACGCGGACAGCTGAATACGAGGTCGGACGTGGGATACGATGAAAGGAAGTGTAGGGTACCCGAGGATAAGGAACTGACGCGGAATCATTGCATCATAAGCTTACTATCTCCCTGTGGAAGCCGCGTTCAAGGCCCGCTCGGAAGCCTTCTTCTTCTTTGGCGTCATCGTTGAACGTTGAATGACAATGTATGCACATAAGTAGACGAGTATGGTATAACAATACTGCTGTTGCGGTAAATCAGGCGTACGCTGACGATCTGCTCGTAATCATTTGAGAGTCAAATGCACCCCATTGAAAGGTTCCTGAAGGTGATTCACTACTATTGGGGCCCTTCATACGTATGTGTTGCAGACAACAAGCCTACATGCTTAAGCTTTCTTGGAAGATGACCATTTGCATAGCAACCTGGCTTGGTGGGAGCTACTAGGCTTGGACAAGCCAGGTACGGCAGGGTACGGCACTTAGACTCAAAGGATAGAAATGGCCAGCTCCGACATAACTCTGCCACCTCACACATGCCCGCGTCTACAGAAACTCGTACATCTGTTTCACTTCTGCTCTCGTGAAAACATCTAAACAAGCCAAAGAAATAAAGACTGAAATTTAAGATACACATGTACACATGAATTAATATATTGGTGTTTTGTGTGAGTCGGCGGGAATATTCGCGCCCATCGGAGTTTCATTATCACGCAGGCTTCTGCCTTTCGTGGATCACACCTTCTCCACCTCGTTTCCTTCATCGTATAACTCATCCTATCCACAACAACACAACAACCCGCCCAGGTGAGACAATTTTTTACGGTATTGGCCTTCTTGAAGGTCAAAGAGTTTATTTTGATCCCTTGCAGATTTTTCTTGCAACCTCTTGTTGCAAGCGCTTATGACAGTCCAGGTCACCCTGAAAAGCGGGGACAAGGTCAAAGTTAACGGTAAAAATCCAACTCCTGCCTATATTTTCTTCTGACATCATTTTTACCCGAATTACGAAGACCATGTGTATTGTTCTCCGCCATGGTCTGTTCGGGATGGTACCCCGTACTCAGTAGCCCGCATCATGGAGTTCCTGCCACCGGAAGGGGCAGGGAAGGGCAAGGGGAAAGGAAAGGAACTATATACCCGAGTTCGATTGGCTTGGTATTATCGTCCAAGCGACGTCAGTGATCGTCCGGTCGCAGATTCCCGCCTCCTTCTAGCCGCAATATATTCAGAGATCTGCGACATAAATCAACTTCGCTCCCGGTGCCATGTTTTGCACAGGGATAAAATAACCGACCTAGCTGGATGGAAGAAGCGTCCCGACAGATTTTATTTCAATCGTCTTTTTGATCCTTATATCAAGAAGGAGTTTGAGGTTATTCAATCGACTGACATTCGAAATCGTACGTACAACCCCTTATCACCCCCACTCTTTTGATTCAACAAATTTTTTCAGTGCCCGATCACATCAGACAGGTTTTAACTTCGAGATACGAATATGTGGTAGCTGAGAAAGATGTGGTTCCCGATCTCACCGACGCTCTGCGGTTGTGTGAGACTTGCAGTGAATGGTGTGCAAAGTACGTTTTTATTGGAGGGGATATTACCATTTCGTGCACATGCTGACATTATGACATCAGTCCTGACACAGTAGGGTGTGATAGATGCAAGATGTTTTTCCACATGAGCTGTGTTCAACCTCCACTTCTCGCAAAGCCATCACGTGGTTACGGCTGGACATGCGCCCCTTGCTCTAAGCGCCACGAGGAGGAGGTAGATAAACATGCTGTTCGGCATCCGACTCCCATCACCAAGCCAAAGTCTAATGCACCTGCTCCGCGAGGTCGAGGACGCCCGCGCAAGGACAGGAGCCTTGCTGAAAAGGAAGAAAACGTCGAGATCAAGTACTTTAAAATGTGGCCGTTTCGGTACTTTGGGTAAGTGTATGCACCTGGCCGCATTCCAGCGATAGGTAGTTAGGAGCGAAAGCTGACGACACATGTTCCCACGAAGGCAATACACAGTGGCTGAAGATACACTTGGTAAGCGTGGACTTGGCACTGCATGTCTGAAGCTTAGTATATCTGGGCGGTAGATCCTGACGATCTTATTTTCCCTCGATCGGCTACTCGTGTTGGTCCTAAATATCAAGCTACTGTTCCAACTACGCTTGATGTGCCTGCGCCTTCAGGTATGTTTTTCCTTCTCGGCTTGGGACGCTGCTCAAGGCAACTTAGATCTGGAACAGCGGGGCGGAGATAATACTGTTGAAGTTCTGAGCGCGATCAACAGCTTGACGGATGAAGAAAGTACGTATTTTTAGCTTTCATTTGGCTTAGGTAAACAACTTCGCTTATCCTTTTCACAGTCGTCGAATGTAGGTGCTTTATGACCCTGAGGGAGCAGCTTCGTTAAGACAAAATTATAGTGGAAGCTTGGAAGTTGGTATTGAGCAGAAAGCAGGAAAAATTGCATAACGTAGACTGGCTGACCGAGGCTATCAGGCGGTTTTCTCAGGCACATCTGATGAATCGTGGGTGGTCTACCGTTGATATGAGTGTTCCCACCCGCGCAGAGAAGGTAACGTCCCAGACAAAATTTATTGTTGGATTTTTGGCGAGAAAATCTGACTGCTTCGACAGTGGAAGAAGGGCGAAACGAGGTATACCGACCGGGAGTGGACCGCAGACGAAGTAGCGGCTTTTGAGGATGGCATTTTCCTCTATGGGCCTGAACTTCGGGCTGTACACGACGAAATCGGTACTCGTTCCGTGCCCGAGGTTGTGCGGTTCTATGCGCACTGGAAAAAGTAGGCGGGGTTTTTATCTTTAATTTTTTCATCTTCTTATTTTCCCCTGTTCAGCTCGAGACTAAAGGAAGAGAATGCCCAAATCAGAGATATGAGACTCAAGGGCAAGGACAACAACAAAGATGAAGTACCCTCCGCCAATGTTGCTGATCAGTTCGACGACGACGAAGGTTCAGTCATTCCTGGATTTTCCAGGCACAACAATAGTTGTGGCGCATGCCGCACTCGTGAATCCGAACATTGGTGGAGGGCTCCCAAAGGGCTTGTTACTGACATTCTCTGCGATGCTTGCGGGACGAACTGGCGTAAATATGCGGACCTTAATGTCCGTCCAGTCCGTGAAGACGCCCAGGCGCCCAGCAAGAAAGGCTCGGATAAACGTGAGGGGACACCCCTCAATGGACCTAATGCGAAACGAGTGAAGGTAAAAATCACGCACCGATGGTGGTACTTCAATTTATTTATCTTCATCTTCTCCCTAGACCTCAACATCAGCTTCCGTCAATGCAACACCTCCCCCTAATGTTCCAGTGGCCCCACAGCTCCGCTGTTTGGCATGCCAGAAAAATGGACCAGTGGGTAAGGTGCTGAGGTGTAGCCAGTGTCAATTCCGAGTGCATGCAGGTGAGATCGCTGATTTAATTACGTTATAAACCAATTCAACAGTACGAATATCTAGCATCGTGCGGCGTCCACGTGGACAAGAACGTCGTTGAGTCGTGGATATGCGACATTTGCCAGAACCAGGAGACTATGGAATCATCTCAGGTAAAATAACCCAAAATGATTTTTATTTCAGTCATATGATAACCACTCGTATTCTCTAGAATACTGACTGTTTGCTCTGCCCACGGCGCAAATCCAAGAAGAAGGCGCAATACCCCAACGCTGATTCGTTCTTACGTGCTTCCAAGCCTACTGAAGGGCAAGGGTGGGCACATGTGCTATGTGCTGTCTTTACGCCCGAGATTAGCTTCTCGGATGTGTCACAGCTCCGACTCGTTGAGGGTATTAGCACTATACCCAGACAGAGATGGACATCTGTAAGGACACATCCGTTTCCTCTTATCCTTGTGCGGCTGACACGATTCATCAGAGATGTACTATATGCGGCGAAACCAGCGGTGCAGTTATCCGATGCAGTGACTGCGTACGGGAATACCATACATCTTGTGCTTGGAGGAACGGTCACCGTTTTGGGTTTGAAATCCAGCCGGTATGGTTTTGGTTTTTTTTGGGGGGTTTTTTTCTTCTTTTTTCATCGTAGGATAATTATTACAGGTGCGTCATCCACGTCGGGATGGTATGATTACCACCTTCAAGGGTGAGACTGGCAACATGGTTCCTATTGTATGTTGCCAAGAACACGAGAACAGCAGGAGGGAACTATATGACGTATGTGAAACCGATGAGACTGGAGAGGTGAGGACGGCCGAAATGTTTCAACTGCTCAGATCACTGACACGGTACCGCAGACTGCTCTGCAAGTCTACTGCCAAACCTATAAACAAGCGCCCGTAACTCAGGCGCATGCTCTACTTCGGAAAGCTAGGAGACTCGACCAAACCCTAAACATCCGCATGGACGGCCCTTCGTCGGCTGATGATTCGGCTGAACCTGCGCTAGAATGCCATATGTGCTTGACACAATACTCCCCTGCATTCTATCCGAGTAAACACTACTCGGATCTTTGGCGGTGCCACAAATGCCACTTTGAGCACCAAGCGAATGGCGCTGGCGCTGGCCATTCTCCGGCTGATAGTCTTTCTCCCCTTGATGACACGATGGATGTATAAATGGAATTCTGATGGGGCACGGGCCTTTTTTCCCTGTGGAATACCCTGTTGGATTTTGTACAGTACTTATGTTGATTCAAGAACGAACTTCTATACTTTGGTGGGAGGCTGTTCAGTTATGTAATCGGGATTGTCACAGAACGTCTTGTCATCTTTCGCACGATGTGGACCAGGCAAAGGTTGTTCTGTCAAGTATTTCGCTCGAGCGTCGTAGGGCGGCTCAGTATCTGGCACGCACTGAATTGCTAACTCTACTCGGAGCTGCTCGAGGCTATTTCTTGGATGCCTGGTGTTGTTGTTCTTCCTCTACCATCGCCCAGTCTCGCAGGGTTCGGTCCAGACACTCACAGCGGAACCTACCTGCCTCGACAACCTATCGATCCTCCCTTGGATCATCCCACTATGCATAATGAATTGTCATCTTTAGGATCTGTCCCGGAGATCAAGGAACTTGCTAGAACCCGTGCAGAACGTAGTAAGGGTTTCGGTGCCAAAGCACTCATTGGGTCGGCCCGCACCCAGATACAAACAGCTCAATCGAAGGACGCCGCTGGGGAGCCAAAGGCAGCTCTGCTTGCCTTCCATGTCGCAGCTGCTCTAATTAATATTTATATGACGCACCCCAATTACGTCGCCGACAGGACTCCGGGTAGTTCAGGTAATAATGAGTTCGTTCGGTTTTACCAGGTTCGCACTATGCCTTTAGTGTGGAATGTCATCCAATGATATCGTCCACAGGAAAAGGGAGCTTCTCTGGACCGTATCAAAAGCCTCGAGGAGGAGCTTCTTAAACTTGAGAGATCGACTACAGCGTGAGTGCCATGCACAAAAGAATGACATCCGTATTTATCGACTCTTCTTTTCTCCGTAGTGTATCGCCTTATCCGAGCGAACTGTCCAGTGTAAAACCGCTCGCAGATCGATTGAAGATGCTCGGTCAAAATGGGCTTGACCCTACGACGAAACGTTATTCACGAGAAGTTCCCGCTCCTTACCTACCGGATTCACCTCGCCCTATTCGACCTTCACCCTCGTTGTCCTCTAGTCTTGTTCTCAGCACCGCATCTTCAGCATCGAACTCTACCACACCTTCGCCATACGCAGTCGTCCCGCCATCGTCGTTTGGGCCGCCGTCCCCTACATCTTCTGATTCGTCAGAGGAGACGAGTTTCGATCAAGCTGCGTTCCGTGCTGGGCAATTCAGTCGCAGTCAATGCGGATGCACCAAGTGCAGAGAGAGACCTGGGAGGTACATCAACATTCGAATCAGCTTCACACCTCTGGAGACCTCCAATAAATGAGGCACTATCTGGCATACCTTCATCACCTGAGCGCCGATTTCCGGAATTGCCAATCGATTCCTCGAGGTAAGCAAAAAAAATTCCAGTCTGCGTTCAGTATTGATGTCCTGATCTTAGGTCAACATTCGAATCAACTTCACGTTTCTGGACACCTCCTCCAATAAATGGCGCGCTGTCTGGCTTATCTATATCGCCTGAGCGCCGGTTTCCGGAATTGCCGATCGACTCCCCAGGGTAAGCGTATGTTTTTTCCACCCTGCGTCCAGTATTGATGTTCCGCCACCAGGCTACTACTTAAATCCCACGATTCAGAAACATTTAGTGACACTCCCGCAACTCCTACTTCTATCAGCCGCCGAAAGATTCCAGCACACGTCCCGTCATCTATATCATATAACTATAGTCATTCTGATAGTGTACGTGGCACCTTCCCTGGTATGATTACACGTTGCAAATCATTCTCCCTGCAGACACCCCGCACGCCTCCCGTAATACCCCATTCACATGCAAACGGTTCTGCAGTGACATTCACATCGATACAATACCCCGCCTTTGCAAACACAAGTAGTCACTCCGCTTCAAGGACAGGGGGCACACCCTTATTCTCCCAGCCCCCAGCGCTTCCTCCGCAAGCGAGCATCAACCCCTCTCCGCTTGTCCGGAGGCGAAGCGACTACGTCGAACTAGGTTCCGGCAGTGGATCATTCAGCGCTCGCCTCCCCATTGATTATCCAGATCTACCCAATTCTCACGTTATTCGCCCTCCCCCTCCGGTCGCTTCCAACTCGTTCCAGCGGCAACATTCGCACTCGCAGTCATATTCCGTTAGCACGCTTAAGGAGGCTCCCAAACCGCCCACGATACCATCTGCTTATCCCATAACATATTGGTCTGACATGCAGATTGTCAGAGTTGGGCTCAAGAATATGGGCAATACGTGTTACATGAATGCTACTATTCAGTGTCTCAGTGCCACGGTGCCATTTGCAAGATTTTTCACTGGTATGTGTGAACGTTGATTTCCACACCCAAATTCAGGGCTTACGGGAGATGACCATGATATAGAAGGTCGGTGGAGGAAGGCCGTCAATGCAGTCAATCCCATGGGAACGCAAGGGAAACTCGCATTAGCGTTTGCGAACATTCTTTACGATATGTCTCACTCCGAGCTTCCGCATCTGATCCCAACAACGTTCAGGGTAAGTTTGTCGTGTTCGTTAGTGTACAACTCTGACTTCGTTGGCAAGAAATCAATATGCGTATATGCCCCTCAATTCTCGGGATCTGACCAGCATGACTCGCAAGAATTCCTCACCTTCCTGCTCGATGGTCTCCATGAAGACCTTAACCGTGTCCTTCATAAACCATCCAATGGACCGACAGCCTGAACGCGAAGCCGAACTGGAGCGACTTCCTCAGACGATTGCCAGTTCACAGGAATGGGAGATATACCGGATGCGGAACGATTCACTCATTGTAGACTTTTTCCAAGGACAATTTAGGAATCGATTGGTGTGCTTGACATGCCATAAGGTGGGTTCGGTTTTTTCTCCCGGCGGTCTTCGGGACTTGACAATGCCTGCAATGTCATGTAGACATCGACGACGTACAATTCCTTCATGTACCTTTCGCTTCCCATGCCTTCCGTAAAGGGCCCATCCAAAATATCTTTGCAGTCATGCCTAGACGCGTTTGTCAAAGAAGAAGTGCTCACGGGATCAGAGGCTTGGTATGGTGTCTACGCGCTTTTATGTCACCATTCTAACGGTATCACCAGGCACTGTCCGTATTGCAAAACTCTACGTAACGCCACCAAACAGCTTTCGTTGTCCCGTCTTCCACCAATTCTGCTTATTCACCTGAAGCGCTTCTCGCATAAAGGGGTATTTACGGACAAGATCGAGACCGTCGTCGACTTTCCTCTTAAGGGTTTGGATTTGACGAATTACATGCCTCCAGCACTACCCCCTGGGATGCATAACAGTTCAGCGAGTGGTATTGGCATCGATGATCCGCGAGTGCAGACGCCACCATACAAATACGATCTATACGGCGTAACAAATCATTTTGGAAATCTAAGCAATGGGCATTGTAAGCTTTTATAATTGCTATGTCGCCCTTTTGTGAACAATTTGGTTGTACAGATACCGCTTTTATCGCTTCTCGTGGAGGATGGCTTTATTGTGACGACAGTCGGGTCACACCGACTGACGCTAAGGACATAGTGGTAAGATCTTTGATTTACCGGTAAGACTCACTCTTGACGAATTTCTTAGGGACGCCCAGCATACGTGTTGTACTACAAGAGGATCAAATCATAGAATCAATCAAACTTGTTTCACTACTTAAGATCTTGCTTATTTGGATCAATGGATGTTTATCTTCTCGAGTCAAGTCAAACTTACATTCGCTATACTTGCTGTTATCCCTTGTAGCTCGCATGTCATTCCTTACTGTTGTTTCTTTTGGCCGAATTTTCGTAGTCTATGTGTACTCTCATATCCATAATGTCATTTGCTTTCCGAGTCGTATTCGACTGCATCGACACCATCCTGTTCCAACGAGTGTTTCATCGTGACGCGTCCCCCTGAATCCCGCGATACTGGTCCTCGACTTGATTCAGTGGGTGAGGGTTGGATCATTCTGAAGCCTAGCCAAGAATGGATGGCGTTGTAGATGTTAGCCAAGATTTGTTTCAGAAACATGGACTGATGTGAGCGCAGATGGTGGATCAATGCCGCGAGCAGAACTTGGTGGAGCTGGGACAGTCTGGAGCCCATTTCTCCCTTATTGCTATGAGGACGTGACATTTCAAGAGAGTTGAACTTGCGTTCGGTTATTCTTATTCTCCCTGACCGTTAGAAGTTTATCTCCAGTAGCTCCTCGTTCTTGGCGAGGAGCTGCTGGGCCAGTGTTGTGTATATCAAGTTGTAAGTGTTCGTAGAATGCTGGCTATATGCGCTAGAAGTTGAGCTAAATAACCGAAATCCATCCCGCGGGACACAAAGTGTGTCGCACAAGTCGGGGGTTGAAGTGGATTGGAAATAAGGGACATCAAGCCGAGTCGAGGGTCGACTAGAAGAGAAGAGGATGCACAAGGAGACACCCTGCAGAGGATATAAAGTGATTCATGACGCAGACTATCTGGTTTCATGGAACGCTTCACGTCCTTTGCGTGCGATGCGGCGATACATGGTAATATTCCGTGGCTTTTCATGCAGGAATGCAACAAGCCCCAAGCAGCCCCAACCTAACCCCCATCATAAATTGTGACATTGTGACAGATTTTACCTTGTCACGCGTTAACATTGAATCCACGTGACCGAGTCGCGTCAGAAGTAGTTCAACATCGACGACGACAGCCACACCCAACAACCCAGCACCACGACTCCCGACCGACAATGGCTGCAACACCACGGAAGCTGGTGCACTGGGCTCTTGATGTCTCTATCTCCGACTTTGGATCACCATGCTCGGAAGCAACATCCTCCGATTCCGTCGCATCAACTTCCAGTCTGCAGTACATTAACTCTCAACTTGTAGCACATGGATTCACCCATTCACCTGGGCTCTCCTTTGAAGGACTCTCAAATTCTGACACCGATCAGCTGGCAAAGTGTTTGCTTGCTATGCTAAGCCAAAGAGCGGTACGTCAGTGCAGTTGTGTGGTAGCGCGAGTTACAGCAGTCTCATTCAAGACTTTAAATATTAGAATGACATGTCTCGCACTGAAGATTTGTCGACAAATTTACGAACTCTCTCTTACGACCACGAGCGGCTCATGGGGATGCATCGCTCAGCCACTGAGAAGGCAGCTAATGCAGAGCGCGAAATGAACGTTTACAAGTCACGGCTTGTGTGAGCATTAGTTGATTTTGTCAAGAATTCAACCTAAATTCTGTGGCAGGACGGCTTCCAAAACCTTGGCAGCTTCGGAATCAGCCCATAAGCAGACTTCGGCTGAACTTCAGCGAACGCGCTCCACGTTGATCGCTCTTCGGGCAACTCATTCAACAGAAATCAAAAAGAAAGAGAAAGACGTGGAGCGCATCATTGAGAAATGGTCAAAACTATCCGACATGCAGACGAAGCTATCGATTTCATCCTCAGGATTGACTTTTCGATGTGGCAACGCGGACGTGGTGAGCGGGTCTGAAACCCTCGGAAAGGGGAAGGGATACCTAGAGATTGCTCTTGACCAAGCTGAATCTGCTCGCGCTTCACTAGCTGATGAAGCGTTGGCGTTACAGCGGCTTGTCGTGAGTGTCGCGAACCGACTGCAGTCTGTGCTACATGAACTGCGATGCTTGATTTCACCCTGTGATGAAGAGGTGCGACTCCAGGTTCAAGCACAAACAGCCTGCTAACTCTGTCAATAGCCCGCAATAATAACGCACAGCGTATTGTTCCCATTAACGCCTCCCAACGCTGCGGGTGACAAGTTTTCTACGCTCTTCTCCTCGGCACACAGCGTCCTCGATGATATCTCAAAGCACCTGTCACAGCGCTCACAAGTTGCGGCACCACCAGCACCGGACTACGCCAAGGCCTCGGACGCTCTGGAAAATCAGCGATTACAAGGCATCATCAACGATTTGCGCTCAGAACTTGGTGTGTCTATGGACGCTATTGGGTCTCCTTGTGTGTGCCTAACGAGTTCTCTCAAACAGATGAAGCCAAGAAACTTCATGAGAGGCATATTGCAGAGACTCAGGCTCTCCTAACGCAGATTGCATCACAAGTATCATCTACGGAACGAGATCCAAGGGATGCAAGTGTTGAGCTCATGACACAACCAGAACGAGATCTTGCTGCTGAACGCCTTGAACGCATGAAAATTGAACTTGATGAGGAGCGGAGAAAGTTCACAAACGCTGCTGTGAAACTTGGCAAGGAGAAAGCCACTCTGGAGGTAAAAATCCAATAACTTCATCCAACGCGTTTACTGATGACCACACTAAGGCGGAGCGTATCCAGTTCCTTGAGGAGAGGCGCTCCTGGCAAGTCGAGCAGATGCTCTCCGATCTCCCACCGACCCCCAACCCCACTTCCCAACCTACACCTCGGTCGCCTCAGGGTCATAAAAACAAGTCGCCCCGAAAGTCACCCATGAAGCCCAAGGTCGTCGGCAAGGTGACCAGTAGAAAGACTCGAGTGTCTCGGCGCTTCTCGTCGTTCTCGATTCTACCACCAAACAAAGTGGAACCTGCTTACGAGACGGAAGTAATTCCCATCGCTATCTCGCCAGCTGCCTTTGAGGCGTTGGGTACGAAGTCGACTTTGGCGCGGTCTGTTCTGCCCTCCGCGTTTGTGCTCCCTCCGCGTTCACCCCGGACGTCCTTGCCCCCTGTAGAGGCATTCCTTCCTCCTGTGGCCACCGTGCATCAAGCATCGCCAGGAAGAAAATTATACACGTCCACTGACACCAAGTCAGTGTCCGCTTCGAGTTCCGATGCATCTTCATCAGATTCCTCGTCTCCTTCTGCTCCAACAAGGGCAGCAATACCGACAATTGTCCTCCCATCACCTAAAACACCTCCCGCTGTCATAAACACACGCCGCCCGTTCCCCCTTGCAAAACCTCTTGCACCACATATGTCACATGCTTACTCGCCTGCAAAACCGAGTCCACTCTCCCGCATTCTCATGCTCGCGAATTCACCTGACAGCCCCGACGGGGTGTCGGAAGAGAGCGAAGACTCTCCGACGCCTGCTGTGCACCCACCCGTCGCTGCCATGAAGCCATTTACAAGTGAATCAGAGTCAAATGACAGCCCTCTGAGGGAGAAGAAAACCGAGCTAAATGTTGTTCCTCTACCTCCCCTCAAGAAAATGCCACCCCCTGAATCAAAACGCTTATCGACGAAGGATAAGGGAAAGACTAAAGCGGAGCTCGTCGTACCTGGAAAACTGAAGCCAGAGAAAGAAAACCGCGACAAGATCCCTCGAAAACCCTCTCCTTTACCTCCTGCTCCTCAACAAAAGCTGAAAATCAGTAGCTTAGCTGCTAGCAAGCCTGTACCAAAGCTGCCTACCGGAAAGGGTGGTGCGAGGAGGGTATTGATTGGAAGTGCCGAAGCTGCTCCTGTGCCTGGATGGAGAGGTTGAGTGAGGGGATGACTGATTATCTTTTATGGCAGGTACGCATGCTCGCAGGCGCACCCATGATTTTCGGCTGCTGTATCATTATCATACCACCACGACCCATGTTTCATTGTAAACATTCACTTGCCCCTACCTATGCAATAACAACGAAGTATGAAGATAGATATATAGGCGCCTATTACCGGAGAGGGAGTGCCATTCAACATTCAATATTCAATCGCCAGCTGTACAATCACAATGCGTTATCTCTGGATCGATCTCAAAGTCCTCGCAGCCGGGGTCCCTGTGACGTTTGATCAAAACTCTGTCCAGCTTAAAATATAACCCCTAGCCTCGGGTCTCTAAAAACTTATCTTGACAAGTGGAATCTGAACGACTGTGCCACACGGAGAAAATCCATGTCGTCCCTGGCACCCGCGGCGACCAAACACTGATGAGTATGTTTCGTCCGTGAGACAGCCTGTCATACCGACTCTTTGGCAAGAGCATGAACTTTTCCACGTGCTCTAGGCCCTATCAACAGACTTACAAAGAGAGGCAGCAGCTTAAGCCATGTATCCGGTCCAAAGCATGCCCGGATTCATGTAGGCGAGATCCGCAGCTCTGACAAATAAGATATACAAGGGGGGCGGAGCGCTCTACGCTATATCGATCCCAGACAGGCTATAGTGCACTCCAATGCCACTGGTGAGATGTCTAGAATGCTCTGGAGATATGTGAAGTCAAAACTATAATAGCGGGAATGCACTAACGGGGTAAATTTACCTCATGGTGTGCTCCATATTTTCTCCTCGAGTGTCCTCGGCTTCCCAGAGAGCAGAAGCAGAAATTTGCTTATCGAAGTTTATCAGGTCGCCGCACATTTCTTACGACTATCGTGAAAAGGAGCGACAAGAGGTTGTATTGCGGAGATTGCATTAGGTCATGTCAACAAGAGGATGGCGAGAATAGAACGAGGTTGTTTATCATTCATGATTGTATCCATTTCTTGACCTCAGGGAGCATAGACTTCTGCATGGAATGATGGCGCCGGAATATGCTGTTCCACACGTCTAGTTGATTAGTACTTCGATGCAACGGGTTTCCCGACTACTAGAGAAGTGGATTCCGACAGAGCTGTTTGTGGTGACCTCGATCTCCCTGTTTATTGGACCCCTGACACCCTTCTCATCAACAGCTCCCTAGCAATTGGAGCAGTAAAAGGGCTGCTATCATTCAAACCTCGTATTTCCTCGACATCGCACGGACCAGCACCCAAGATGCCTTAACGCACGTCCCATTTGAATCTGATTCTAAGTCAACGACAAAGTTTCCAATGGGATTGTTGATTGTTAATACAATATTTATGGCCCGGCTACCTCAATACTGTCCTCTCGAGGAATTGTAAAAGCCGCGAAGTAGCCGCCGACGTCGTCCAATGCACTCGCAGGCGCAATCATGCCAACATACCCATCAGGGCGGACTATGACCAATGTCACATTCCTTGGGTCGATACCGAACCTCGTGTATGCTCCACCGCCTAGGTTTCCCGTAGAATCAGTATCATCTAGCAGAACTCTGTAAAATGTGGATCAGTTACACAGACGTAGAATCTTAGTACGACGTACTTGGACCAGTGAGGTCTAAACAACGCAGGTACACGAGTAAATTCCACGTGTTCCTTGTCACCAGACATGATAGTGATGATGTCGAACATGCCTTGGGCTGTCCCCTTTGAGGGATAACCGTACTTCTGCAGGAAACATGAAGGATCTTGCATTTCCTCTGAGAGGGTGTTTAATTCTCTGAGGCGCTCTTCTATCAAGTAGCCAACGAAAAACAAAAGCTTGAACCGTGTGTCAGACGGGAGCATGTCCTGAATGTCGTAGGGACGCGCATCTGCCGCGCGGACGAACATTTGGGGGGGCATACGTTCGCCGATGATGAGGTGAGGTGCACGCTGTTGATGTATTTCATTCGTGATAGCGGAAGGCATATAATGGACACCGATGCCACTGGTAAAACCACCACCAGCCTGGAAAGCTCTGTTGGTAATCAGCCGAGACAGCTCAGTCCTTCTTCCGGATGACAAACCTCAGGAATTGTTCATGCGACACGCCATCGTCGTTATCCATCGTCCTTGGCTTCCCTGAAAACAAGGTGGAGAACTCGCGATCGAAATCGATCAGATCTTGTGCGTATTTTTTGCGCTCGAGTTCATACTGAGGGAGCGAGTCTCAAAAAATGCAATCATGCGCACGGGAGACCTACCGTTTTCAATAGGGAAATGTCCGCTCGGCCTCTTATGACCTGCACGAGTTTCCATGCTGCACGCTGTCAGTCAGTCTATACAACTATCTGGAATATTTCTTTCCGTTACCAAGGTTGTGCGTATCGTTCATGCTGGCATTCATGCCCTGTCCTGCATTAAACATCAGCGGAATGTTAAACTCATGATTGTTGCCATAAGAATCACCAGCCTTCGGAGAATGTGTGTGGCACGCATCCCCTGCAATGAATATTCGTTCGTTGACAGAAAATCTTGACGCCACCCGCTGTCCAACTATTACGTTGAGGACTTATCATCACCGTTTAATACAATGAGGCTTACTAATGTAAATCGTCCACCAATCATACATCTTTGGTTCATCAACTGTGTAGGGACGCAATATCTTCCTGGCAACCTGGGCGGACACGTTGATCGGTTTATAATGTTTACGCGATTAAAGTACGTGCCTCGAGTAATTTCTCTGGGCTCATCCTGTTTTTATCCACCCGCCCAGTAACTGGATCCAAAACATCGCTGTCGGACAGTTGGATGTAAAAACGTACTTTCTCCCCTTCACGCGGTATGATCATGCATGATCCACTCGTGGAATGAATGGCACTTCTGTTACGGATGTCTGGGAAATCCGTGTCGGCTATGACATCAACAACACCCCAGATATAATCTAGTTTTCGTTGTAAAACATATGGGCACAAACGTGGTCGATGTGTATAACTCACCTGTCTGCTCCCCGTCCATAGTGATGCCCAGTGTCTTGCGTACCCATGAATGGGCTCCTGCGAAGTTCTCAGTCATTGATTCCAGCTAGATAAAACCATGCACCATCATGTCTTACCATCACAACCTACGAGATAACGAGCGTGCACTATCTCTTGTTTTCCTGGGGTATCTAGACGATCCAAAGTCACCTATAGTAACCAGGTGAATATAATCATCTTCCAACATTTCGATCCTGCCCCATTTTCTTACCTTCACTGGATAACAAAACGGATCTGCAAGCTGCACTGGATCATTGGACAGTTCAATCGAAGCAGGTACAATGGGACGATCGATTGCAAGGCCGTGTCTGTTCATTGAATCGATAAAGATTGACTCGACAGCTCCTTGGTTGAGCAGGACCTCAAAAGGATAGCGAGCTGTTGGAGCAGTGATATCAGGTGCGCGTCCGGTACGCTAGGGGAGGAGCAAATTAATGATGGTGTACATTGTAATGAACGAAGCTCCTACTGCGAGAACACCGTCATGATCAGGGTTATAGAATGCCTGATTCAGACCGCCGTTAACAATGGGCTGCAACAAGTACTGCATAATCTTGCAGATTCGACTTACACACATGTGCATTTGGCACCCTTCCTTTAGCAAACGCTCCGCGAGGCCATAGCTCTTGTTGTATGATAGACTACCGGTGAGTCTCAACGACTACAGAGGCGTGGGGTAACTGACCTGAAGAACTTCAATCGTCCTGGGTTGGATACCGTCCGCTTGTCCTGTTGATATTTTTGATGATCTACATATGGGCATGAGCACAAGTCATACATTATACCGAGATCTCTGACCTTTGGTCCACAATTTTGACATCAATGCCAGCGGCAGCAAGTGCGTTAGCGCACATCACTCCTGCTGGCCCAGCGCCCACGATAAGCACATCGACGTGACTTTCCTTAGGCATATTTCAGGTCAACGGCAAGCAGAGTGAGGAGGACACTATCTAGTGCTGCGATCCAGTTTACGTATTTCAAGGTAGGCGCTCATTTTTACAGGTCACCGGTGATGGCAAGCCCGGCGGAGCCGCACGCCCATTATTCCATACCACTCCAAAGACATCGAGGAAGTACTTAAGTAGACGACGGAGATGCATAGGAAAGTGAGAAAAACATATGTAACATAGTAAAAACATATCATAGTGTATACCCCATATGGCACATAACATTAGTAACGTGCCGTTCGGCAATATGTTCGGTTTGACTTATCCTCACAGCGTCACACATCTGTCACATCATGTGATGTTCGTTGAAATCACATTACCTTACTAGGTGTTGGAGGGATCGTGGCAACAAGCCTCGGGACCGACCGGGCGGCTCAAGCACAGTCAGGCTGATGGCGGTACGGGTGGGCTTTCGTAGGCTTTCATTCGCCAACGGCTGAAGAAGCGACATACTACATTCAGCGATCGCAGCAAGGACAGCCAAAGGCATTACATACTACATTCGGTGATCGCAGCAAAGAAGCGACATACTACATTCGGCGATCGCAGCAAGGACAGCCAAAGGCATTACATGACACGGGGAATGTAGACCAGCCAAGACAAACTGGTCGGAGATAGCCTGTACCAATTTCAAAACTTGAACTACCGTAAACAGTGAACACGCCCAAAGTTGACATGTGAGTGCGTTGGCTGGAGCTGAACTTCCAGCTCGGCATCAGGCACTATGTGGAATGATCTTAATTAAGGGGCAGGTAGTACTACAGGACGGCAAGAGCTTAAGGATCGCAGGCATTTCAGTGATCGTGAAAGTAACGTCGGATTAAATACATAAGTATGAATATATACATCCTGGTCATGATCCAACCTGAGAGTATCCATACACTCATACTGTCTCCTACTCATGGTGTGCACCACCGATAGTTGTATGCTATAAGATATGTGGTCAAAAGAAACGTGACGTACATTACAGCGCTACGCTTCCAGGTTCAAGGTTTTTCCTTTCAGGAAGGAACCGAAGTACTTGTCCATGCTCTCTAGTGCAGTGGATGGTGCGATCATACCAACATAACCGTCAGGCCGAACAACTACCATCGTTATTTCCTTCTCATCAATACCGAATCTCGGATACGCGCCACCGCCCAAGCGGCCTGTCACATCCGTGTCATCAATCAAGACTCTGCATGGACACACGTTAGTATCGTGGGACAGTGGAAAGTATGATAACTCACTTAGACCAATGTGTCCTGAACATTGGAGGAAGGTCAAGGAAATTCACATCATCCTTGTGACCCGCCGTTATCGAGATGACGTCGAACATAGACTGCGCCTTGCCTTGGGCAGGGTAGTCGTACTTTTGGAGGAAACTTGTGGGAAGTTGCAACTCTTCAGCGAGCCTGCGAACCTTCGTGAGCTGCTCCGATGTCAGAAGACCGACGAAAAGAAGAAGCTTGAAGCGGGTGTCCGCGGGGAGTATGTCGTGGATCTCAATAGGACGAGCGTCCGCTGCACGAACAAACATTTGCGGCAGCATCCGCTGGCCAATAATGATGTCTGGCGCGCAGCCCTGATGAGTAGTATCGACAATTGCTGAAGACATGTAATGGACACCGATGCCACTGCTGAAGCCGCCAGAAGCCTGGAAAGCCCTGAGAAGCGCAATTTAGATACAGCTGCAAGACACCATTGAGACAACTCCACCTCAAGAATTGTTCATGGGTGACACCCTCCTCGTTGTCTGATGTCCTCGGTTTGCCCGAAAATAGAGCAGAGAACTCGCGATCGAAATCAATGAGATCTTGGGCATATTTCTGGCGCTCAAGCTCGTACTGAGAGGCGATAAGTCCCTGGAGATATGAACAAGTAATGCGCGAACATACGGTCTTCAAAAGGGAGATATCTGCCCTGCCCCGTAGGACTTGCGCTAGCTTCCATGCTGTTTTCACAAAGTCCGTGAGAAGACAATTGTCTGGAACGGAAAAACCGTACCAAGGTTATGGGTGTCGTTCATGCTCGCATTCATACCCTGCCCTGCAACACAATGAGACTTGTTTATCTTCTTCAATCATCGCATTTGCTTACCTGCTTTTGGAGAGTGGGTGTGACAAGCGTCACCAGCAATGAAGACACGCTCATGTGCAGAAAACCTGGAGGCTACACGTTGACCAACTGCAACAATAAATGTTCAACTTCACAGTCCCAATGATAGCAGTGTGGCCTTACTGATGTAAATTGAACACCAGTCCACTTCCTTTGGTTGGTTGACTGTATACGGATAGAACGTTTTGCTAGCAACCTGTTTGGAGAGCTACTAGTAGTCCTTTGAGGCAATGGAGTTGGTGCATACCTCAATAAGTTTCTCAGCGCTCGCCTTGTACTTGTCGACTCGCCCTGTTTCAGGATCCATGACGTCTTTGTCCGACATCTGCAGGTAGAACCGGACTTTGTCTCCTTCGCGAGGTATGATCATACATGAGCCGTTACTAGAGTGGATTGCGCAACGATTGCGAATGTCTGGGAAGTCGGTATCTGGAATGAAGTCGATCACACCCCATATGTAATCTGAAAGAAACACCACAAAAGCACCACATTAGAATAATTCGTGCTAAATTACCTCCGTAGAGTTACCGGTTTGTTCCCCATCCATTGAAATACCCAGGGTTTTTCGAACCCATGAGTGCGCACCTGAACAGCGGGCGTTGTCAGTTACATAGGAGCATTCTAAGTTGCCGCATGTCTCACCGTCCGCACCAACGACGAACTTTGCGTGAACAATTTCCTGTTCTGGAGCTGTGTCCGAACAAAGTATATGGTCTAAGACCACCTGGGTCAAGGTGTAAAAATAGCGTCATGTTGGAATCAAGATCTCGAGCACCTTTACGGGGTAAGATGATGGGTCCAGAAGTTCTTCGGAGTCTTGCGTAATCTCCAGGGAAGAGGGTACAATCGGACGATCAACTGTTACTCCTTGGGACTTCAAAGAATCGACGAACAGAGCTTCAATTGCTGCTTGTCCGATCGTGATCTGCACCACAATATCAGTCAGAAATGAAAGAGCCACATAGCAGAGCATACCTTAAATGGATAACGGGCCGTTGGAGCCGTAACGTCGGCAGCCCGGCCAGTGCGCTGTAAGTATTAACGTTTAGATATGAAGCGACTATGCGTGCGATTTAATGTACTTCAATGCCACCATTGGGACCGGGGTTGTAAAAGGCCTGGACAAAAATCATTACTCATAATGTGAAACAACTAGAAGATAAGACGTACGCAGAGATGCATCTGAGCACCGTCCTTCAACAAAGGCTCTGCCAAACCATAACTCTGAAAGGATTGGATATCACTTCTCTTCTATTGCAAATGTTGGAACGTACTTGAAGAACTTCGATCGTTCTAGGCTGTATGCCATCGGCTTGCCCAGCGGCCACACCAACTGGCCTGCGTTCATTTGAGTCCTCCATCCTCGCTCAAGACTCTGAATGCGTGACGGACCTGTTGTCTATGATTCTGAAGTCCACCCCAGCGCCAGCTAATGCGTTAGCACACATGAGTCCAGCCGGACCCGCCCCAATGATGAGCACATCAACTCGACTTTCTTTGACCATGATGACGACAGATAAATGAAGAAAGGACATCTGTCACTCATTTGGACGAGGGTTTATATATGTCAAGAGCCGCCCGAACTGTGAGCTCATGATTAAGTTCGCTTCACACCAGGCCGAGAGCTGTCATGACCATTGGCCGTGTGCTAATCGCACTTGTAACGTACTATTTTCATAGAAATGATACGATAAGCACTTGATCCGACAAAGTGGCCGTGAAGTGGCCTGCGTAAGACAACTTGCGCGGCGAAAGTATAGGGGAATGAATCAAACAATGAATTGAACAACAACAGGCCATTTTCTCACGAATACTAGTACGTATGTATAGCTCTGTACTGCTTCGCTGTTACGAACCTTGGCAAATGCAGCAATGAGTCTATGTGTAGATTTCAAAATACATCCGATGGCTCTCTAAGAGAGTTTGATGTGAGAAGACTATTCTCAGCATAAACATTAAAACTACACAGCAATCTTCATGAAAGATGCAAAATATGCATCAAGCTCTTCAGCGCGATCCAGGGGCGCGATGGCTCCAACATAGCCATCAGGGCGAACAACAACCAGGGCGCCCTCAAGACCCACACCGTAATATGAGTAACCTTGGCCCCCGAAGCTACCGGTGACATCGATGTCATCAATAAACACCCTAACAGTTCCTCAATCAATATCATCACACGCAACATGATTTAAGCACTGACTTTGACCAGTGAGAGCGAAGAAGCGTGGGGAGCCGTAAGAAATCAAATACTTCCTTCCGGCCTTGGCTGATCGTGATAACGTCAAATCGTGAGTCCACAGAACTCTTGCCAGGCGTCGCATAAAGGTTCAGGAAGCTCCCAGGTTTCTGCATGTCCGTGACCATAGACTCAACCCTCGCTTGCTGAAGTTGGTTGCTGAAATCACCAACAAAAACGAGCAGTTTGAAGCGGAAGTCCGAGGGAAGAAGGTCTTGGAGTTCAAAGGGCCACGCGTCTGCAGCACGGAGGAATTTCTGTGGAGGGACGCGTTCGCCAATCACGAGACCACTAGCCAGCTCTTGGTTTTTGTCATTCACTACAACCGAAGGGTTATAATGTACCCCAATGCCACTGGTGAAGCCTCCGAAAGTTTGGAAAGTCCTACAACCCCGCCACATTAGTAACAGGACAAGACTGTTGGTAACATAATCTCACTTCAAGAACTGTTCGTGTGAAACCCCATCGCTGTTCTGCTCAGTCATGGGCTTCCCAGAAAAAAGGGTGGAGAATGTTTTATCGAACGCGATTAGGTCTAATGCGTATTTACGGCGCTCTGATTCGTACTATGGTGCGTGAGCAAGGAGTCAAATGACTGCTACAAGAGCTTACCGTTGACAAAAGCGACGTGCCTGCCCAACCACGAACAACTAGGGCAATTTTCCAAGCTGAGAAAGCCATTAAGCTTAAACCGAGGCCGCAGGAAAAAGAAAACACACCTATATTGTGGGCATCGTTCATGCTTGCGTTCATTCCTTGTCCTGGGTGTTCCATTGTAACCAGACTGAGAGGCAGGGGTCAGATTTAAGACACTCACCTGCTTTCGGAGAGTGTGTGTGGCAGGCATCGCCGGCGATAAATACTCGATTTTTGATGGAAAACTTTGAGGCTACTCGTTGTCCGACTTGGCAAAAAAAGTCAAACAAACACGAATTGATAGAAAGTGAGTCAGATGCATACTGATGTATAGTGTCCACCACGAAATCCCATTCGTAGGGTTAAGCTTGTAAGGATGAAGCGATTTTCGGGCAACCTAACGGGGGTATTGATGACTGCTGACCCAATGGATGGATACTGCTTACTTCAAGCAACTGCTCCGGACCCATTCTCTCCTTGTCTACTCTGCCTGTTGCTGGATTGATGAGATCTTTGTCCGCCAGTTGCATGTATATGCGAATGCGTTCTTTTTCTCGGGGTACGAGAAGACACGAGCCATAATTGGAATGTATAAGGCTCTTATTCCTAACATCCGGGAAGTCGGTTTCAGGCACCATGTCTAAGACACCCCAGATGAAATCTATCAACCGAGATTGAGCTTGTTGAGAACCCTACTTGATCTAGATTCTTACCAGACTGTTCTCCGTCCATCGAAATATCAAAATTTTTGCGGACCCATGAGTGAGCGCCTATCAAGCAAAATGAGTATGTTGGCTACTAATTGACATCTTTACAACGTACCATCGGCCCCGAGAACAAATTTAGCATGAACAATCTCTTCTTGTGGTTGACCCTCGGATGTGTCTAGTTTCTGGAGCGCAACGCGAACTGGATGTGATGTAGGATCCATCAACTCATTTTCATCCTGGGAGATCTCTATCGAAGTTGGTGTTGTTGATCGTTCAACCGAGACTCCAAGTGCTTCCATAGAATCTAAGAAAATAGATTCAATTGCTCCTTGATGGAGCGCGAGCTTCATTCTGTTCAACTCGTATAATTTATCTGCCTAATTGATGAACACACCTCGAATGGATATCTTGCAGACGGAGCTGTCACATCTGGTGCTCGGTTAGTAAGCTAATGGCGGAAATTAGGATATTCCTCATTAATCGCGGAAGTTACGAACCTCGATACCACCAGTCGAGGAAGGGTTGTAGAAAGCCTAAGATGCGATGAGTCATACACGTCAAGCCCCTATTGAAGGACGCACCGCTAGATGGACTTGACAAGATTCTCTTATAAGGCGCTCTCCAATTCCATAGCTCTATGTTCGATAATTATCGAATCCTTGTCAGTTAGCAAAGAAGTGTTCTCACCTGAAAAACTTCAATAGTACGAGGTGAAATTCCATCCGCCTGACCAGCTGTTACTTTAGCAACCCTGATGTAAAATCAAGATCAAGTTGAAGCGCGAATGCTAGCCATCGACCCACTTACCTTTTATCGATGATCCGAACATTTACTCTCGCATTTGCCAGAGCATTCGCACACATGAGCCCAGCAGGGCCAGCCCCAATGATGAGAACGTCGACTTCAGAGTGGCGTACGACAGAGACAGGCATCACGAACAATAACGGGGGGAAATGTAGAGGAGTGTGTCTTGATACTGAGGAGGTGCAGGTTCGGGAATTCCGATCCTTAAGAGATTATTATTAAGGATTGCAGGATGCTGGCACCCGGCCTGCCACGGGAGAGTAAACACTAATCAGTCATGTTTGCCGCACCACTGGAGATGCCATGTCAGTGAACTTACTTACTCGCGAGAGGTGATCTACACAGATCTACACACGCGTTTACCGAGCCATCTGAATGAGATGCCGGAAAAGTAGGGCGCAGACCATCATGACCATAACGTCCGAGAATTCGTGAGAGCAGATGATGATCATTAGGATATATATATTAGCCTATCTCACAGTTTTGTCTGTACAATCACCCTGCGAGTTGTAGTGGTGTATGCACCAATCCCCGCATCGGGATCTCCATCCGCATCGTATCGGATAAGAGGACCTCATGTAGGGAGCAATCAGATTTCTGCAGGCTTCTGCCTCCTACAAACAGAACACACGTGAGGATGAACGCATATATTTAAGGGGAAAGACGGTCGCACCGCGCGCTGATAGGCTATGATGTGGTTGAATGCTGAGCTTCCGCAGCGCGAGTGCAGGCAAAAAATTCATCCCCAACTGAGTTTTGCATGAGGACTCGTCGTTCCGATTTTCTCATGATCAAGTTCTCTCCAACATTATCTGTCTGACCATCATTGTCATAGACTGTGGTCAAACGGAAGGAATATAAGAAGATAGTGAAACTGTGAGAGACATTAACTTGTTGATCGGACACTCTCGGACATTGCTCGGACATACACAAACCGATCACATGCTGAGGTAATAATATAAGTCTCTCTGATTCTCTTCTCTTCGTTGCGATCCCACTTCAACACTTTCCCCCTAGAACCCGCAATACGTTCACGCTCATGACACCCAAAACACGTACTCATTATTGTGGGAAGCATCAGCATCAGCCCACTGATGGCCTAGTCTTCCAGAATCGATTTAATGTTAGCAGATCAATTCATGAGGACTAGCTGCAGTTACCGCTCATCTCAAATGCACTGTGGAGCTCTACGTAGCTCTCCGAGAACCCTCCGAGTTTGATCAGGATGATATCTATTCCATATTGTCGAACGGTATGCGACACACTTGAGGTTGTGGTCGTGGAGCCCGCCCAGTGTAGAAGTCCCCGTGAAAAAAGAGAAATAAATCCGTACTACGTCCAGGCATATCATTGAAACACCAAGGTAAGCAATGTTGTTTCTCGCGCACGGTGGAAGAGCTCAAGGCATATTGGGGCCCCGAGCGTATGTACAATGCTCGCTAGCGTCAGACAAAACAATACAAATGCCATTGATGACTCACTGGCGTCCTCGGCATTCGAGCAACAACTCTTACAATTTCAAATGTCATCCCGATCTCATCATCATAGATTTTTCACGGCAGAAATGCGACCGTTGCGCGCGGCTCGGTCGCTTCCCATTTGTGTTCTGCCACCTGATTTAATTACCACCAGATCTAGTTTCAAATTCGAATTTGCATCCCTGGGTTCCGTGTAGAATGGTCGAATGGCTTATGTTTCGCTTTGCATTAAGTATTCCGTGCTTAGCAGGGCAGCTGGCAGCTGGCACCTTACACTAACACTAAGATGTTCAAATTACAGGCTCGCAAGTGACAGTTGTGCACAGCGTATCTGATGAAAGACTGAACAAGCGATTGGCTATGTTCTATATCCTTCCGTAATTTCTGAAGGCGATTCATTGATCATCCGGGGATGGCATAGCAAATGTCATACAAGAGGTGAGCGAAAGCAGCGTCGGCGGAAATGACTGGAAATGAATACAACAAGGGGGTATGAAACCAGTACTTTACAACCGCTCCTCACCATGGAGAACCTATCGTGGCAGTGATTATGATACATATCCAATAATCCGGGAGCATCCACTCCACCTTCCCAAACTAACACAAAACATAACACGATCCAAGGAACATCTAGAATTCCAGAGCAATTCTTATTCATGTGCGACATACTGACCGAAAGGGGTGAACACATACATTGAACAGGTGTCAAAGTTACACTTCCCCATAGAGCACGCATTGAGAATATTCATTCTTTTCGACACCTTCTCGGGTCAAAAGAATATCCCGAACCTAAACAAAGCGAAGTGGGTTCAAGTTTAAGCGTGATAATGGAAATGGCACATACCTCTCCGGGTGGGTTAAGACTAAATGAAGCAGCTCTCTCCCAACGCTCAAGACGTGTCATGCCAACACACGGACCATACTCGTAAGACCTAGCAAAGTTCAGACATCGGTTAAGACCCGTAGGAACGTCCGCAGTATACGCACATGTCAAACATGCGAAGGATCTGATGAATTTTATTCTGCCCTTCTGCATGAACTTAAAGCACATCACCGTCAAATATCGTGGACGATTGTCGCAGGGCATATATGTGACTCACTCGGTTCAAGGTTGCCCATCTTTTCTCGTACTTGTCCATAGTGTTTGCGGTAGCTCTTGCTTGATACATCTAAACTCGGCCGTTGTTCCACAGGTTTGACAACAGGTGGGTCATCCTTTAGCCTCTTCATGGAACTAGATGTCGATGTTTTCGTGGCATTGGAAATCGCGCTCTGCTGTACTCGCTTCACAGGAGTTGGTGAGTACTCCTCTTCCGAAGAAATCTCAAGCACGTCGTTACTGTCCTCTTCGTTGTCTGTCTCCTCGTCGATTACATCTTCAGCTCTCTGTTTTTCCTTCTCAATCTCAATTGCAGAGGATGACCGTCGTGCCGGAGGAGGTTTCTTCGCCTTAGCACTCGTGTTCGAATTCGTGCGTTTAGCACTAGAAAACGCCAATGTGCCTTGTTTAAGGGCTGGAGCACTGTTGTGTCGTGAGCTTGACTTCTTTGTGGAGGCCATTGTGGACTTGGTTCGAATCTAAGGGTTAGGGGAGTTCTCTGTGTTTCTTTACTGATTACTCCGAGGTCTAGTCATAATAGTTTAGTAACGTAGTTTCATATCGGCCGACTAGCTCAGCTGGTTAGAGCGTCGTGCTAATAACGCGAAGGTCTTGGGTTCGATCCCCACGTTGGCCATAACTTTTTCGTTCTCGGTCTGCATGCACGAAAAAATGACAATCTTTCATGTCGAATTCTTCTTCATGCAGAAGGATTATCATTTTCCCCCCTTGTTTTCTTTCACTTAATGCATCAACATAAGGTCCGCGTCAACTGTAGTACTTACATTCTCGGAAGTGTGGAGTTCAGCACCTGAGCTCAGAGTTATTGGTTTCAACTTATCGGGCACCCTAGAGCATGTAGCTTAGTTTGAACTCATGAGGTATCATGACTGGCGCCTGGAGCCCCGCTACGATCTACACTATTGAGAAGCAATGTATTCTTTAGGGTGGCGCGAGCACAACATGCGTGCAGGATTAAAAAATCCGATGCACATTCCTGGTATCTCGTCAAGTCATGATGGGTTCTTCGAGCGCATCAGGTATGAAGCTGAAGTACACTGTCCCACCTCCAGATCATCACCAAATAATCACGCTCCAACCAAAAAAAAGCAATCAACACAAAAATGTATTCTCATATAAAACGACTCAATGAAAGTGGAACCCGCCTCCACCAAACCCACCCTGACCACCAAACCCACCACCGCCTCCAAACCCACCACCACCCCCAAACCCACCACCACCCCCAAACCCACCACCACCTCCAAACGGTCCCCCACCCTGGAACTGAGAAAATATCTCTGCAAGATCCGCAGTGTTAAACGCTCCAGCGCCTCCCATACCGCCGTCCGTCTGTCCATCTTCGTCTTCGCCCATGTCGTATCGCTCACGACGTTGGGGGTCTGAGAGGACTGCGTGCGCTTCAACGACAAGTTTGAATTTTTCTTCGTCACCTCCCTGGGAGTTAATATTAGTACAAACACGTGCAAGAGGGATGGGGATGGATGGACTTTGTCTGGGTGGTGTTTGAGACTTTCTCTTCGGTAGCCTTTCTTGATTTCGACTTCGCTGCAGTCCCTAGCGACGCCTATGTAGATAGTAGTGAGACTGACTCGTCCGTGATAGCATGATGAGATGCGTTCTTACCAAGGATCTTGTAGTAATCCTTCGTCTTGCTCCGCTTTAGCGCTGCCTCGGCTTTCTTTAGTTCAGCCCTCAGGGATCTGACGTCGGCTTCGACGCCTTCAAACTCGGCTTGTTCCATCGATGCCCTAAAGTCTACGATGGCAGTATCGTATTTTTCGAGATGCAAGTTGATACGTGCACGAGTACGGAGCGCTTTGAAGGATGTCGAGCATAATGCGAGAGAGGCTTCTGTATCTAGGAGCGCCTCATCGTACCGGTCGAGCTGAGAAATAATAGTTGAATCTAAGAGGTATGATATCTTGTCAATGATATACCTTCACGAGTGTGGTTGCGCGATTTGAGAGAAGAGTGGCGCGAATTTGCCCGCCTTTGCCCTCCTCCTCGATTTCACCTATTCGCTGAAATGAAATCATCAATATTCTATGGTGGGAAATATAAGAAGAAGCATACGTCGAGACAATCTGTGTATCGGTCGATTGCGTCTTGCAGCCTGCCACCCTTGAAAGCGGTGTTTCCCTCTTCCTTGAGGCGCTCTACGTCCTTTACGCGCTTGCGCAATCGCTGTGCCGGCTCGTGACCGGGATCAAGGCGGAGCGCCGAAGCAACGTGTTGTAGCGCTTGAGGTAGTTTACCGCTGAGGAAGAGCACGAGACCACGAAGGGCAAGGACTTCCGGCGAGTTGGGTTCTAATCGAAGAGCATCGCTGGAAGACGGCTCTCAATGTCCAAAGACCCTGGGGTTGTAACGTCGGACTCACTTGGCAGCAATGTTGGCAGCATCCCAGCTGCCTCGTGAGAGTTCGAGTTCGACTCTCCATAGACGCCACTGAGTTGGTATCTCGCCGCCCTCACCTTCGATACTTTGTAGACATTTATCTAATGCGAGACGTGCCATGCCCCATTCCTTGCGTGTGCGTGAAGACTCGAAGTTACGTAAATGAGCCTCTAGTTCGAGTACTTTGTCTTTTAGTTGTGCAGCAGCAGCATTGGTGGGTTCTAATGCAAGGACAGAGCGTAGGGCAGTTAATGCAGGCTCTGACAAACCAAGTGCAAGTTGACAACGTGCGAGACGGATGAGAGTCTTGGAGGAGGGGTCTGCGGATTGGAGTGTAGCAGCCTGCTGACAATCCGTTAGTGCAGGGCGGAAACGCTTCAAGGCCATGTAAGATGCGGCACGATTAGTGAAATATGATGGTTCCGTGGGTTTCATGTCTGGAAAATGGGTTATCAATGAGAGGAGGGAGAGGGGGTAGGGATAGTACCGATAGCCTTGGTATAGAGCTCGATAGCTTCGTTATATTGCTTTGCTTTGAAAGCTACATTACCACGCTCTTTTATTTCCTCTGCTGAAGGGCCCTCCTGACGGGGAATAGGAATGCCATTGGTTGTTGTAGAACTTGTAGATGGAGATACTGGAGGTGTAGGTTCCGGAGGCGGGTCTGGGCTCTGCGAAGGAACCGGATTTTTGCTGAAGAGGGAGATTAGTTGTGGTGTTGGTAAGTAGGTGAACTGAGATCATACTTGACGCCATTTGGCTGGGGCCGTTGTGCTTGCTGAGCGGCCTGAGCCTGCTTTTTCTTTGCCTGAGTCTTCTTTTTATTAGTCATCGATGCAGCAAGCCCGCGAATAAACGAAATAATCAAGGATGGTATATAGTGATGATGATCCTGATGGTCTCCGGATCAGCTGAGCGCCCAAAAGTTTGTGAAGCGGATTTGAAAATGGATGGCGTCGAGGACGGTCACAACGATGCAGTGATCTATTACTATTACAGAGTCACGTGTTTGAAAGCTCTTGCTAAAAATGGGCGCCTCCTGGCTGCGTTGAACCCTCTGACGACCTCCTTCATGCTCTTGTCAACGTCCTGCTATTCGAATCTTTTAGCAAATTCTAGCAGCTAATAAAGGGCTGGTACAATGAATTGCGTCTTTCTCAAGGGCGAATCAACGGAAATAGTTGCTGAAAGTTCTTTATCAGCAGTTTCGCATAATATTTTCTCCCCAGCTGGATCATCTTCCGAACCATCTTCTTCTACAATGTACATGCCAATGGTATCTCCGCCAACTCCAGCTCCTTCACCTCGTCCAGCATTTCCCTTCGCTTTCTATTCTGATACCAATAATCGTAATACCTCTCCATCACCTTACGATCCCATACACCCAGTTCCCTCAGAGTTCTCAAGTTTATGCTGGCAGTCCCGCCTCTCGCAAACGATATCTAGTCGCTATTCTCCACGACTGTTCCCCAGCAGAGCTTCGCTTCATATCTCAGACAATCACACCTATGCTCAAACGCGATTTCTTGACTGAACTACCCGCAGAAATCGCCCTTCATGTCCTCGCTTACGTCGATGACCCACGCACCCTCGCCCGAGCGAGTCAAGTCAGCAAGCGCTGGCACGACCTCGTCGCAGATGACTGGCTCTGGAAGGTTTTATGTGACACTTACAGCTTCAAAGCTGACACAGAGGATAAGACTGGTAAAGTCTTTGGAGACGACGAATCTTGGGACGAAATGGATAAATTTGCTTCCCATCCAATGGACCCGTGGCTCACCGCACGAGATCGACTCAAACGCCAGGAACATGCTTCTGTATCTCACTGGGGACCATACTCCTCCGACGAGCTTCTTCATCCAAGAACTCAATTTTCTCACCAGGAATACTTCAGGCGTGCATACGGTACAAGTACGATCACTTCTTACCCGACTCCGCATGTCGTCATTAATCTTAACATACGCTAGTGCTTAATCTAAGAAAGGGTGGTCAAATCCTTCGTGCCCACCGCATGCCCATCCCAACACCAGACAGCGGTGTTATTACGTCTGTTGCCCTTGACACCGAATGGGTAGTCGTCGGTCTTGCAAACTCTAAGATCCATATCTTCAGCGCGATCACAGGTGTCCTTAGCCGAACGCTTATGGGGCACGAGTTAGGTGTCTGGGCAGTTCATCTCGTTTGCCGTGGTGGGTATTGGGGCCGCGGCGAGATGGATGAAGATGGACATCCCGATCGTGACACAGACGCTAACCCCAATCCAGTCATGCCTGCTGCCCTGAAGACAGCGCTTGGCCTCGACAGACCCAGACGAACGCGACGGCCAGCGAGCGTTGGGGGTGACACCTCAAAGCCAAGTGATATTTGCTGTACTAGCGAAGGCTGGGGACAGCCCAACTCCATCATCGTCAGCTGCCAGTTGCGACAAAACGCTACGTGTTTGGGATGCGAAATCTGGGTAGGTGTTGAGCTCCTCTTACTTCGGTTGTAGGCTTACGGGCGCTTAGCCATTGTGTTTACGTCCTTCGCGGGCATACTGCCACTGTCAGGTGCGCTCGGGTCCTGCACAATCGCCCAATTGCAGTGACTGGCTCCCGAGACTCTACTCTCCGGGTATGGAACATACAGAAGGGAGTCATGCTTCGTGTACTCTATGGACACACTGCGAGTGTAAGATGTCTCGACGTATGTGGCAATAAGGTTGTCAGTGGTAGTTATGATACCACATGTCGGGTCAGTCTCGTTATTCAGAGCGGGGATGGCATGTGATTTTGACTTCCATCTACACGTTCTATAGATCTGGGACGTCGATACTGGTGAATGCCTACAAGTCCTCCGTGGTCACAGCCATCAAATCTATTCCATCGCAATCGACGGCAACCTCGTAGCGTCAGGGGGAATGGACACCATCGTCAGAGTATGGGACGCAACTACAGGGTAACACAAAATACAACTCCTCCATTACTCAACCCCCACTCACCCATCCTTGCAGATCCTGTGTCGCCCAACTTGCAGGCCACACAGCCCTAGTCTGCCAACTCCAACTTTCCTCCTCCCTCAGCCTCCTCGCAACAGGCGGTTCCGACGGACGCGTTATCACATTCTCCCTCCGGTCCTTCAGCGCTCTCCAACGTATCGCAGGGCACGATTCAAGCGTCACGTCTCTCCAATTCGATGCCAACTTCCTTATTACGGGCGGGAACGACGGACGGGTGAGGGTGTTTGAGACTCAGAGTGGTGGGTATGTGAGGGATTTGAGTGAGCGGTGCGAGAGCGTTTGGAAGGTTGCTTATAAGAAGGGGACGTGTGCGATTATGTGTAAGAGGGCTGGGAAGACGGTGATGGAGATTTGGACGTTTAAACCTAAGGAGAGATTGATTTGTCGATGTTGTGAATCAGTGAGTAGGAAGTTGTGTAGGTATGCGTGTCATTGTGATCGTACCGACCTGGTGTTAGCTTGTATGGAGCTTGGATTGATGATTTGGGTTTGAGGTGGTGGTGTGCAAAAAGAGACGAGAAAAATTATGGCCAACGTGGGGATCGAACCCAAGACCTTCGCGTTATTAGCACGACGCTCTAACCAACTGAGCTAGTCGGCCGATGAAGTAGACACTGGGATATACGTAATGATCGTATGTAAGACGATTCTGCCACCAATCCAAATTCCTGGATCTATTCAAGTATCCCATGGTATTGACGCGGCACTATAACAAAACACAAGTTGCTTTGGATCACCTTCAAATGTCGCTCGAAACACTACTAGTCCACAATGGTGATCATAAATGACCCATCATCGTCATCTAGTACTGTTAAAGTGCTTGTCGTGCATGGACTCGTGCAGTGTGCATGTATTACCGTTGTGGTACGTCATTTTCTGTGGTAACTCTAATCAAACTCTAATGGTGCCACGTCCGGTGAATGCTAGTGAATGTTAGCTTTCAGATGTTGTATTCGTGCGTTAAGCCTCCCCTCTGTGTTAAGCCTCGCCGATGTCGCGTCGTTCCCTTAATACGAAGGAACTATTGGTCTAGGGGAGACTACGTTAGCCCTGATATGTCTCACCCCACCCAACGCCTCGTCGATGCTGCGCCGCCTCTGTCATGGAGTGACGTGATTGTGAACTACACGAGTGCGTAAGTATTGCGAACCTACACGAACATGTGTGGGTGCGCGGAGTACTTCAATGGAACGTGACCCTACGCGTTAGAGATCTATATGTCGCTCACGTTCATCTCTGCTCTCCACTCCCGCCTCAAAGACCGGCTGTCACTTGCGTTCCACATACAGTCAAGGTGGATTACATTCCACAAATGTAAGATATAGTCCTTTGCTGATTGCCGATGTCTTCCTCATCTCCCGTCCCTCAAATACAGCGTAAGCCACGTCTATCCAAGAGATCAATTTGCCGTACGGGCGTCAAACATTTTCAACAGCGTGCAAGAGCTTTGCTTATTAGTCCGAGGTTCGATCTCAGATATACCTTGCTTGTCAAGGTCATGTGAGAAGTTTCGGAATGCGCTCTCCAGCCTATGTAGGGCTGGATAGGCACTGCCCTTATCACCTGAACAAGAGGGTTGGACATGCGCAGGCAGAATCTAGTCAAGATTCAACAGGCACTGGTGGCGTGACTTTTGTCATTCGTGTGACCATGACATTGGGTATCCTGATTCCTTACGACCTGTTCTTGATAGTTAACTATCGAGGACACCAGCAGGAACTGTGGTGCCGTAAACTCTTTACGATGTCGTACAATTTTCATTCGACCACCACTACCCTTACAGCTCTGTACTTATAAGTATTGTACGTCAATCATGATGATCAACGGCCCACAACTCACGCTTTGAATTCTCCATTTGAACTGCGCGCTTTCATGTCGGAACTTGAAGAAGACGTATATGGTCTCCGCTGGAATAACAATATCAGCAGTCCGTCAGATCCGTTTAATTTCGAACGAACCATCGTGCTGACATTCATTGTCTTTCCAGTAGTAATCATCACCCTGGTAGCCTATGACTACAGTCAGTAGCTTTCATGAACTTTGCACTGTGGCTGAGCGTCAGATGATCTAGTGCTTCAGTTCGAGAAAGAGGTAACGAAAAGCATGTTCTCTCTTCGTCGCGTACTCATGATCATATTTGTTGCAGGTCAAGTATGTTTGGGTTAGTGTTCAACTCCCCATCCGCAAAATGATATTCATGCCCCGGAAACTGAATATCCAGGAACGACAGAGGTCACTGATGTCGTGTCTGTATTTTGCTGTGAGCACCCAGGCTACCAAAATTCTTTCATGGTGTTTTATTTTGTTGCTGCCAGGTTCGATATTTCGGTCTTTTCGTTTCAATGTACGTCGCGGTGATTGTGTCCTTCAGATGATGGATTATTTGTTGACACTGATCCTAGGATTTCCGCCTGTTGTATGTGACGTGGTGCCAATCGAGCCATCATCAGCTGACTAGCATTAGGGGGAGGTCTGGTGTATATGCCTGAATCAGTAAGTGTATCAACGCTCGCTATCGGAGAGTTTCTAGGTTAACGTTTTTAGTCGTACGTCACAAGTTCCTTTTACAGCTAAGGCTAAGTAACAGTTGTCGAATCCTTATTTAGCTGCGAGTATATCGTCTTCGATTGGACTTGCCCTCGCTCATCATCCATCTGAAATAGGTTACAATCTTCTTCTTCTAATACAATGGTGTTTTTCGGCATATTTTTGCTTGGCGGAAGGTAAGTCATCCATTCTCATCATCCCATTATGCATGCAGATTTTGCACTACCAGTGATTCTCATCTGGCGTCTTTACGCCTTATACAACCAATCGAGGACCCTACTTTATGTTCTACTGGGGTTGTTCCTGAGTATCGTCGCACTCTATATAGCGGTGGATATATATTTATATAGTCGACCCTCAGCGTTCTCAGGTAAAGTTCTTCTTGCATCAAATTTTGTGCAAGCTGACCTCTCGTTGCATAGTGGAAGAAATAATAACACCTAACACCAAGTACTGCGTGGCGTCCTTCCACATGGGACCTGTGGCTGCGATCTCTGCTTCCATCCCCATCATATGCTTTGATATCTTCCTAGCGGTTCTTGCAGTTTTCATTCTCATGAAACACCTGAAAGAACGGAAGGAAGTCAAAATGAGGCCCAACACCTACGTGGTAATGATCGTGCGATATCATATCATATACTTTGTCCTGTAAGTTGCCCTCGGTCTATTGGGTTCTCTGTATGTATTCATCGCATCCCGCCAGTAATTTGGCAAGTCAGCTATTCTCGGCGATATTATGGGCCAACCTTCCGGTATGATCGCCCATAATTCTAGAGAGTTCGGCTCTAAAACGGATAAGCACAGATGGCAGTGTTGAATCTGGTATTGATGTTCAATAATAGTGCGCCATTTATTATCGCACCCCGTCTGATCATCAGCATCTGGGATACGCATGCCAACGACATTTGTGTACATGTCAGTACGACGTTCGCAGACTGTGTATGTTGGACCTCGCCACCGAGATTCGGCGAGCACGAGATGGACTGCCGTGCATGATGGCTCCAAAATGACGATGAAGGAAAATTTGAGGTAGAGTGAGGTGGTCATGGCCCTCAGACCCATGTTCTTCTTTCAAGGCGCGCTGTAGCAGCTTCCAGCACATTTTTCAGCCTATCTTCTATGGCATTGTTGTTTTAAATGTTCGGGGTTTAAGGCACACCGGCCTGGTAGCATCAATGTACCCACTTCGTGACATTTACATACCATGCAGGGGCCAGCGACGACATATATATGTACATACTAATCGGAGGATATCGACTACTACTTGAATTCAAGCTGGATGAACTGGCTTGGATTAGAATTCCACTCCTCGTACAAGCCATACTAACCTCACCTTTACATCATTCGCTATGTCATTCATTCTTCAGAGCAATTCCAACAGAGATACATTCTATCGCCAGTCGTTTTGGTCCGCGCGCGTATCGGCTTCGCATTTTTCTAACCTAGCCCCCATGCTTTCGCCTTTCTTTATTCGAATACTTGAGCCGATATGCAAGAGGATATGAGCGTAGCTATCAGATGGCCAAATATATGTCATCATCGACTCTTTGAACTGACATTAGTTCAATATCATATCATATGCTCTGTAAGTTCCGCTGTGCCTGGTGGGTTCTCTGCGATTATCCATTGAATCCCGCTCCTAGAGGAATCAAATCTTACTGGCGGTATCATTATCATGGGCCAACGTTCTGGTATGGTACTGCCATGATTCTACAGAGACTAGCTAACGCCGCATACACACACAGACGCCAGCAATGAGTCTAGATCTCAGAGCTCTTCAATGATACCGCGCCATTTGTTTTAGCGCCCCGTCTGATCGTCAGCATTTGGGACAGATTGTGTATGTTGGACCTCGCAACCAGCACGAGATCTCTCGCTTATGATTTTGGCATGCTGGTTCCGAAATAACTTGAAGCATGAAGACAAGATATGTGGAGCGAGATCTGCAGGCGCGCTTCAAGTGCCAAGACTCCAGTCCTGGTATAATCCAAGAGAGTGAATAGTTCAGGGACGATTTTTCTATTATTCGTGCACATTCTGATGCGTGTAAGTGTGACATAGCATCTTTTCCAAATCCAATCGAGAAGCTAGACAATACTAGCTAGTCTAAGGGACCACCGGTGTCCCTGACGCATCTCTGGGTGCGCGAATTCCCTGGTGTAAGGCATACCTTGGGTGTGCTTCCACCAGTCTCGCCGGCCGTTTTAGATGTGCCACCCTGTGAGAATGAGATAATGTGAGTGTACGCACGAGATATGAGAAGACTATTTATCTTGATAGCATGATTCATTATAAAGGACTCATGACTCTACCCTTTCTCTCCCGAGTGTCGGTTCGTCTCTGTTCTCCACTCCCGTCTCGGGGTCCGAGCCGTCACTTCTGTTGCGCATACAGTCAAGGTGGGTTATATCTCGGATAGATGTGGCTTACGCTGTCTTCCTCGTCTAGTACCATCCCTCGAAGACAGCGCAAGTTTCGTATATCCAAGAGACCGATTTACTGTACGGACATCAATTTTAATAACCTGAAAAGGGATCGCTTAGTTCGAGGATCGACCTCAGGTGTATGAAAAGCCTTAGATCCCATTGGTGGGGCTCCGTTTTAGGACGGGCAGAATCCAGCGAAAAAGCAACAGCCACCGGTGGCCTAGGGTATCCCTTGTTAATCGTGTGATCCCCGATATCCTTACGACCTTTTCCGTTGATAAGTAGCTAACTATCGAAGACAGCGATTTATAACACCAACGAGAAGTACGGTGCCGTACAGTACCGTGTCGTACAAGTGACATTCGACCATCACAACCCTTACAAGATGACGAAATTCTGTGCTTTATAAGTACTCTATGTCAGTGATCAGCGGCCCACAACTCACCCTTTAAATTTGCCATCTGATCTGCACATTTTCATGTCGGAACTTGAACAAGATGTATATGGTCTCCGCTGGAATGACAATATGGCTGGTTCGTCCTCTCCGTTGAACCTGGTTCTGAACGAACCATCGTGTTGACGTTCATCGGTTTTCCAGTCATAATGATTACCTTGGTATCCTATGACTACAGTCAGTAGTAGCTTTCATGAATTTTGCACTGCGGCTAAGCGTCGGGCTATCTAGTGCTTCAGTTCGAGAACGAGGTAACGAAAACTCGTTCTCTCTTGGCCGAGTTCTCATGATCATATTCCATTGTCGCAGGTCAAGTATGTTTGGGTCAGTGTCCAACCCCCTATCTCCAAAATGATATCCATGCTCCGGAAACTGACTAAGTAAATATCCAGGAACGGCCCGAACGACGGAGGTCACTGATGTCATGTCTTTATCTCGCTGTGAGCTCCACCCGGGCTGCCAACGTGTTTCATATTTTTTTATTTTATTGCTATGCCAGGTTCGATATTTCGGTCTTTTCCTTGCGATGTACGTTGCGGTGGTTGTCTCCTTCAGAAAACACATTGTATGTTGACACGTATCCTAGGGTTTGCGCCTGCTGTATGTGACGTGATACCAACTGAGCCATCATTAACTGACTAGCATTAGGGGGAGGTCTGTTGTATTTACCAGAATCAGTGAGTGTAACGACGCTTGCTACTTTTGGAGAGCTCTGGGTTGACATTTTTTAAGTCGTACATCACAAGTTCCTTTTACAACTAAGTCTCGACTGGCGTTGACGTCTTATTTAGCTGCGAGTATATCGTCTTCAACAAAAACTTCCTTCGCTCATCATCCAATTGAAATAGGCCACGGCTTGATTCTTTTAATACAATGGGGTCATTCTACATATTTTTGCTTGGCGGAAGGTAAGCTATCAATTCTCGCCATCCCATTATGCATACGGATTTTGCATCAACAGTGGTTCTCATCTGGCGTCTCTACGCACTATATAACCAATCCAAACTCCTACTTTGCATTCTACTGGGATTGTTCCTACCTGTCGTCACGCTCTATATAGCGGTGGATGTATACTTATACAGTCGACCCTCAGCGTTCTCGGGTGAATTTCTTCTTGCATCGATTTTTTTTGTAAGCTGACCTCTCGTTGCATAGTGGAAGAAATAATCACTCCCAACGCCAAATACTGCGTGACTTCCTTCCACATGGGGCCTATGCCTGCGATATATGCTTCCATCCCCGTCATATGCTTTGATATTTTCCTAGTGGTTCTCGCAGTGGTCGTTCTCATGAGACACTTGAAAGAAAGCAGGGAACTGAAAATAAAGCCTAACACCTACGTGTTAATGATTGTGCGATATCATATCATATACTTTGTCCTGTAAGTTGCCTCGGTCTATTGGGTTTCCTGCATGTATTCATCGAATCCCGCTAGGAATTTGGCAAGTCAAATATTCTCGGCGATATTATGGGCCAACCTTCCGGTATGATCTTCCATGATTTCAGAGAGATCAGCTCTAAAGCGGATATACACAGATGGCGGTGTTTAATCTGGTATTGCTCTTCAATGATACCGCGCCATTTATTATCGCACCCCGTCTGATCATCAGCATTTGGGATACGCATGCCAACGACAGCTGTGTACATGTCAGTACGACATTCGCAGATTGTGCATGTTTGACCTTGCCGCCGATGTTTGACGAGCAAGAGATGGACTGGGGTGCATGATGGCTCCTTAAATTTAGTTGGGTTGATTGGTTTCAGTTGTCGACATTGCCCTGATATAAAATGCTACAAGTACTGTCAGTAACGCTCGTTGATTGTGTATTCTCACTGGGTATAAGATCACCTAGTGTTTCTGTTTCGAGAAAGTTGTACTACGGCTCAGACCTGTAACTAAACTACGAGACACGAAAGCATATGACCAAGAGCGTAGCGAAAACCTAGTAGAGCATGAGCCGTATTTTATTTACAGCTCTTTGCATAAAGGATGGCACTGGCGTGAAATTTTCGTTCAATTAGACTTAGTGAAATTTTGCTCGTGTACGCTCATACTACATACCCTTATATTATCATCTTCGCAACATGGGATTTCGCAAGATCAGTCGTGATGTAAAACTTGTGGCAATCCGACTCCATGAACGGAACCTTCTAAGCCTTCGTGATATCCTAGATTGCTGCGGATTTTCCAGACGCACTTGGTTTCGGATTTTGAAGCTCTGGCACGAAACCAGCGATGTCGAATATCGTCCTCATCGGACCCATTGGAATCAAGGTCACTGTCATGCTCTAGCAGGCTCTTGTGTTTTTTGGAGGCAGGAATAGTTATAAACGGCATGATGATAATGAATTACAGGGGGTGTGAGTGTACAATGAGCAAAATTTCACTAAGTCTAACATTTCCTAATTGAACGAAAATTTCACGCCGGTGCCATCCTTTATGCAAAGAGCTGTAAAGGAGCCTAGGTCTGATATTGCACCAAAACATAGTAGGAACAACACCGAAAGGATGGGGATTCATGATAGCGCAAGGTTGATTAATAATTGCGGCTGACCCGGAGAATATCGACTACTTAATACTTCGAGTTGGACGAACTGCACTCAGACTACAATTATACTCCTCATACCTGCCATAACCGTCTCGACTTTACATGTACACCCTTCTCCGGTCGGCTTACGTTGATTTATAATACAAAGGTGAGTCGTGCTCGGTGACGCGTGGATGCTTCTGGGCGGCGAGGAACCCGGCGGGAGACCCGGGAGATGCGTACCTAGAATGGACACCGAGCAATTTATCGTGTTCCGAACACTCCGCGACTTGGTGACCGTCAACCAGGACACAAGCAATATTAGTTGCTATTCTGATCCTTGATGGCCCAATTCACATAGTAGTACAGTGGCGTCTTTACGTGCCATGTAATCAATCTAAAGTTGTCGCCCTCTCAGGCTCGATAGCTTGAAGTGACTGGTGCCAAACGGGGGCAGTGGGCTGGGGCCGTCCGAGTCACTTCTGTTTCGCATATAGTGAAGCAAGATGGTTATATTCCCACAAACGTAGATCCCTTTGGTGATTGCCGATGTCTTCCTCGTCTCCCGTTCCTCAAAGACAGCGTAAGCCGCATCTATCCAAGAGATCAGTTTGCCGTCAGATTTCATTTTATGTTGTAAGTAGATCGGCTCTATCTTTCAGAAAGCATGTCTGACGTTATTTAGTAAAGGTTGGACCCCGCAAACTGTGTCGGAGAAACGCGCGAATATTATTATCGTCTTTATTGTCCTACTTGTCGAGCTTGCGGTCTTTGTGCACAGCATCCTCTGCCTTTTCCTCTAATCCTAGTACCCATGGATGCCGCCATCTCTCTGCATCCTGCCTAGAACCCCTGACACTAATCCTGCTCCTGCTCCTTCCTGCAGTCTGGCTAGGCCGTCGCCGCCGGTAATTTTTTTCGGAACAGCGCATCACGACCGGTAAACCAAAGACGTGAAAATTTAAGTTGGTTCACAATTAAAATCTCACGATATGTAAAGAACAGAATACTGTCAAGGAGAGGCTACACTACACACCCAATTTCTGGAAGACTGTATGGGAAAGGGTGGGACACGAGGATGAGGAAGTCAAATTGGTGTATGGGGAAGCGCTGGCAGCGCGAGGGCGGTGAACTTCGACTCAAGAATGACGAGGAAATATGCTTACCGAGCGGTGGTTGAGGTCTTTGCCACTGATGTAATTGATGCGTTCAGGGACTTGTGTTTCCCATCCTGTTGGGAGCCGATCTACTTCGGAACGCTAACAGGGCACTACTACACACTCGTCCTTACTCCCTGAATAAGAGGGCCGGACAGGGACAAATTAGCTATATAGCAACACCCGCCGACGTGAACCAGGGTGACCCTTGTCGATCGTACGTGATAAAAACGTATTTCCGGTCGATAGTGATCCTCATGACCTAACTATTGTGGGTAGCAATTCGTGATACCAACAGGAGGTGTATAAGTACTGTACGGGATACAGATTCAGCGGCCCACTCACCTTTGAATTCGCCGTTTGATCTGCACACTTCCATGTCCGAGGAACAAGATGTATATGCTCTCCGCTGGAATAACAATATGGCTGGTTCGTCAGCTCCGTTTACCCTGGTTGTGAATGGACCATCGTGCTAAACCTTTCCAGTAACAATCATAACCCTTATATCCTATGACTACAGTCAGTAGCTTTCATGAACCTTACACTGCGACTGAGAAAATTATCTAGTGCTTCAGTTCGAGAAAGAGGTAACGAAAAGCCCGTTTTTCATTGGTCGAGTTCTCATGATCATATTGTCGCAGGTCGAGTTTGTTTGGGTCAGTCTCCGGGGCTCGACATCATTGGGGGTTCAACACTGACTGAATATCAAGGAAAGACAGTGGTCACTGATGTCATATGCTTACCTCGTTGTGAGCTCGACCCTGTCAAAGTGCTTCGTCGTTTTTGATTTCGTTGCAATGCCAGGTTCGATATTTCGGTCTTTTCCTTGCAATGTACGTCGCGTTGTCTTTTAGAGAAGCGTTGTATATTGACACTGATCCTAGGCTTTGCGCCTTCTGTATGTCACGTGATGTCAACTGAGCCATCATTAGCTGACCAGCATTAGGGGGAGGTCTGTTGTATATGCCTAAATCAGTGAGTGTATCAACGTTCGCTATCTTTGGAGAGTTCCAGGTTGACTCGTTTTTAGTCGTAAGTCACAAGTTCCTTTACAGCTAAGTTGTTGACATGTTATTTAGCTGCGAGTATATCAGCTTCAACTGAAAGTGCCTTCGCTCATCATCCAATTGAAATAGGCTACGGTATTATTCTGTTAATACAATGGGGTTTTTCTGCATATTTCTGCTTGGCGGAAGGTAAGTCATCCATTCTCGTCATCCCATTATGCATATGATACAGTTTTGTATCACCAGTGATTCTCATCTGGCGTCTTTACGCCCTATACCACCAATCCAAGCTCTTGCTTTACGTTCTACTGGGATTCTTCCTACCTGTCGTCGCGCTGTATATAGCGGTGGATATATTCTTATATAGTCGACCCTCAGCGTTCTCGGGTGAATCTCCACTTGGATCGAATTTTGTGCAAGCTGACGTCTCGCTGCATAGTGCAAGAAACAATAACTCCGCACGCTAAGTACTGCGAGGCTTCCTTCAACATGGGGCCTATGCCTGCCATATATGCTTCCATCCCCGTCATATGCTTTGATATCCTCCTAGCTATTCTCGCAGTTGTCATCCTCGTAAAACACTTGAGAGAACGGAGAGAAGTAAACATGAAGCCCAACACCTATGTGGTAATGATTGTGCGATATCATATCATATATTTTGTCCTGTAAGTTCCCCTTTATCTATTGGGTTCCCTGAAGTATTCACCAAATCCCGCTAGTAACTTGGCGAGTCAAGTATTCTCGGCGATAATGTGGGCCGACCTTTCGGTACGATCTCCCATGATTCTAGAGATCAGCTCTAAAACGAACACACACAGATGCCGGTGTTGAGTCTCATAGTGTTGTTCAATGATACCGCGCCGTTCATTATCGCTCCCCGTCTGATCATCAGCATCTGGGATACGCATGCCAACGACAACTGCATACATGTTAGTACGACGTTCGCAGATTGTGTATGTTGGACCTCGCCACCGAGATTCGATGAGCAAGAGATGGACTAGCGTACATGATGGTTCCTTTTAGCTGGGTTGTCAACGAGCCGTAGTGCTGAAGATTGGTTCCAGTAGTAAATAACCGTTACTCTGATGTACGAGTACTGGTAGCGCCCGTTCAAGTTGACCTTGTTATTTTCACTTAGTGTACTTAGTGTAAGCACGCTGGCTTACCTGAGTTCCCATACTCAGTATATATACTGTCGCTGATACTGAAAGCTAAGCTTTCAGTATTCTACCTTTTGGTGTAACGGTTATGCGCGTGCGGCAGTCTGACCAACTTACACTTAGTTCGCGTTTCTATTTCGAGTGGACAGAAGTACTGAAAGGCTTCTTTTTTTGTTGACCGAGTACTCATTATCATGATTAATGACGCAAGTCGACTTCGTTTGGGTCAGTGCCCAACCATTCATCTGCACAATTGCACGAAAATGACTGACAGTCGCTGAATATCCAGAAAAGACAGTGACCACTGGTGTCATGTTCTTGTTCTCCAATGTCGACTCTGAGAATGTATTTCGTCGTGGATGCTGTCTGAGGATGACAGTCAAGGTGAGCTGTCGCAGGTCTCAAATTTCGAATTTGTACTATGAGCAAATCGACTGCCTTTGGACGTGGAACCTACTATGCGAGGCTGCAAACTACGTTTCTTCCTCGTTGAGCCCGCAGAGGCCATGATACGTAAGTCAGGAAGATAGTTTAGGGGCAGGCCCGACCGCAGAGCTCGAGTGGGGTCATCGATTTGCCGTAGAGCGCCTCGTTCATCATAGAATAAATGTCAACTTCTGCGAGTGAAAATGAGGCGTTGACAGGCGGGCAGCTATACATACATGCGAACAGCGTCAGACCCCATCTATACGTCAAGCAAGAGAATGTCTATGTTGTCAAAAAGAATGCCCGATACGACAAGATCACCTTGCAATTCATTGGGTGGTGATGGAAGACTGTCATTCTCTCAACAGAGGCTTTGGGTGGAGACGAAAGCTTATAGTCCTAACTAAGAAGTAAATCATAATCTGATTCAAACAATCACATCTAGCCTGATCATCCGTGAAATTAATGAGGCGAGCGTTACTCAACTGTCATCCACATTGCTTCTGCGGTCCAGAAGTCCCGCAGCTCCGTTCTAGTTCTTCTTCATTCTTAAGGCGCGCAGTGGCAGCTTCCAGCGCCCTTTTCCGCCGGTCTTCTACGGTATCATTGCCTCGAAGACCTGTGCCTCCCAGGACATGAATGAGCGCCTCCGCTTCTTCATTTGACGATGGTTGATAGGTGTCTCGTAAATCAGACAGATAATGCGTTCCTCCTCCCGCTGCAGCCTCAAATTCTGCAACCTCACGATTGAGCTGAGAATTCAGTTCCTTGAACTAATAGAAGATGACCATTGTGTGAACAGGATATTAGGCTTTGGAGATTGTGACTCACGTCATCGTTATGTTCGCCCCATATATTGTGTGCCAGTTCATGGCATAACACGCGCCTCACTTCCAAGTACGGACGAAACCCGTCATATGTATCAAGCCGAATTCGCAGCTTGATGGTGTCTCCACTTCCGACATTAAGACCAAGAAGTCCGGGGTGCTCATGTGGTGCAAGCTCGGTAAGCAGGCCCACGGAAAAACGATGCTTCTGCATGACATGTAGGACTGCAGGGTCCTTGGAAAGCGTTGTGAAACACTCCATCGCAGTTTCAGGTTGCGGGAGATGAGCAAGTGGCTCTATGCGGTGAAAGCGGTACTGGTGTGATGAGGTAGACGACGACCCTGTCGAACGAAGCTGATCACCTCTCATCATGATTGACCGTCTTGATGTTAAGAATGTATGCCAGTACACACCTTTACTTGCGGCTTCAGCGCTCTCTCTTTGAGAATTCGCTCTTTCCTCTGATGCGCCGAGTCAGCTGCATTCAGTTGTTCGAGTTCTTCCGCAGTCGAGCCAAGCATTTGCACTTTGATACCATCGCGAAGACCAGCTTGAGCGATGGTGGGTTCGGGGTCGGAGTCATCCTGTCGATGCTGGATTTTCTTCCCTCGATAAATGAGTTTCTGCAATGATGGCGGAACAGAAGTGAGGGCCTCGAGACGGGCGTGGAGAGTAGAGACGGGGGCGTCGTTCGGGAGAGAGAGGGGGTGTGATGTTCCACGGAAAGTGATAGTCAGCATGATATCTTCATGGGACATCATCGGTTTCCTTCGGCTGTCTGGTGATAGTTGCTGGTTAAGTTATAACCTGGCCCAGCCCGACCAATATAATTAGACCCTGGCAAGCTGACTAACAACGCCAAAGGCCAGCACACATTCCGGTTTCTGATTCAGGAGATCCTGTGCTGCCAGGTTCCAGCTGTGTATGAACGGCGCAGTTCCAAATTCATACACACACGAGTATAACGAAATACGATCTTCGTTGACTCTCAACGAAGGCTGTCTGTCACTCGCGAGTCGGTGATCAATCTCTCACTGCACTTGAGCTTGAGAATATTGTTCCTGCCGTTGCGTGCTTACAGGGAGGGCCTACAGAGCCTATCATAGATACCTACAACGTGTATCTGAAGTCAGGCGCACGGTCTCCCAAGTCCCGCAATTCCTCGTTCGAGTATTGCACTTTCCCTCCCTGTTCCATTGCTAGACGCTCGGCGGCGTCGCGCTGTGCGTTGATCCTCTTGTAAAGGAAGACGATAGTCGGTAAAACTATGAATCCAATCCCGACTAACATCAGCTCCAGTGTGTCTGCAAAATAGCGGGTCAGCAGGCGCGAGCACTAGCGAAGTCGGAGTAGAACTTACGCCCGAAAATAAACCGAGGCGAGTCTTGCGATCGATAAATGTTGGCTGAGATTGCACCACTGAAGTTTCCGATGCCGATTTGGAGGGCCATGCCGACACCTCTCTTGTATTGACCGGAGAGATTGTTCCCGAGCCTTCATTACCATGTGTTAGCCTTGGTCATCATGCGACTGGCAGTGACGTACCAGGAAATTACGCCTGGAGTCGCTGCATAGTTACCAACCACAATGAAGAAAATACCAAAGTACTTGACACCAGCAGGTGCGGTGGATATGTTTATCGAAAAGCCGATGAGAGACATTACAAGGCCGGCAAGAATGAAGGGGGATCGCATCTTCAACTTGTCTGAGTAATGCGCGAAAACGAGCAATGTGATAGCTAGATGCAACAGGTTAACGGACGAGATTGCAGATGGGTAAGAAAACTGACTTGCGACGACATATGGCGGTACAGTGAGCAACTGGCTGATCGGTGTGCTGTATCCGAAGCTGAATGTAATTGAGTACATGTACGACAATCAGCCTGGGGTGACAGACCTCTTGATGATCGTTCTGGCACCAATATCTTTAATACCATCTTCAAAGATCTAGCAAACGACTTACGGGAGAAACAGGGTGATGCCGTACACTAATAGTGTTTAAGATCAGCGTTTGCGATCTCCGGGCTGTAAAGGTCACTTACGAGGTCCGATGATTGAGAAGAAAATGAGGATATGAAGCCAGACCTGATCAGTTGGTTGAGGCGCATTGCGCGATGACACTCGTAATAATTGGTATCTTACCTGCCAGTCCCCGAAGGCGGCCCAGACGTGCCTGGACGCGTACCTCTCTTCCTCGCCCACCGACGAATTATCGTATTCTCGAAGAAATCTAAATTAAATCCGCACGCTCAGGATCTGTCACTGGACTTACTCTTCTTCCAGACAACAAAAGCACGTTCTTCCGGGGTCAAGAACTCAGCTGTGTCCGGAAAGTCTACCAACACTGAGAGATCATATACGTCAGCCCCTGTGTGATTGAATAAGTGGTGTATTCACCAAAAAGAGCAATGATGGCTACGACTATCGTTGCAAGGCCTTCAAGCAACTACATGCAAGATTTGAGCATAACCTTGATCTTTGATCATGAACGAACTCACAAAGATCCAAGACCATCCTTCCAGTCCCGCAATGCCATCCATGTGACCAATCGCAAAGGCCAGTAAACCGGAGAAAGCACCTAGAATTTCTTTCGCTATTAAAATCCCATGAACATAGCGAAACAACAAACCTGCCAGAGTTGCAGCGCCAAAAAACAAGGCAACTGTCCGAACACTTCAACATGCCAAAACGGACGAGTAGAGGGATAGCTTACTTCGATATTGTAGCATGTGTTTCGGGTACCACAAAGTAAGACTGCAGATCCATCAGCAGGATTTCGCACGTAATTCTTGAGCTTCACTCACTAATAAGCCACACCAGGGAACAAACCTGCCTCGGCAAAGCCAAGACAGGCTCGCACTCCGACAAGCTGAGGGTATCTGACATGCATGGTCAACATTAAGTGAAAAATATGGCAGGAATTTGCTTGATCTTACGTCTTCACTAAACTCATGAGCGTCCTGGCGATAGACTCGCTCAGAATTTTCAGGCTATATCATGACTGAATGACGCACATAACTATCCCCCATGTAAACTATCGTATGTCAGATGAATTCAGCACCCATGATACAAGACCTACACTGATTGCTGGAAGCCATCTACAAAAATGAGTTATTCATGCAACATTCAGAGGTTGACATGACCACTCGCCTGGATGGCCTGAATGCTTTGAGAACAAGACTAAAGGTTACAATCAGAGCGCAGGTAATCAACAATTCGGGCCCCAAACAAACTTAGCGGGGCATTCAAACAGGCAGTATGGCTTCATGGTCATTCAGTATACACCGACAATCCGTCAGCATAACGACGCTTACTATGAAGAACATCGTCTGCGTCCAGTCGTAAGATGGCAATTCGGTGAATAACACACGTGTTACATACCAGTGCTATGTTATATCTGTTTCCTGTGAGATCCAGCTGAGTGACGAGCCCGTCCAACTTCGCATTACCGATATTACCTGTCTGAACGTAAGGAAAACATTATATACACCTACTACGACAAGCACGCACCTCTGTCAAGGAAAGACAGCAGGTACATCAAACTGAGGATAGGCATCAACCGCAAGTCGATCTTTCTCCACAGTTTCCTTTCCTGTTCTGGCGTCAGCGTTGGGACATTTTGGAGACTTAGATCTGAGTTCTCCAGCCGCTCCTCATCATGCTGCTTGTGTTCGGAGCTGATAGAATTCAGGTGATCATCGGGAACGATGTTCGCAACGTACGTCATGGCGAGACAGTAGGAAGGAAAAGGGAAGAAATGCTTCCCTGGTAGACGCGTGACTGGGGCTTTAAAGGTTCGCGTCGAGTTCGGTTGTTCATCATGGACGTTGCTAATCACTTGAGGGCATTACGGTACTTACGGACAGCTGATTCTGCATTAAGTAGCTGCATACGAGATGGGCCTGCGAATATCCATGGACCGATTAGATCAGATCAGGTAAGTTTGGTCGCACAATTCCATTTCCGAAGGTTCGCCGCGATCAGGTTTTCCCCGATTTGCGATATCCTCCATCGCAGTAGCAAATGAATCGAACCACCATGTTGACGCTTATCTCGGACCCCACTCATCGATTCGCCCTTTCGTCAGATCAGTAGGACCAGTAGTTTGAATTCATTTACAATTCCCGGTAGCCCCTTCCTATCAGCCATCAGGATCTCTAGGTGAATGGTTCAGGAAGGACGGAGCTTCCCATAGCGGCGATCACGCCCCGTGGAGTTAATGGTGCGCTGTAGACGTCAATGAGCACCCACTATTGGCACACGCGACGACAGAAAACGTGGGTAAGATTTGGCCAGTCTGCGTGAAGTCTGCACAGACTCTGTGGGAGATATCTGGGCAAAGTCTGTGGAACAACTGGTCGGGAAGTTCCAAGCTGTCAACTTTGAGGTCTGTCACATGTCAACTGGAGATACTTGGCAGCCGTAAGCAGAGCTGTAGTCGACGGCATGGCGTTGGCGGGCAGGATACGGGCAAAGGTGGAGGCGGCAGGCAACGAGAATTTAAGGCAGGTTTAGAAGTAAAGATCATAATGTCAGCCATGGCCGTATGTGCAACGGGTGAGAGGCTGACGGCGGGCGGGATTACGGTCGAAGTTCGAACATTTGACAGACTTGCAGGCACTCAGAACATCCCTTGGCAGATGATGACTCGGAGCAGACCTGTCCTCAAGACGTTTGCGTCCAGTCTGCGTAGACTTCACGCAGACCGCCGAAATTCCGCACTTTCTGCGTGATACGCGTGAAGGACTCCTTGGCACCCAGAATTCCCTGCTGTGATACCCGTGGCCAGCCCTTGAAGTCAAGAAACAGCCTGAGAGTTGTCGCGCCAACGTTAAGTTACTGAGGCACCAGCACGAGAGACATTCTCTTTGTGTAAGGAATTAAAGTGGTGGGAGCGCCAAAGGTGTAACTTGGATTCTGAAGTACACGAGGTAGGAAGGAAGGAGCAGAGTGCCAAGCAACAATTGCAAGTTGAGCTAGAGTGTGTAGTGAGTGAGAATGTCACACAAGTGAAGTAATTATTGATATTACCTTCACAATAATGCTTTAACCCGAGAGTGTTGACAGACTCAGAGGTAGGTGTCTACTACCATGGTGGATATGATGATGAGTTGATCTCGAAGCTGTGCTGCGCCTTTGTAACATGACAATTCTGACAAATTACTAAACAAAGTCGGTAAGTGCAGTAAAATGTAATTTGGTCTATCGATATGGAAATAGCTGTAAACCGAAGGTGGATTGGTGTCTAACATAAGACCCCCAGCCATTCTCCATATCTCCATCCCGCCCTCGCCCAAAACACCCACCACACCCCGGCCCGTCCCACAGCCGTGCAATGCCGTCATATGCACCATTTCCAACCTGCTGCTTGCCACGTTCAGACGTAGCGATGCAGGATGAAGTCGCGGGGTGCATCATGATGCCTGTGGGGATGAAAGGGATGAAACCTGGTGGTCGAAGATGGACACGGTGCGGTCTGTCGATGCAGCGAGGAGCATGTTCCCATCTGGGGTTTCAGCAAGATCGAGCATCGGTCGGTCGGGGACATTCTGTGAAGTATTCAGGTTGCTTCACATCACGAGAGTTCCAAGCATTCCCCGCAAATCACGCTGTTGGCATTCCAGCGTCTGCGGACCGAGGAGGATCAATAAAAAATTCAGCTTGAGCTACAGGTTTACAACAACAGTGAGGCGACTATGCGGACGCCTCAGGATCAGAATGGACAACGGTAGGTCAGAAAGTCGCTTTTTGGATCCACAACGCAATCCCAAGCACCGTCGCTGTATGGCCCCTCTTCCATCCTATGTGCAGGGGCTGCATCTCACCCCCTGAGACAGGCCGTTCACGTACAGCGGCTGATGCCTGTCCTGTCTCATTGAAGACTCACTCAAAGTAATAGGCATTGCGATTATTAGAACAGCGATATCATAAGTTTGTTGGAGAGAGTCGTGGGCAATATCACCATGCACTTAGGGATCTGCATAACACTCCCGAGCACCTTTCTCTTCCCTTCCCTCGCTGGTTTTTGCTATCGGTAGGGCAGATATCTTGTGAGCAGCCTCCTCTTTCTCTTCCGCAATATCATTACCCTCTCTGTCACCTGTCGTAGCGGCCGGCTCTCCAGGAATAACAGCGCTGGCTTCTACACGAGGGTCCTCTGTTGTTTCATCCATCTGCCAACTTGGGTTCTGACCAGCACATCTATGCTTTCCGCCCCATCCGTCGGCAGGTGACGTTGCTTTTTTGACATACTCTTGCCCTTGGACCCCACTTATCACTTCGCCCTTTCGCCAGATGAGTAGGACCGCCGGTAGCTTAAGAGTTCGTTTCAACGGTTGCCGAGTGGTTTCTCGTCCACCCGCAGGAACTGAGGACGATTCAGGAAGGTTGGAGTTTCATATATCGATCAAAACGCCTCGTGGAGTTATTCGCGCAGTGATTCAAGCCTGCAAAGAAAATATCAATGAAACAGCTTGCAACAGTCATTACTGACATGCACGAGGGCGGAAAACGTGGGTGACCCCATATAGGCTGACATTGGTGATGTACGCGAAGGACTTGCCGCCCAAAGTTCCCTGTTGTGATACCCGTGACCAGCCCGAGCTCAGAAACGAAGTTGTTGCACCAACTGAGGTACCCGTACGATCGAGTGGTACCTTCTTTAAGAAACTGTTAGAAGCGCCGAAGGTGTTGCACAAAGTTTTAACGAATCTGAATACACTAGGTCGTACAGCTGATTGAAATAAACGATTCGTGAGTGCTATCTCGCGGGACAACAAGAACGTTGATGTGGATATTTATACACACCACAACACCCCAGGTCCGTACAGTCGAGTCAGCTGTATATTTTTGCAGGTTTTCGCAAATAGTGCTTTTGATACGTGTGCGGTGCGTGATTTATCATCTAGCATGGCCATTGGTGATTTGCGTTTTGTATTCCCGGGGGTGATTTCGCATTTTTTTACCATCGCCACGGTTTGGAGTGGTTTGGAGGTTTATAGGGATTGAGGTATCCCAGACATCGATGAGGTCGTCCCACGAAGAGGTGAGGAGCAGCGCGTCAGTAGATATGGGGGATAGTGGGCTGGGATAAAGATATTAGAAACCGACGCTTGGTGTACTGGGGCCCATTGAGCTCAGAGATATATGCGTGAGGCACGCGGTGAGGTCATGCGACGAACTTGTTAGACTCGGTGTCTGAAGACGAAGATGGCACGACGCAGACCGAATTGATGGGTGCAATGTCGAGAACAGGATTTGGGAATAGCCGAAGAGACGTAGGTGGCGTTACCGGTAGGCTGGCCTTTGGCCCTTTGTAAGTTATCACATATCAGAGTCATGAGCCAAGAGCGTATCGAGTCAGCATCCGGAATATATCATAACTTTTACACTGTCAAATTAGATGTGTTTACGTAGATACACGGAAAACTCAGCCCTGAACTAATTACTTCCGTGGAGGATAAAAGAACTCTGCCAGGATATGGCGTTTAGATAAATGTTCACACTCGAGAAGTTGACTTTGTAGAGTAAACTTAGGCGTAGCACAGATAGAACTGTCAGAACTAAACCGTTGTTACTCGGAGAGGGAAAGGATCAACTTGTTGGAGTCCGAACGATCCGAACGATCAGAGACGAAGAAGACCGACCGATCCGAGATGGTTGAGGAGGAAGAGTGACAGGTGGTCCAAGCCCAAGCCAAAATGGACATTGTCGAGCGACACCTTGACGTCGGCTCGAGTCCTGCAATAAGTTATTTATTCATTTGATATATTTTTCGTTTCTACATAGCTTACTATAAGAATGCCACTGGTAGCACAACCACATCTCAGCCTTTTCCAAGAGACTGAGATGTGAGTACATAGTTTCTACGTATCGTCTAGAACGCAGCTAACGAGTCATTAGTATACTTGTTTGTTAGGTACTTAGCTCGTTGCATGAGCCTTTTCCAAGAGACTGAGATTATACTTGTTCGTTAGAACGTCCCCGAAGGCCCGTGATATAATTACTCACCACAGGTTATGAGCCCTGTCTCGACCATGGATATATCGCTCCCCAGCTCCAACACCACCCTGCTTAACGTCCCGAAGCTTGCTGAAGATGGCTCGAACTGGATAACCTATAAGGAGCGGACATTAACAGCCATTGGCACTAGAGGTCTGATGCAGTATACTGATGGTCGAGCAAGTGAGCCGAAACCCTTCGCGGTTGACCCGAAGACAAAGGTTATTGTGAAGCCGGACGGGACAACGCCTACACAGGTGGATTACGATGAACTTGATAAATGTACAGACGAGTACCACCAGAAAAACTCACTGGTGAAACAGCAGATATTCAGCACGATTACCGATCGGCTGTTACTGTGAGTCCAGAAGCTGAAGGACACGTCGAAGATCTGGGAAGAGATATGTCAGATCCATGAAGGGAAGACAGAGCTCGTCCAGATAGACTTACATCGTCGGATGCAAGAGATGAAGTGCGATGAGGCAGGAGACATCAGATCTCACTTCGCAGAGCTCATGAGGCTCCGCAAATTGCTTGCAGGCATGGGCGTCGCGATCGCCAACCCAGATTTCCATGCAATCATCCTGGGTTCCCTCCCCAAGTCTTATAGACCACTCCTGTCGTCCATCACAGCAGCCTCGAAGATCACGAAAACTCCCGTCACACCCGACGAGCTCGTCACCATCATAACTGAAGAGCACGAGCACAGACAGCTTACTGAAAGACGCCCCGGCAAGAAGGGAGCTAGCGCAGCTCTCGCCGCAAAGGAGGCAAAAGGCAAAGGCCGCACCTCACCATCCTCTACCAACAAGACCAACCCCAACATTACCTGTTTTAACTGCGACCGAAAGGGCCATTACAAGATGGACTGTTGGAGACCTGGAGGGGGCAAGGAAGGGCAAGACCTGAACCAGCAGAGGAAGAGAGGGGAAAAGCCTCAGAAGCAAGGAGCAAACTCCACAGCAGAAGCCGAGTCCCAAGATCAGTACACTTTCGTCACATCAGACTTAGCGAGTGTAGCGAGAGACCTGGGCTTACCCGTCTAGAAGAGAGGCGCGATCATTGACTCGGGAGCAACATCTCATTTTTGCCCCAATTGCTCAAAGTTCGCCAACTTCATTACCATTCCTCCCCAAGATGTCCATACTGCGGACGGTTCTACTCTCAGCGCGATCGGACGAGGAGATGTTCAGATCGACTTACCCCTTGGTGAGAAGCGCACAACGGTAATGCTGAAGAATGCACTATACGCCCCTACCATGGCCTTTACCCTCATTTCCACTAATTGAATCACGGCAGGAGGCCTAGCGGTCCTTTTTGAAGGCCGCATGTGCAAGATATTGTCAAAGGGGCCCCCGCAGCACATCATTGTGGAAATTCCTCAAGTAGAGGGTCTGTATAGTGTGGTAGCGAGTCATCAGAGACACCACGCTAACGTAGCAACCATGAAGCTCACCGTTAACGAGGCGCATCGCATCCTCAGACACGTGTCCCAAACCGCTGTCATAGATGCGGTGAAGAAGGGTTTGATAACAGGTGTCGATATCGACACCACGTCGAAGCCGGAGTTCTGCGATGCCTGCGTCAAGGCAAAGTCAGCTCGAAAGCCCTTCCCGGATGAAGCTACGACCCACGCACTTACCTACGGGGAGTTGGTGCATATGGACCTCTGGGGACCAGCGCAGACCGCGAGTCTAGGGGGGTGCCTATACTATATCAGCTTTACTGACGACTATAGTCACCAGATGAAACTTCAATTTTTGAAGCTCAAAAGCGAGGCACTCACTGCATTCAAGGCCTATGAGGCCTGGCTAGCGCGTCAAACACCTGGCATTCGCTTAGCGAAAGTCCGTTCAGACCGAGGGGGAGAATATCTGAGCGCTGATTTCGATGACTACCTGCATCAGCAAGGTATCGAGCATCAACTCATGGTACACGACTCACCCCAGCAGAATGGCGTGGCAGAGCGTCTTAATCAAACATTAGTAGAGCATGCATGTGCAATGCTCATCGCGAAGGACTTACCAAAGTTCCTGTGGGCCGAAGCAGTGAGCTATGCGACCTGGTTGAAGAACAGATTACCCTCCTGTGCGACCCCCACCACTACGCCTCACAAACTCGTTCATAATATCAAGCCAAGTCTGGCCCAAGCGCATGAATTCAGGACGAGGGTATATGTCCATCTCCTGGAGGTGGGTAAGTTGGAGGCATGGGCGGAGGAAGCTCTCTTTGTCGGAGTGGACGTGGAAAGCAAGGGGTATAGGGTTTACTGGCTGATGAAACATCATGTTTCCGTGGAGTGCAGCGTCACTTTCACACCCACAGAGGTAATGGTACCTGAGGATGTCATGGACGAGGGGGAGCCAAGTGGTTCCGCCGCCACAAACGACCCACCCAACAACCCCGGCAACGTGGAAGGCGTCCAGACCATCCCTCAGGCACCCTCTACACCACCCAGACCAACCGCCAAGCAAATCACCCCACCAGTGCCACGCGTCACGCGAAACAGACCTCTTCCTGGGTACTATGCAAGACTGCAGGAAGGAGAGACGGCATCAGTTGCGATCGAATCCTTACTAGAAGCGTCAGAGTTGGACTTACTGGATGAGGAGTCCCATATCCACCTTGCGTTAGCAGCCACTGAACCAGAACCAACCCTGCAACAAGCCCTGAACGGCCCCAACGGAGTTGAGTGGCAGGAAGCTGTAGATTATGAAATCAGTCAGCTCGAGAAGCTAGGAACATGGGAGATAGTAGACGCACCTTGCGGCGCAAACCTGATACCCTGTCATTTCATCTTGGCCACCAAACGCAGTCCTGATGGCAAAAAACTCAAACTCCGGGCCCGTCTCGTCGTGAATGGTCAGAGGCAACAGTACAGAGTCGATTACGTTGACACGTTCGTGCCCACCGCCAACATGAGCACCATTCAAACGGTTCTGACGATGGCCGCGCAGAGAGACTGGGAGATACATCAAGTTGACATCAAAAGTGTGTACCTCTATGCCAGTATCCAGGAGGAGATATATATGAGGGCGCCGCCTGGCTATCTGAAGGATGGGCAGCAAGGAAAGGTGTTAAGGTTGCTGAGAAGCTTACCTGGGCTGAAGCAAGCGGGCTTCGAGTGGGCAGAGGAGTTAGCGGGCGTTTTCGCGAAGCTGGGCTTCACGCGATCGAAGGTCGACCAGGCGGTCTACTTCAAATGCAGCAAGACAGAACATATTGTCATCACCGTATCAGTAGATGATATGGCCGTCACCGCCAACCATATCTCCCACATCAAGCACTTTAAAGCGCAGCTGCTCAAATTTTTTGAGATATCGGATCTAGGGGAGCTTAACTGGCTGTTAGGACTCAAGGTAACGAGAGACCGTGAAGCACGTACCTTGACTCTATCCCAGAGAGCCTACATCGACACGATAGTCGAGCGGTTTTACCTAGGGGATGCAAAGAACGTGTTAACACCAATGGAGCCAGGTGCAATCCTATCTATTGATCAGTCGCCCGGTACAGCAGCGCAGTTAGACGCGATGCGCGACGTACCGTATCAACAAGCAATCGGATCTCTCATGTACGCGGCCACCAGCACGCGACCTGACATTGCATTTGCCATTGCTACCCTGTCGCAGTTTATGCACAACCCTGGTAGGACTCACTGGGAAGCCACCAAGTGCACGTTGCGTTACCTGAAGGGTACCGCGGATTTCGAACTTACCCTTGGATCAACGGATGAAGGTATTGAGGTGTTTGTCGATGCTGACTGGGCATTGCAACCCCACAGACACTTGATGTCTGGATATATCGTTATGTTGAATGGTGGCCCCATTGCATGGAGTGCGCGGAAGCAGCTGCTCATCGCGTTGTCTACTGCAGAGGCTGAGTACATCGCCCTGACTAGTGTTGTGAGAGAAGTACTTTACCTTCAGTACCTCATTGGAGAGCTTTATGAACCAACCCCACTCCCTACCCCCATCTTTTGCGACAATCAAGCAGCAATAGCGCTTGCGTCAAATGGGAAATTCCAATCCCGAACCAAGCACATCGACTTATGGTATCACTTCATCTGTTCCCACGTTAAGAATGAGACTTTCCGATTGTTCTACTGCCTGACCGACCATAACATCACTGACGCATTCACCAAGGCCCTGCCTCGCCCGCGCCTGCAAAAGTTATGTGGACAAATGTCCCTGGCTTGCGCTCGAGGGGGAGTGTTGGAGTCCAAATGATCCGAACGATCAGAGACGAAGAAGACCGACCAATCTGAGATGGTTGAGGAGGAAGAGTGACAGGTGGTCCAAGCCCAAGCCAAAATGGACATTGTCGAGCGACACCTTGACGTCGGCTCGAGTCCTGCAATAAGTTATTTATTCATTTGATATATTTTTCGTTTCTACATAGCTTACTATAAGAATGCCACTGGTAGCACAACCGCATCTCAGCCTTTTCCAAGAGACTGAGATGTGAGTACATAGTTTCTACGTATTGTCTAGAATGCAGCTAACGAGTCATTAGTATACTTGTTTGTTAGGTACTTAGCTCGTTGCATGAACCTTTTCCAAGAGACTGAGATTATACTTGTTCATTAGAACGTCCCCGAAGGCCTGTGATATAATTACTCACCACACAACTGTCCCTCCAACACTATGTAAACTAGCTTATATAGGTAAGGAGAGACTCGGGTAAAGTAAGGATAAAAGAAACACAAAGAATAACTAAGAATGAGTGAGTGATGCTGATGCACAACATCATGACAAGTTAATGCATTATATAGTCTAGTTACAAGAAACTGTTTGTGCATTAACAAGTGTAACTACCAGGTGCCAGTAAATGCATTAATGCAGTGTAACTACAAGATACCTGGCTCACTGATAAATGCATCACATCATCATGTAACTAAGGTTCAGACATAAGCACATTCTCCTCGAGTGATGTCATAATACTCAAACATATATCATGTGACAATTGGCGTGCAGGCTACAATTCAGGTTAAACTATGACAGTAGTACAGAGTGAAGGAGGAGCAGTAAGATATCAGGCCCATGAAGTCTCGAACTTGGCACTGAGGTCACGATGTAGATGAGCCTGGCGAGTGGCATAGGCAACTACCCCTTCCTTTTCAGCCCCCACAAGAGCATGCAAATGAGCTACGTTGTCCCACCAGAGTGCATGCCATTGAATAAATTGGAGAATGCGATGCATTTCTTCTTCCAGCAACTCAATCTCTTCCTTCCAGTGCATCATCCTGGTGCGAGCTTTGCACCACTCAACCCGAAGACCTATCACAGTTAATCTGGTGAGCGGGATGTTGTAGCATATGGGTGAAAAACATACAATCCTGGACTACTTCATCTTCGTCATCTCCGACTCCTTCCACCAACCAAATCCACGAGAGCTGCCGTCTTCCCTCACTCTCCCCCTTTCTAGGCACCATCATCCCACAGACATTGTCTCTGTTGTTCAGTGAGCAAAATTTAAGATTCCAACCTACCTTGTTTAGAACAGGTGCAAGGGAAGATAATGCAGCATGGGCCGCGCAATATTTCTCAGCGGAAGCTGTGGCCCTTGCCTCTACTCGGCCAAGTGCATTTTGCGCCCAGGTATTCACACTCTGACCCCGAATCCAGCTCTGTTTGAAGGTGTACAGGTAGTTGCGTAGTCGAAGACTCTGTCTAATCTCATCCAGCGCATCCCCTGCCTGTGCGATTTGTAGCTCCCATTCGATTGTATGAAGGTGGGGGCTGCAGGATATGGAGTCAGCTGTCAACAATGATGGTAATAAGAGCTTGATGTCTTCTGCCAGTGGATTGTCTGGAATGCCAATGGATTCGATTTGGGATGCTAACAACTGTGCCGTTGGAGTGTAGAGGAGTTGCACTTGCTTCCATGCATCCACTTTGCGCTGGAGGGCATTCTGCTGCCGCACGAGAACAGTCTTCTGTCTATTGGTTTGGTGCACTCCTTGGAGAGAGAATTCTGATTTGAAACAACGCCTAAGGCTATTTAGTGATATCAATGAAAAAAAAATGGTAGCACTACTTACTGTTCACTCTCGAGGTCAATTCCTGTTGCGATAAACACGCTGGGCAATATGTCTGGATGAAGCGATATGTCATTACCTTCCCGAAGTTGACGTGATTCTAGTTCAACCAGTTTGAGTTGAACTGCAGCTTGCGTGATTGCTATTGAAATATATATTAGATATTGCGCAACATTTATGGATGATTGACTTACTCGAAACTTTCATTTCAAAAGGATTGGGCACAGATGCATTGTTGGGATTTTCTTCCCAATGCTCGACACATGCTCTCCATCCTGCAGTGGTTTCTGGTGCCAAGGCTTCATTGAGCTCTTCAAAAGTGCTTGCATGAGCTTGATGTTCCTCGTTAGCCTCGTTCATCTTGCAAAGAAGAGTAGCACCTGACAGTAGCACAAAGTGAGAACATGCCAATGCTGTAGTGCTAGAGAGAACACGTACCGAGACCGACTGACTTCTTCCAGTTCCAATCACCGAAGTGATCGTCTAGCGTGTCCCTTCGAGATCCCGGTCCCATTTCCTTGGTACTCGATGCTACAGGATTGATATTCGACCACCCTCATTCAGGGGCCTCTCCATCTGTACATCTGTACACCCGACATTCTTGGAAAAATTGAAGGAGAACGCGGACTGACATTTGAGGATGTGGGCAGGTAAATGAAATTTCGGCACAAATAAGCGGACCAATTTACTTGTGTGATCGAGTTGAAGATGAGCCAGCATTGTCGACATGCATTGCCAGAGGTTCTTGTGCCATTGGCACGCAATATTGTAAGAGACGTTGAGAACATTGACACACTGTCATCCAAGTGTCGAGAAAAATAGATAGTCCATGTTCGTGTACCTGAAAATGAATGCAGTGATTAGTATGTTGAAATGGTTTTGCAGGCCATTATCACAAATAACTCACCTCTCACCTTTCTGTAAGTCTCTGATGCCATTCGGTAATTTCATATTGTGTCGTGCACAATCAATCGTTCCTACACCTGTCGCAGCCAAGCCTTGTGACGCCTTCAGTGTCGGCCATGTTAACAGCATTGTGAGATGAACATGTACTTTTCTGCGCAATTGAGGTCAGATACAGTATAGTAAGGGAAGCGTGAAAAAGCACCTCCTGTGGCTTGCTGCTATACTGCTGCATGTGGGATTTGTAGGCTGTTTCTTCGACAAAATATGCCCATCCACGACTCAGGCCAGGGTCTATGCCATCCTTTGAAATTGCGCGCCTCTTCAAGCGAAAATTAGCGTCTATAGTGACAAAGAGTGCGTATAACCATCTGACAATGTAAGTGATCAATCAAAGTCTCGCACACTAAGGTAAAGATGCTTACCGCTTGTCATCTGGCGCCTCCTGCCAATCATCTGGTAGGTTTTTTCCAGGCTGGGGGCAAGCAGGACACACAACGGCACATTCTCCCTCCCTCGTTCCCTCCACACCAGTTGAATCATGGCCACGACCAGCTGCGTTTAAGCATCTTGAAGTGTCGCCACTCTCGAACCATCCACAAGAAGGCCTCGTACTGATCCTGCAAACAAATTAAGCAGCTAGGAGATGACAAGAAAGTATATCACAAACCTTGTATGGGTGAAGACCAGTATTATCAGTAAGTCGTGCAATTGCGTGATAAAATCCATAGCCACAAGCCTTGGACTCGAAGGACAACAGATGGTACTGTTCAAGAATTCGAAATGTGGCTGCCATTCAGGGTTCCAAAGTAGTTGCTGGAAACCATGCGGCACGAAGTAGCTGTGTTGTATGTGTCTGCGCAGTGTCGCAACCACAGTAATCAAGCCCGACTTTGTGTATGCCGTTGGTGTGAATTATTGTGAAGTCGTCATTGAACGCCTGCCGGGGTAATAGGCAATCCTCTCCAATCAGATGGCCGAGTTGTACGCGTAACCCGAGCTGTTTGAGCGACAGAGAAACAAATGAAGATCCCGTCCATTTCTGCACAAACATGAGTATAATTAAGGTGATAAGTACAACAACTTACCTGAATCTGGTGGAGGGGATTCCTGGTGTGCAAAGCCACGATACATAGTGAGCAAAACAATTCCCTGCTGAAGCAACCCATGCAGCGGAATTCTGGGTGGCCAAAACCACAATTTCCACAGACACAAAGGTCCATGTAGTCGCCCTGTCCATTGTGCTGCAAAAACTCGAGTAAGAAGGTGTCGCGTTCAGCTTTCCATGACAGAAGAGGATGATCCTATGCAGTGTTCAAAAGAGTTGTAGCATAGAATAAAATTAGTATCTTACACCAGCTGTGTGTTTGCATTTGCGATTATCTTCAGTCTCCAAACATTCAGTCTCTATGTCTGCACCAGTAAAATCTGAAAAGTCATGGTTTGTGTGTGAGTCAGTCATTAAGGAGGAGTCCATTGCTTCGATGAGTTGGACTGAAGATGCACTAGTCTTCGCGGTGACATGAGATCCGTGTGCTGAGAACCCTTGTTTTTGAGAGATGAAGGTGTATGTCTCGTGGATGCTGCTTGATGCACTTGAAAGCTGGGAGGTATAGATATTGACCTTTTTCCGCTTTGCTGCAGCACATCTATTAGCTTTCGTGAACGACAGATGTCGAGGCATTGGCCTGCATTGAGTTGAAGGATCTGGATGCATAACTTGAACTTAAGCCACAAGCAGAATGATTAATACTGATGCGACGAGGCAAACGTTGCACTAGACATAGAGCCCTGGGGTCTGCAGATGCATGCGCTGAGTCAGAGTGCGCTGTTGCTGCGGCTGAGTCAGATGAAGAAACACATTATTTTGAAATAACGCATTACTGTAATGCAACATGTTAAGTTCATCAACATCAGTAATGCATTACTTCCTCATTGCGCTGCCTTATAAATGAGCCTGTTGGTTAGTACTCCCTCATTGCGTCTTTCCTCACATTTGTTCTGATGTCTGAGTCTCTAGGTTCAAGTCCTGTGCAATGTTCAGGAAGATCTTCACCACCTTCCAGTGATCCTCAGGCTGGACCTCGTCTGTGCCACTGTGGTATGTTTCTGTGTACCCCTGGACCTTGTCAGAAATGCTCAATGCTGGTTGGTCCGGGTGTGCCACCCAAGCCTTATGTACAGTGTAAGGAATTCTCCAAACGCCTCTACAAAAACTGATTGTTCAACAGGTTTCCCTGCACGATCTGTTAAACTTACACACACCTCATCGTTGACCCTCGGTTCACCCACTATCACACCAATACCCCTACCATTACCTGATCTGCCACTGACAAGTGTTAGTGGCGCACTTTTTTGGTTGCCTGAAACATTATCACTCACTATCACACCCTACTTTACTGGAGACGCAGACGCAGATGTTAGGACGGTCAACTGAGACGAAGATTTATACAAGGAAATTGTCCGTGCGATGGCTGATGATTGTTATGTATACCTGTGCGATGGAATCCTCTACAATATGCCTGCAGTGCCTGCCACATCTGGACCATATTACTGTGTCACTCGTGGATGACACATTGGGGTTTTCAATCACTGGTAAGTCGGTTCTGTCTGACATTGTGTATACTCACTGGGCACTTGTATCTAGGGATGAAGCTGAGGAGTACATTGAAGGCTTTTCTGAAGTGGCTTATGCTGTTGCTTCGCTCACCATTGGAGAGTTACTTGTTTGCAATGCCATCAAGAAGGGTGAATTCTACAATTCTCAAATACGAGCTTAGCACATCAATGTATCTATCCTATGTATTCACTGTAGTTCGCATCTGTCTTTTTTGCTGGGCGCCCTGTGCATTCGTACCTTCAGTTGAGACACCACGACACTGAATTTTAGAGTCCATATGCATTTGCTACAGCCCCTTCAGCACTCATTTTCTCTAGCCGTAGATTTTCCAAGCGTGGTCAAAGTCAACTGTGCTCCATGGTAGAAGTACAAATATATATTCTTCTGACTGCACCTCCCCCACACGCTCCGGGTCAAGCTAACGTGCATCATATTTATGTCCGATCATTGCTAGATGAACCTCTTCAATAAACTAGAAGTTAGGGATAAAGAGAGTGTGTAGGGATATCCATCTCTCCCTCTTTGATAACATGTGAAGAATGCACCATGGGTGAATGAGCTGGCCATAACCCTCCACCACATCCTCATACTTGTGGTCACATTCCTTTTGGCTCACAAGGTCATGCTCCATGGCTGCATTGATGAGGCTGGAATGTTCTTTAGGCCAGATAGATGCCTCAACAGTGACAGCCGGAGATCCTGGGTCCCCGCTGTCTCTTGCACGCAACTTGAATCCAGGGACACAATCTTGGGCTTCTTTGCTACTCTCTCCTTGTCAAGTAGAAGCTCTTCATCCTCTTTAGTACCCAACGAGGGAAATTTGTGCTTGAGCTTGGCAAACTCAAAGCGCTTGTCCCAAACCTGTAGCGTGTGCTGCGTGTAATCGCGCTTAAGATTTTCTCGACAAAGGAGTGTTTTGGTGAGCTCAAGACCCTGCGTCAACTCATTCTGTAACTGCAAAAGCTTATCGGATGACGTCACTTGTGAAGCACGGGTCTTTCGAACAGCCTTAATCTTGCGACGGCGGAAGCAAATATATGACTCATTGAGAATGTCTGACTCATCAAACTGATAAGTAGAGCAAAGGGCAAGCAGCAAGCGAGCATAGTGTGCAGAGTAGCGGCTGGGATGGCAGGGTGCTAGCTAGCCGCACAGAACAACCAGACCAGGAGAGCCAAGAGCATGAAGCAGAGCAAACGGCGAGCAGCAAGCAAGCATAGCGTTGTGGGTGAGGAAAATAGACTCTGTGTGAATCAGAAGTCTAACAAGGGTGCAAGGCTTATACTCGTCCCGAGGGGATTGCTACTGGGTAGCGAGTCCTCAAATAAGTGCAAGGAAACAAAGACTAGACTCTGTCTAGCGACCCGAAGGGTTCCGGTCCTTACTAGGACTGGGAACATAAAGATGCGGAGGGTTCCCGACAAGCGGAACTCAGCGCGCAACGAGCGGAACTATGGGGAACTAATGGAACTAACGTGGAGCAAACAGGACAAACGGGGAACAAATGGAACTGATGGGGAGCAAATGGAGGGAAAAGAAACTACGAGCCTGCAGGAGGATGATTGGGCAAAGTCGGACCAGGCTTGTGTCTGGTACTTGCTCCAAGTCGTCGGATCCGATGTTGGGTGTTTCGAGCGGAACTCACGGGGGCGGGAACGATGCAATGTGATCAGGAATAGATTCGGGAAGATATTTTAAACAGTGAGTGGAGTACTGGGAAGTACTCTGTAAGTGGAAGTGGAGTCGAGTCTATCAGAAGGTAAAAAACTAAGATCCCATCTATTGCTACCTATATAGGAAGGGGTTCCGAAATGCAATATGCTACAACTGGGTGAGGCTGTGAGATAAGGAATTGGTCCCGAGTAGCGGAAGGATCCGTATAAGTACCGTAACACATGGGAAATGAGATAGGAACATGTTAGTGACACGGGGAACGTAGCTAGTACTCACCAGCGAGGATGGAAGGACATGGACAGGACGGAGGAGGATGTTCCGAAGGCTGAAGGAATATAATGCGTGTGGTATGCGATTGTTCTGCTGGGTTCCGCTTGGTTCCGTGTAGCGGACGGGTCAGGGAAGATGCGGATGGGTAGTGGAATGCACAGGAAAATGGTGGGAAGGCATGGGAAATATGCAGGATACGGGCCTACAGTGGGGACGTTCCCCACAGCATGTAGAGCAGCAGCTGGGATGGCAGGGTGCTAGCCAGCCACACAGACCAGCCAGACCAGGAGAGCCAAGAGCATGAAGCAAAGCAAGCGTGCACAACTAAGTTGTGACATGAACGAGACAACACTGGTGTGTAAACCAGTCCACTTACAGAGACCAACATTACTATCAAACTCTCTTTGCGAGAACATACATCTCCCTTTATTGTTTGATGCTCTCGGTGAGCATCTCTGCTTTGCATTTTGTGTCTTCGCAAACTCAAACCATATCATTGCAAGAGGAAGGGCAGGGTATCGGTTGTTGGACAACATGTGGTAACTCGAAGTCACATCTGAGCTAAGTTCAAGTCACTACTGCTTTTGGATGATTCTAGTAATTACAGCCTCAACTCCTGTCTGACAGTGACTTTTGAATGCACATCATCATTTCCTTAAAGACTGTTGTGCAAGGTGCTCCAGGCAACCACAGAACTGGAGTCGAGTTCACATGACTGCTTATTTGCTGGCTCAGCCCTTGCTGCTAGGCTCCACAACAAGATTCAACCGCTGTTCAAGCTACGATCCCATCTTGATTGTCTTCCACAACAACATTCACCAAGATGCCTTCAAGGATTGCTGAGCCCTCTGTGGCAGACACGACAGCGACCCAGGAGTTGCTGTTCATTACCTTTCCGCCCTTTCCAAAACCCCCACCGGGTGTGACACTCATCCCTTTCAAAGATTTCAGGGCGTGCGGGATACAGCTGTTCGCTGAAGTTGTTGGTGGGCAGAATGAGGAAGACATAGAGCTCGATGGTCTGGGGATACCCACTGTCGAGTTGCGCGTGAAGCATTCAACTGATGAGTGTAAAAGCAATACACGCAAGAGGAAGTGCAAGAAGAAGACCGCTGCTGCAGAAGGTGTGCCTGCAAGGAAGGTCCCGTGGTACAAAGAGTGGGAGGAAGGTGAAGATCTGCGTATCACGAAGGGCAAGTTCGATTCATAGGTTGTTTGTTATCGCCTTTGATCCCATCTTGAGGTCCATGATATTGTGAATTGTTACTGATCTATCTGCTAGGAATATCTCCCATGTGGATCGTCTCTTTCATGCTGCAAATGACTTTCGGGTCAATCGTACTTGGCCGCCGATCACTTCTGGGGTCAGCCAGCTTTGGGACCAGGTAGTTATTTTCATCTTTGTGCTTGTACCAACCTCATGCCTCTTCAAAGTTCTGTCTGTATGTTGGACTCCTTGTCAATCCAAGTGTCTATCGTAAACCAAGCAAAGAGGGAGAAGCAGATGATGACAATGACGACAATGATGGCCCTACTGATATCCAGACCGACACAAAGGACACCTCTGAATCAGTTCTTCCCTCAGATGATCCTGCTCGCTCAGCTTACTCTGTTGAGTTGGATGATGATGATGATGATGATGAAGGTACTTTGCAGGCACGCAAAACTGATCTAGAGGAACAACGCGAGGAGAAGCTGATCGTGTTCTTGAACAACCTGGAGAAGTCAGTGACGATTTTCCTATCATCTCACATGCGTGAACAAGGCCTCATCTGGTCTGTATCTCAATAATGATTTTCGACGTGTTTCTCATTGGAGTATCTCTCGTAGGTCAGAGAGGAACCTTGTTAATGCACCACACCTCCTCAGCTTCTTTTTGAACTTTGTCCTGCGGAACTGTGTTCTCCAAAAAGTCTCACATGAATGTGGCATCTGCAATGCCCTCGATATTGTGGAGCTCGCGAAGAAGGAGCTGCCCTTGACATACAAGATCGGGCAGGCATTACCCGATGTGCTCAACGATGGCTCCAAGGAGTGCTTTGGCCGGAAAGGCTCCCTTCATGGTTGCATCATCTGCACCAAGTGCATTCATTGCTTCATTCATGCTTATACTAGTACGAAAGAGGATACTGTGACCTTGTTACAATCAGTTCAATCAATTTGCGCCCATGTCAAAGAGCCTAGTGTGTAACATACTTCATCCAGACCACACAGTAATGCGAACAGAATATAATTTATTTTATATGGGTACAATGAACTCTACTAATGCAGTCATGCAAAACCTTAACTATTGGACCTTTGACTTGTGGTAGAAAAAAAAACGGCCATTTTTTATTGACACCAGCCACTCATCCTCACTGCCCTGCAATAATTCCCCCTCAAATTACAATGCCTCATCGAGGCCCAAAAACTTGGACCACTCCTGAGGAGGAGGTCTTCCTTCAAAGTCAGCTCCCTGCCTACATTGCCTGTCAGGCAACAAAAGTTTACCACAACTTTTGGAATACAATGACCCGTGAATTTTTAAGCTGTTGGCCGGAGAGAGCACGTCTAACTGATATCCCACAGGACGTTGAGCTCAGTGATATACAGAAGTCTCGTGTGGTGCAAGCAATCCTGAAGTGACAATCCGTGAGTTGCATAATTCCATCACGAAGCATGTACCTTATTGAAAAAAATTCAAGGCTCTTAAAAATTGGTTTTGGTGGCGTACAAATGTCGCGCGTCTGGCCCGCCCAGGCGGATCTAGTGGTGTTTTGAGGCTCGATACTACATTGGCTGGTGGGGATGAAATGAGAGGGACACATGCTCCACAGGAAGTTGAAGTCTACTCACAAATGCATTATGAGGATCGTGTCAAAGCCGATGCTGATGCATTGATTGCCTCTGAGACCGTCACTTCACGTGGCGACAAATTATTGATGCGAAGGATTGTCACCCGCGATAAATACGCCAAAGAACCTGAAGAAATTAAAGCAGAGGTAAGGTGAAGGCACCAAGTAGCCCTAGAGAAGTGGAGACAAAGTCGCGAGCTGAACAAAGCTGGGATCATCGAGGAAGTTGATGATGAAACAAAAACTAAGTACACACCTACTTCCTATGATAGATACTGTAGCGCAAGCTGACATATATCCCAGGGCTTTTTTGGAGCTTGCAGGACACCTCAATTGTGTTTTCTGGCACCTGTCTCACAAAACTGGTGGCCTCAAGTTTACTTGTATTGCTGGTGGATGAAACCCTGTCACAGGAGAAGCAATCATTCTAGAGTAAGTCTTTGCAAAGTCTCTCACAGGTCGATTAGCTTACCAAGCCTCAGCTTCCACATTGGAGACACTGCAGAAGGAATATATTTCTCGGCTCACTACCCTAAATTCACTGACGTTTGAGCTGCATATGCTACATTCGTGAATGAGGCACTTGGTAAGTGTTTTGGCCATTGGAAAAAAATGATGGACTGACTAGAACTTTCGCACTCAGCCCATGATGACAATATGGAAGTATTAGTGAGGGCAGAGAACTTATCTGACAGGCACAGTGGAGTGGATGACTTGGAGGCCGAAGGAAGGGACTTGGAGGATATTCAAGACAGTGAGGACAAGGCAGAAGATGATGGGGATGTTCGAAGCGACAAGGAAGACTCTTATAATGTTGTGCAAAGGGCAGTGAGTAATGCACTACATCGAAGAGGTCCAATACTAATGCATTACATTAATGCATCAGGAAAATGCTACTTCAGACCTTACAATGTCCTCTGACTCGATGTATACCTTTGTAAGTAATGCATCATTGACTCAGGAACACCACTAATGCATCACTTTCTCTTGCCTCGATGCATCAGGATTACTCGTTCATGGATGACATACCAGCAGTGTCTAGTGTTCCATCAACTCCTATTCACAACACTCAGGGGAACGACAATGACTTCGAATACCCACAGGTCCCAACTGCCTTCAGTGCAGCTGATCTTGCCGATTTTGACAGGCTACTCTCTACCGTAACACAACAGGATCTCGACACTCTAGACTTCCCTTCATTAGTGCCATATCCTGGTGCCTCCAGCTTTAGTTCAGAGCCTGGGTCTGAACTCAATAATTTTTCATTCCCATCAACAGCTGCGAGTGGGGGCTCTGGGTGTGAATTCAATTTTTCTCTCACAGACTTTGACTTTGAGAAGTTCTTGCCTCGTTCAAGCCCTAGCCCTGCTTACCTGATTCTCAATGAAACACCCACCAGCTTAAATTCGGACTCGGACATTGCTATACCCTTGCCACTTCTCGATGAAATGCCCATCAGCTTGAATTCGGACTCTGACATCACAATACCCTTGCCGCTTCACAAACCTTCAGCACCTCAGGCTCTCGTACACCAATCACTAGGCCCGCAGGCTGACTCAGACGGCCCACGTTGAACACTGCGCCATCATGTGCCATCAAAACGTGAGCAGGCACTTAATGCTATTGGATCTTCGGTGTCTCGTATCTGCCCATTGTTGGCCCAGGTAGAGGTTCATCTAGGTGAAGAAAATGTTGGATCTGCCAGTAGTATGAAAAGGAAGGGAGCCACTGCTATCAGCACTACAAACAAGTAAGCTTTTCGGCCTTGTGACTGGAGTTAGCTGGACTAACATTCATCTAGGAAGAAAAGGTGGTCTTGATTTGTTCACTCGTTTTCAACATACCCATCTCGTTTTCGGCACAGCAGTCACTCGTCTTACTCGTTTTACTTAAACCACCTTCAACTTTGGTCTGGAATTCTTTTTCAGTGCAGCATGCACCTTGCTTGTCTGGCTTAGACTGTCTTCTACTTTGGTCCGATGTTTTTCTTCTGCAGTGAACGCAGATTGCTCTGCACGCATAATACTACTCACTAGCTCGACACTAGGTTCGTTACAATGTTTTGACTCGATTTACAGAATTTACAATGTCATTTGCTACAACTACAAAGATACAATAGTTGAGAGTTGGTCTTTGCAATGATTTTGTTGGCAATGGCTTGGAACTCATCATCATCAATTAAACAAGCAAGAATCACCAGTGAACATGTGGCACTGCATACTAAGTTATGAACGAGACTACGAACAACTTACAGACGCCTTTGTACGAGGTGATTATTGTTCATGTGAGGCTGCATGATGATGCGCTCTGGTGCTCCTGTCCTGTCCACTCATTACTTCGTTGCTGTCCTAGTTGCCTGTGGCTGCTCTGTCAGACTACCTGCCACTGACTCAGATACCATCAAGTCAAACTACTCACATACTATTCAAAGGCTCGTTTGATGCGCAGAATGAGTTTTTCTTGCCCTTTGCCGTGGTAAATATGTGTATGTAGTAGTGAAAGAGATGGAAGGGCTCACAGGCCGCTGTCTGAAAAATTTGTCAAGGGATGACACGTCATTACGAATTTATATTTCCATTTTTTATCCTTGCGCTGGGCTCACCAAGGATAGAGGCCTGAAAACTCCTGATAGGCATAGCAGGAAAGTAGTATGTGAAGGAGGGAAAGTGGCAGCAGATCTCAGCAAGCGCTGCTATATAACAGAAGGAAGAATGAATAATGCAATAATATAACACTATAGCCTGGCTGATGATGCATACGGATATTGGTAGCTAGGTACTAAGTCCGTGCGCTTGGCTTTTGATGAGCATTACATACACCCTCCAGGTCTCATGGCTGAGACCTGCTTTCTCTTTTGTAAGCGAGTGACTCTAGCTAGTTGAGGTAATGCCCATCAAGTTCATGGTGGCGAAGAGATCCTCATTAGCAACACCATTGAGGTGAGTGCTATTACTCCTATCAAGTTCTTTGGATCTCGCAATGATGTTGAGGACATCAGGACCAGAATCTATGGTCGAAGTGATAATAGGAGGGATGGGGATAGGATCGTTGACAGGGGTGTTGATGGCATCCGTGATGATCTGAGAAGCTATCCTGGGAATAGGGGCAGGTTGCCTAGTTGCAGGGGTATGAGGTTGGTGGTTTCTGACACGCTGTTGGCCCCGATTGTCTAGCATGAGGTGACGGTTGCGCTGGGTCCGGCTGGAGAACTCCTTTTCGCGGTCTGCTTTGACCTGGGCAGCGAAAGTGTATGCCTCTTTTTTAATAGCTAGTTCCTCTACAAGGCGAGAGGCAGGTGAATAAGAGGGCCGCGACAGGGGAAGTTGTCTAGCGGGAGACTTACTAGCCTGAGCCTCAGCACGAAAGAAATGCGAGAAGGCATTCATAGCATTGTCGTTCAATTTGTGACGAGAGGAGCGATTAGAGTTGTCGCCACGGTTTCGACGACGACGACAACCTCATCCGCCATGACTCAGAGCATAGGCATGACTGTGAGGTTTGCCTGGCTCTGCTGCATAGCCAGGGCTGTCGACGTTCATCGCTTCAGGGGAGTCCGTGGAGCACGGTCCTAAGGGAGAGTGGGAAGAGGACATAGGGCAAAGAGGAGAAGGGTAGGAGGACTTTGATGAAGGCTGATTGAGCCCTTTTGAGTCCTGGGACCCAGAGGTGCTGACAGATGTGACAGCGGGTAATTCAGCCAGTAATCTGTCGACAATATTGAGGACAAGTCTACTAGCCTCAAAGGGGGTGCTCACGGTGGCAACACTAATATTAGGTGGGTCTGGTGCGGACTTTTTAGGTAGGTCCTGAATGCCAGTTACCCCGAGAGCCTCTAGATATTGTCTGACAGCTTCAAGTCACAAAACAGATTGGTAAGGGAGCCAGATGTAGTCACCTGTTGAGTATTCAATTTTAAACAGGGTGTTTGAGCCTTGTCCATGGTGATCTATTACTCTCGCAACAGACCATATTTCAGGTGTGCCAATGTTGCTCATCTGGTGAATTTGTCATCCTGGGAATCATCAATCGTTGTTGGGGATATGGAGATGGAGGAGGCTTGTGTGAAAGGCTGGGTGAATTCCACGCTTCTTAAGATTGGGGGGGAGATCCAGGAGGAAAGAGTTGTTCTTATAATCCTCGATGATTTTGAATGGGCCCACGTACTTTGGGGCGAGCTTGTGTGCTCGTCCCTTGGGGAGCGAGAGGTTCGCCGTAGATAGATAGACTAAGTCTCCTTTTACGAATGGCAATTCTTGTCAGTGATGGTTCACCAATTCCGTGCTTTTAATGCAGGCAGCTATGACAGAGTTGTGAGCTGACATGATGGCATCTTTCATTCGTTGTGCAAAAACCCAAACTCCAGGGTATTCAGAATTAGAGTCCCAAATAAGAGGGGGGAAGGAATCTGTAGTTGGAGACAAAGGGTGCATATCCAGTGACTCCAGCACAGGCTGAGTTAATAGTGAATTCAATTGCAGGGAGTTTTATGGCCCAGTCACGTTGGTTCGGTGCGATGATCTGTCTAAGCATTTGGGTGATCATGCAATTAGCATGCTCTGTCGCTCTGTCGGATTGTGGGTGAAACGACGTGGACATCCTAAGTTCGACGCCAGTTAGCTGATGGAACCTTTGCCAGAATGTGCTCGTGAATAGGGTGTCGCAATCACTCACGATATTCAAAGGCATCCCATGGAGCTTGTACACAAGGTGAAACATTAATTTGGCTATATCTTTCGCTCAATAGGTTTGTTTAGTGGGGGCGAGGTGTACCATCAATGTGAGGTAGTCAATAGCTACTAGTAACATATTGAATGTACCGTTGAGCATTTTAGACTCGGGCAGAGGACCAACAAAATCAATCCTGATAGTTTCCCAAGGGTGAGTGGGTACTTCTAGAGTTTCTAGGAGCCCGTAGGGTCGATGATTCAAAGGTTTCGAGACTTGGCAAGTGGGGCATGACTCACAGAAGGAATGCACATCGGCTGTGATGCTTTTCCACCAGACATTTTCTCAAAGGTACAGTAGGGTCTTTTGAGGGCCGAGGTGAGCTAGGATTGAGTGAGCGTGAGATATGACAATCTCTCTCATCTGTCGGTCACCGATGGTGATGTCTGGGATGCATAGGATACATTTTCCTTTGTCTTTAAGGTAGATTCTACCATTGCTCACTTCAAAGTTCTTAAATGTGCTTGGGTTGCTGATGATCTTAGAGAAAAACCAGTCTTCTGAGTATCGGTTTGCTAAGTGCGCATGAATATCAACAGTCGGGTCGCCAAGTATGATAGTTTCTGTTAGGATGGGGGGAGAGTCGACCAGTGAGTCATTGTCTATGTTCTCTTCTGGTTCTCTTTATGTGACATAGTTCAAGGTAGTGTTCATTTTGTTAGTCACATGACATTGTTGGTCCGTGTGTACTGAGTGAACCACATCATTTGTTTGCTCTCTTTTATCTGTCAAAGCTGGAGTAGGTGTTGCTGGTGGGTTGCTTGCTTCGTTGGTTTGTTTAGTGCAGTTGTTAGTGGGCTTGCTGATGGTGTTTCTAGGGCTATCGCCATTGTTACTGTAGGTGGTGTTACTCACACCACTCACGCCCTCAAGTGGTCATGCTGGAGGTTTACCGACCTTCAGGACCACTTTTCTTATGCTAGTGGGGTGAGTGGGACCAGCTGCAACTTGCTGCACAATAGGAGCATCAGTTTCGCCAATTCCATGGGTTTTGGCGGCTGCAACTCTCTGAATAGTGGGGCGCATGTCTGAGTCCCATCTCAGTCAGGCTTCTGCTGGGCTGTTCAATCGCTGTAGGACTACCCGGGCGGAGCGCCGAGCTTCAGTCACGCCGAGGAATAGTGGGGTCCCAGTGTAGACTGGGGCCAATATGAAGTTGAGAAGTAAGGTACGTGCTTTGTCCTCCTCTTCTACACTCATGTATTCACTCGCTGCGTGAACAGTACCTTTAGGCTCGTTACCATACATCCTTGATAGCGCATCGGCTAGGGTGTTGTCTTCACCAGGTATGTATATGATTTTGAAGTCGAACTCACTAATGGCCTCTAGCCAGCACATCTGCCTAGGGGAAAGTTTGGATTGAGTGTTCAGCCACTCTAGGCCTTTATGGTCAGTGAAGATGCAGAACTTATAGCCAATAAGTAAGTGACGGAACTTTTTTAGGGATTTGACAATAGCTAATAGTTTCTGTTCGTGTACAGGGTAATTCTGTTGTGCAGAGTTGAATTTGCCTGACCAGAAGGCAATAACACTTGCCTTGTGGACATCTGGCCCTTGAGAGAGTATGCCGCTTGTGCCTATGAAGGAGGCGTCAGTTGTCAGGTTCATGGGGTTCGCGCCACTGATTGCAGTCGCCATCTCTATCACCCTGCACCGTGTGTTCCGGTGCGTTTCAACACAGGCTTTGACCAAGTCAAATGCAATCGCCCCTTGGTCTGTTACCAAGTGGCACCCCCACTAGGACCCTGAAAAAACCACGGAGTCTAGTACTGCGCTCACCAGTGTTCTAGGCGTTATTGACGCCACTCATGCCCTTGCTACCTCACAAAATACCCCTGGACAAGTCCTAACGGCCCCACTGTCGACTTTAGCGTCAATGGCCGCCGTAAAGAAACGTCCAGCACCCACGGGAACTGGCATTTCAAATGACCAGGCTCCCACCCCAACTAACAAAATTAGACTATCTCATCACAACACAGTCTCCCTGATGCTGCCAAAGGATGAAATAATGCAACAAGACTACGAAGTCAAGGATAAAGAAAGCAGTACCACATTTCTAGAGAAGTCCCCGTTTCGTCAAATAGGCGAAACCATGTCAAACGAAAGCTTAATATTAACAATTCTCCATATTACCCAATACACAGGTATCCCACGCATTGTCATAGAAGGACTCAGAGTAGTAGCCATATTGCTAGAGGATGGCCTTAAAACCAGACAGGAGGCTACACTGACCACTCAGCAACTGACAGACTCTATCTCAGCCGCCATTTCAACCCAACTAGTACTGGACCTCTCGAACACGCTATCGTCTCACGTAATAGCGGCTATTTCACCTCAAATTGCATCTATCTTAATGGCTTCTGAGACCCTCAAATCGAATGTCAACAAAATTGCGAAATTCAAAACAATCATAGAGACAAACTTGAAGGAAGACAACACTTCTGCATCCGCAGCTGCAAACCGAGCGGAACTTGCGGCTGACGCCGTCCTAAGCAGTATCACTGATGTCAAAAGTGCTATAGAATCACTAACTACTCCCCCTCCCAGCGCAATTCAGTCGAAAACGACGAAGTCATACAGTGCAGCAGCTCAACACAATGCACAGACCTCAGCTCCCATCTCGGCAGCGATTACTTGCACCTCCACAAGGGACCAACAAATCTTGTTTGATCCAACTCCAGGCAAAGCCCTATTCGCACCCGAAGTAACATCAGCAGACATAGCAACCAAAATGAAACAAGCGCTAACAACATCTGAATCGGATGACACACCCGATATTTTAATCAAGGCAATCACACGCCTCAGAAACAGTGGCCTCATAGTAGAACTCACAACCACAGAAGCCGCTACATGGATAAGAATTCCAGAAAATTGACTCAAGATCATCGCTGCACTCGGAATACCTGCAACCATCAAAGATAGGCATTTCTCGGTTATCGTCCCATTCTTACCTATTACTTCTAGTATCGAAGACTCAACTTGGTTACGCACAGTCGAAGAAGAAAACAGCATGTCCCTAGGTGTCATCGAATCAGCTAACTGGATCAAGCCACGACAATGCAGGACACCGCAGCAATGAGTCGCACATGCAATCTTCCACTTCGCAGACCCCCACCCGGCCAACAATATTCTTCGGGACGGTATATACATTGGCCAGGAGAAGCTACATCCCCGAAAGGACAAACGAGAACCAGTGCGCTGTGTACGTTGTCAACTGTGGGGCCACATTGCACGGGATTGTCAAGCCCTGCGAGACGTTTGCGGCACTTGCGGGAAGAACCACCGCACAAACGAATGTAACGCCTACCGCACCTTCTATTGTGTAAGCTGCGACTCTCAAGAGCATGCCAGCTGGGACAGGAAATGCCCCAAATTTGAATCTAAATGCGCGGGCATAGACGCTAAGCACCCCGAAAATTCTATGCCATTCTTCCCCACTGACGACTCATGGACCCAGGTCATGCTCCCACCCCAACCAGCCCCCTACCACAAACCAGCAGCTCCTCTGCCAATGACTCAGCCCCACCCCAACCTCCAACAAACAAACATCCCATTCAAACCTTGGCACCCAACCAGAGGATACCACACCAGAGGAGCACCCTTCTGCCCAGGTCACAGAGGTTTCCAAGCAGTCGCATTGACTGGCTCGAACACAACCCCCATCACCTCCTTCGGCCCATGGGACCCTATTGCAAACACGCAGACACCCACTTCACCCCCCTCAACACCTAACTCCCCGCCTGAGGGGAATACTCCATTCGTTACCCCCTCAAGCACAGCAGATCCCCAGTCACATCTCTCCTCTAATGTCTGAATGCCACAATGCAACACCAAACCGACTACGCGTATGGCAACAGAATCTCAACACCTCTCTATTAGCGCAACACTCCCTCCTCAACAATCCCATTGCCCGTGACTGGGACATAGTAGCACTACAGGAACCACATATTAATTCGCTGAAGAACACCATCTCGTCTCCGCACTTCCACGCTGTATACCCAACGACACGCTTCTCTGCACCCAACCTTACCTCACGCGCTGTCGCTCTTGTATCCAAATCCCTCAACACCAACTCATGGCAACAACTCACATTCACATCCCCGGACATCGTGGTGATCCAGTTCAGAGGCGCCTTTGGGTGTTGCACCATCTTTAATATATACAATGACTATCTATTAACCTTAACACAGGATTCTCTCACTGCATTCCTAGAAAGCGAAATAGCAAACATTCGCCCATCCGCTGACAATCATATGATCTGGATGGGAGATTTCAACAGACACCACCCCTTATGGGACGAGGATCACAACACGCAACTCTTCACCAACTGCTACCTCGACGCAGCTCAGCCTCTCCTGGACCTACTAGCGGACTATGGCATGGTAATGGCGCTACCAAAAGGACTACCAACCCTGCAATCCTCGAGCTTGAAGAATTGGATGCGCCCCAATAACGTTTTTTGTACCGACCACACTAGTGACTCTTTCATCAGCTGCTACACTAATCCAGCACTGCGCGGACCTGCTACCGATCATGTCCCCATTCTTAGTGTCCTGGACTTAGAAATACCACAAGCCACCAACGAGGAGAAGCATAACTTCCGGGAGACTGACTGGGACGTCTTCAATGAACACCTAACGACCAAACTAGACAAGCTTCCTCCTGCTCAACTGCTCGTTACTCATGAAGAATTTCAGCAGGCAGCACTCACCCTCACAACGTCGATTCAGAACACAATAGCGCAACATGTTCCAAAGTCGAGGCCAAATCCTCATGCTAAGCGTTGGTGGACCAAGGACCTGACCATCCTCCGTCGGGAAGTCGCGAAACTAAGTCATCTATCTTACAAAACGAGATTCAACGCTGATCATTATAGTCATGAGGAACATCGCATCAAGAGAAACCAATATTCAGAAGCTATCAAGCAGGTCAAGAAGGAACACTGGATCAATTGGCTCGAGGAGATCGAGGGTAACAAAATCTGGACGGCCAACAAGTATCTTACAGCAGTGGCGGGCGACAGAGGTCTATCGAGAATCCCGACCTTACAATGCCCTGACAATACTACAGCCGATACTAATGAAGAAAAAAGTGCTGCCCTAGCACAGGCCTTTTTCCTGCCACCCCCAGCCATGTCATCAGTCCCACATGACACAATACACCCAGATCCAGTCCCAATGCCCGCACCTATCACAGAGTCCCAACTATCTCAAAGTATTGCAAAACTCAGTCCATATAAGGCTCCTGGCCCAGACGGGATCTGTAACATAGTTTTCATTCACTGTGCTGATTTACTTAAGCCATACTTACTTCATTTATTCAGGGCCATGTTCACCCTCAACACCTATTATCCACCATGGCGCGACTTCACGATGGTTGTCCTGCGAAAGCCCAGCAAACCAGACTATACCATCACCAAAGCATATTGCCCAATCGCCCTCTTGAATACGACCTGCAAACTCTTGACCACAGTGGTAGCCGATCAAATGACCTATCTTTTAGAGCATCACAACTTACTCCCTAGCACTCACTTTGGAGGTCGTCCAGGAAGATCCACAACCAACTCACTGCACCTTCTCGAGGCGGCCATCAAGGACGCTTGGCATCAGGGAAAAGTTGTCTCAGCCCTCTTCCTGGATATCGAAGGCGCTTTCCCAAATGCAGTCACCGACCGGCTTTTGCACAATATGAGATCGCAATGTTTACCTGAATCCCTTGTAGGCTTTACTGAACACTTATTGATAGGTAGATGCACACAACTCAAATTCGACGGCCATCTCTTGGATTGGATCCCGATCCAGAATGGTATCGGACAAGGGGACCCACTCTCGATGATCCTATACATCATCTACGACTCTGACCTCGTAGATGTAGCAGCAGAGCGCAGCCGCAATGAATGTACCTTGGCCTTTGTCGACGAAATGGCCTTCATCGTGATAGGATCGTCATTCAGAGAAACGCACGCCATCCTCAAATGCATGCTGGAAAGACCAGGAGGAGGTTATGATTGGGCCAGAGACCACAATTCGAAGTTCGAGACCTCCAAGTTTGCTCTAGTCGACTTCTCCATGAATGCTGCAAAGGAACGTCCACCCCTAGTGACTCACAGTATCACGATTACCCCCACTGCCTCCCATTGTTTCCTGGGAGTTATCATAGACCAAGCGCTCCGTTGGCACAAACACATTGCATATGCAGTAGTGAAAGGAACCACCTATGTATTTCAGCTGCGCCGCCTCTCTTCTACCTCATCTGGAATACCACTCTCACTGATGCGTCAATTATACCTAGCAGTAGCCTTACCAAAGATGTTATATGCCGTGGACCTATGGTTCCACCCACTCTACGTGGGAACCCAAGACGAAGCTCAACGCGGTTCAATCAGAGTAGTTAATCGCCTGCGCAGAATCCAATGTATCGCGGCCCTAAGCATCACAGGGGCCATGCATACCACAGCGACGGACACGCTGGAGGCTCACGCCAAGTTGCTCCCCATCAAGCACCGCGCACAAAACCTATGTTATCAGGCCACAATATGTCTGGCTGCACACCCCCTGACCCATCCCCTCCACGGTCCAGTGCACAAGGCGGCCAGAAGATATGTCAAGCACCACAGATCTTCGCTCCATCATCTATACCATGCCACTGAGCTCGATGTCGGATCAATAGAGACCATCACGCACAATAGACATTCACCGAGTTCATCAGTCCCATACAAAATCGCCATCGCCACTTCAAGAGAGCAAGCCATTCAAGACCACAATGAAGTTAAGGATGAAATCAAGATTTACTGCGATGGATCTGGGATCGACAAGAACATTGGCGCAGCCGCGGTACTGTACAGAACTGGCCGACCCCAACCAGAGACCCTGAGATATCATTTGGGAATGGCAGAAGAACACACAGTTTATGAGGCCGAAGCCGTAGGCCTCACGTTAGCTGCACAACTTCTATCCCAGGAAGAGGACGTCATGTACCTGGTCTCTATCTTTGTAGACAATCAAGCTACAATCAAATCTGGTGAAGTACTCTCGACGAAATCAGGCCACTACTTAATAGATCATTTTCGCAGCCTGATAACAAATGTGAAGAAAGCCAGCCACGACCGCAGATTCAAGGTCACAGTACGGTGGATATCTGGACACGACGGAGTGCAGGGAAACGAGAAAGCAGATGAGGAAGCTAAGAGAGCAGCGTCAGCCAGAGAAGAAACCAGTCTTAGACGATACCTCCCCCCCTACCTTCGCAAAGGCATCCTTCCCGATAGCATATCGGCACTGAAACAAAAGCAAAAAACAGAATCCACAGAACAATGGGCTAGATGCTGGCAGAAGTCCCCACACTACGAGCACACTGTCAGCATCGACCCTAATATCCTCAAAGGCGCGTTTATATCTTTAGCCCAATCACTCCCAAAACGCCACATCAGCATGCTTCTATGGCTCCATACCAAACACATCTCTCTCAACTTGCACCTGTTTCGTATCGGGAAGAGCCCCACGTCTGACTGTCCACATTGCGAAGGTATAGAGGAATCTGTGATCCACTACCTGCTCTCTTGTCCCCACTATGCTCGAGCTCAACACATCCTCATGACAACTCTCGGCTGCCATGCCTTCTCGCTACCCTACCTGCTGTTGAACCCAAAAGCAAGCACTCCACTTATCCGCTATATCAACAGCACGGGCAGACTACGTGCCACTTTCGGTGATGTTTCTCCTCCTTCTCGAAAAGACAAACGATGACCAGTCTATGCCCAGATAGATAAAGCAAGATGAGCTACCCTATTGGACAGTGCAGGCCACTGTCCCATCACCTCACTCTCGATGACGACGGGAACTGAACCCAAGTGGAGGTTCAAATGGTTGACCAGAT